GGTTCCTCTCAGGAGACTTTACTAGACACGCCCCCCGCCCCCCCCCCCCGCGCCCCACTTCCTCTCACTCTTCACTCCAGATACACATTTAGCTGCACCTTCTGGGTTCCTCCAGTTGGAGGGAACCCAGGAAGGAGATTTTAGCACTATGCCTATTTCCCATGATATTACTTTACTTGCTTCCCACTTCGACTCCACTATCAGGCAGCTTCACAATTCCTGAGACGAAGGGTCCCCGAACCTCCCCGAAGCCCTCCTTGACGCTGTGCAGCTTCTCCCTTTCCCAACTTCCGGCTACTCACCGCCAGACTGAAGCACCTTTCCGCCCCTGACTACAACAACAAACCACGCCCCCCCGACTCAATGCGCGCGCAGGCGCATTAACCACGCATTAGCCACCCTCCCCCGCCCCCGGGGGGATGTGGGCGTGGCGGGTTGCTTGATTTCTCTAAGCCGCTTTTAAATTGGGACGTTTGCTGGGGCGTCCTGTGCTCAGTTCTCGGTGGGTTAGGACCATTGAGTTTCCTAATCATTTTCTGGGCTCCACGCAATCCTTTTTAGAAACTTTTTGCTTGATATGCGTCTGGAGACATTCGCGTCCCGGCTGCAAAGCTGGAGCCTATGGAGTGGATGGAGCAGGCAGACAGAGCCTGGGCTTCTCAACGAGCAACGTCAGCTTAGTTATTCCAGATCTGTCCTGGCTGCCAAGTCCTCTTTTTCTTCTTTCTTACTATAAGGGAAACTTGCCGCTCAGTAGCTTTCTTTCAAGTGGAAGTCGGTGTGCTTTGATACCCTCCGGGAGCATTTACAGGCGGGGGACACAGGTGGGCTGTTGGAATCCGTGTATTTACCTTCTAGGGGAATGCACTGGAGACACGCTGCGCTAGAGGAGAAGGGAAGCCAGGTCAGATTGGCTTTCCAGGCGCCCCTGTGTGCCCTCTCCGTTCCACCGATTCCCTTTCTTCTTCTACCCTGAAGGCCCTTGCTTTTGGCCTTGGCCAGACCATGGAAATTGACACTGCAAGTTGAATAGACCAGGCATTTATTTTCTGATAAATCAGGCCTCTGTCCTGCCTGCACCTTTGGCCTGCTTTTGATAAATGTTGCCGGCAGTGAATACGACGTGTGGGGTTCTGGCTAAACTTTCTGGAGGTGTCAATTGTAAATAGTGTTTCCTTACATTTGGGGCAGCACTTTCGAGTTTCCAAAACATGCTCCATGCAGTAATTGTCTCATTGGATTTCCTCAGCAGGTTGGGAGAAGATGGGGCAACTCATCCCTATTCTGCAGTGAAAAAACCTGAAGCTCAGAGAGGTAGATTGACTTGGGCACAGTTGCAGGACTAGAAAGTACAATAGAAGAATAAGAAACCAGGACTTCTGATCCTTGGTCTAGAAACTTTTGGCAGTCACATAGTCTTTTTTGTTTGTTTGTTTTTTTAATCTTACTAATTACCCTGATAATCCTGTTGGATAACAGAACAATTTGTTCATCCATGTCATGTTCTCTTGTTGCATAAAGGAAATGATAAGGGACTAGAGAGCTGATTTCTCAGCTGTAACCTTTAGAGCTCTGCCACCTTGCTAATCACTCGCTTATCCTGGATACCAGTGATTTGCCATCTTCCAAACGTGTGGGGAAAATAGTAAAGGTGAAAGCCATTTAGCTGCCAAGCTTATGCCACAAAGATCATCATCAGACCAGGAACTGGGTTGGACTCAGTAGCATCATTCCAGAGAGAGCACTGCTCCCCCAAGATGTGCTGCAGCATCAAGGCCTTAAGGATAAGGAACGTGGACAGCTCTCCAGTTTTCAACCAAGGCTGTGCTACATTTCCTTCAGTAATCCCATGGCAGAAAATGTAGTGACCATCAGAGCTTTGGCTTTTTAATCAGGCTCTGTGATTCTTATTAAGGATAAGGTCTAGGGTGATTCAAGGGAAAACAGCAGAAAAGGGGGAAAAATCCTCTTAATTCTTGCCCATGCATTCATAATAGGTAAAGTCGAGAGGGAATAGAAGGCCATTCCTCCGGGGCTAGTTGACCTTAATTGTCTGTCCTCTGTTAGGTGCTTTTAGCCGAGAAATACAGAAGAGGCACAGTCTGACAGAAGTCATCACTGATGGCCACCTTCATTCAGTACTTTGGTCATTTACAAACATTCATTGAGTGTCCACTATGGCCCAGGCCCTAAGGATGCCATGATGAGAGACACAATTTTGATGCTTGACTTTTTCCACGCAAACCTACCATAACTTATTCTATTTCCCTGTTGCTCTCACTTTTCTCCCAGTGCCCTTCCCAGCTGAGTTCTAATGCCTGATCATTTGTGTCATTTTTGGCAAGACACTCCAGAGGATGTATTACTGGTACAGCAAAACCTTCCACTCCCATCTGTCCCAGTCCCCACTCTTTCAGGATAAGCCCTAAGTCCTCCTTCATGTACTGTATATCCCTTTCGTCTCCCCTTCTAGGGAAGATGCTTCCAGGTCAATGGTTGTGTACATGATATGAAATAAACTGTAATCCTGATCTCCATAGAAGTTCCTTCTTCTGAATGCATTTACTTTAAAGCAATATTCTGCAAGGAGCCCCCGTGGTTTGTTACGCTTCTTTTTCCCTTTCTTCCTGGTTCCCTGGGGAACCACTGGCCCCTCTATCGCTAGCCCTGTGGTTTGAGTTGGTATTCATTCTGCTTCTCCTTAGAGGGGAGAACTTTGTTTAGCCTGAGCCATCCCAGAGTGAACCCAAAGAATTTGCCTGGGAATTCCGGAACACAGACTCTCTTTTCTTTGTGGAGCTTGGTGGTATGAAGTTGTGAGGCTCAGGACTGCCTCTGTCATGACGGATGAGCCTGGAATTTCCAGGGACCACTGTTGAAAGCCTGGGGACGGAGCCGAACAAGAGAAAGCAGAGAAGAAAAATGGGCCCACGACATGGTGGGTAGGCCCTGAATGCAGCTGGGTCGGAACCAATTCTACCTCTGGGTTAATCTGTTACGTGAACCAATTAACTCCACTACCCCCTTGGAAAACACTAATTTGAGTTTGGTTTTCTGTTCCTTACCAAAAATTGCCGGCTAAGAACTACCCTTAGGCTAAGGCTTCCCAAATGGTGTGCCGTGGTGCACCTGTGAGCTTGCTTATAGATATACCTGAGCTTGATGGCCCTAGCCTTTGGGAGGGACTCAGGGCAGCCAGAGTGCCAGGGCTGGTCATCTCTAGCAGCAAGTAGCTTTGTCCATTTATCCCAGTGAGACAACAAATGCAAAATTTTAATGTGCCCCATTATGGTGATTTTAAAATGTGTTCAAAAATTCTTTAACACTCCTCCATTCCAAAGGTAGAGCCTACTTCTCCTCTCCTTGAATGTGGACTGAATTTAGTGACTTGCTTCTGAAAAACAGAATATGGCAGAAAAGAGAGTATGACTTCTGAGACTAGGTCATAAAAAGACACTGCCACTTTTGCCTTGCTTCTCTTGAACTGCTCATCAAAGGGGAATTCAGTGAGCACTCATGCAGTAGGGGCTGAGGTCCACAAGCAGAAGAACTGAGGCCTCCCATCAATGACCAGCACCAACTTTGCAATGTTATGAATGAGCCACCTTGGAATAGAATCCTCCAGCTTCAGTCAAGCCTTCAGATGATAGCAGCTTTGGCCAATATCTTGATTGCAACCTCAAGCAAGACCTTAAGTCAGACTGCCCAGCTAAACTAATCCTAATCCACAGGAACTGGTGAGATATTGTTTATTGTTGTGTTAAGCTAATGAGTTTGAGGGCTATTTGGTATGCCTCGATAGATAACATTTATACCCAGAATGTGAAAAAGGTTGGGAAACACTGTGGACATACCCAGCATTCTGGAATAGAATAGAACCTTTAGTTTCAGTTTTGTTTTTTTTTTTTTAAATGATTCTTAGTCAATAGCAGCTTTACAACATTTGAGATAACAAGCATTTAAAAATACATTCAAAGCAAAACAAAAGCTCCCTGTGTTTGAAAACATACTTGCAAACCACAATTACCAGTGAGCGCTCTAAAAGTTTTTTGTTTTACAACTAATCTATTGTCATGGAAAGGACTTCTTACTGAATAGAATTATGGAGTTTAAGACAATGTGTGGCAAGACAAACCCAAACAGGTCTATGCAGTATATTCATCTTTCACTTTCATGAGATTCTTAAGAGCTGGTGACAGTTGCACCCTTGACCTTGCTAAAGGAAAAGAGGCAAGAAGCTGATCAGATTTCTCCCATAAACTTTCATTGAAGAGTTTTCCAAAGTAAAATCAAGAGGCCTACCATGGCATAGAGGTTTCTCCAGTCTTCAGGATTCAAAAGGCCTCATGTGCTTTACTCTTAGCAATGTTTGAAATGCTTCTTTCTTAACCCCGTATTTAGGATACACAATCAGAGGACCAGTGCCCAAGTTCTTTGTTTATGCCGTTACTTATGTAAGTGCAGCAATGCCTCCACTTCATTTATAACTGTTACATAAAGAACAACTAAACTATCTGGAATTGAGAAAAGAGCCAGGGTTAGCCTAGAAAGAGTATGAGCTAAACCAGTGTTGACCAGTCCACACTTGCCAACTCCACCAGCTTCACTTCTAGGTGAGCCCATGGGCTCTCAGTCAGAGTTCTTTCTTACTCTAGACAGTATTCTTCCTACATTGGTTATCTATAGTCTGAGCCCACAGATCAGAGGCATCACGTTATAAAAGTTGGAAGCTTCTAGCATTGTACCATCCAATACAGTAGCCACTAGCCACATGTGGCTATTGAACACCTGAAATGTGGCTGGACTTGAGATTAAGTGTAAAGTGTAAAATCTCTAAATATAAAACACATACATACAGAGTTTGAAGACACAGTATGAAAAAAAGAATGTAAAATACCTCATTAATAATTTTTCATATTAATTACGTGTTGAATTGATAATATTTTGTATATATTGGGTTCAATGAAATGTATTATTAAAATTACTGTCACCTGTTTCTCTTCCCGATTTTCTTTAATGTGTCTACTAGAAAATTTAAAGTGACATATGTGGCTTGTATTATATTTCTACTGCACAGTGCTGGTCTAGAAGCAGGCCTATTCACACTCATTCATTCATTTAATTATTCAGCTTATGCTTATTAAATGTCTTCTGTGTGTTGAGTTCTGGGCTAGGGGATAGAAATGCAACAGTGGACACAGCCCTTGCACTTGTGAAGCAAGTGGTACCCACTGCGGTATAAGAGAGACTGAAATCAAAAGTGACAACACGTATCTAAAAGCAGGGGACATTTAATCCAGAATATTTTAGGTCATAGGATTATTAGGGCTTTTAGAGTTCAAAGCCAGGCCTACCTTACTTACCACCTAAGGCTTATTGTTTGAGGGCAAAATATAATAGGTGTTGATAATAATGGCCACCCTGGAGTCACTCAGGAAAGGTTACCTTCCACAGGGCCTGCTCTAGTCTGCTGTGTATTACGGCTACAGCCATACAGATGCTCTTCCTCACTAAACTAAGAGGCTTTGGAGGGCAGTGACAATGTGGTTTGACCTTGGTCTCACCCAGTGTCTCCCACACAGAAGATACTTAACAACACATGGAATTAAAATATGTCATGCGTACTCATTTAAGAAAACAAACATATCATATACTTTAGAAAGAGTTCTGCCCCAAATGCCTAAAAAACAAAAAGTTTGCCCCTTAAACTAGTAAGCTTTAGTAATTTAAAAACAAAACAGTCCTCTTTCAGAATATAAGTTCATGCATACCTGATGGTGTAAGCAAAAAGTTCTTGGATATCCAAATTAAATTCTCTCTCATGACCACCAAGATTAAATATTATATACGAGGGGTGACCCTGGATAGCACTGTTTGACCAAGGCCATGATCATGCATCTTTCTTCTTCTCTGAAATGCTTTACAAAAGTCATGAGTTGTCGAAATAAAAAACACGAGTTGCAAAGGGAAACATTTTGCTTGCAATTCTTATTACATTTTTAGTACCAGTCAAGGTAATCATTCATATTAAAAAATATATAATTTAATTCTCAAATAATAACTTTGTTCCTCTTTCTCCTAAAGTACACTGTCCAAAGAATCCTGAATATATTCTTTAGTTGATGTACACATGCACAATGTTCAGAAATGAAAGTAGAAATATTACCCTTTTATAAAAATAAACTTGGTCCCAGAGAGGATGAGAAAAAGAGCAAGCAGGAGCGAGCATAAGAAAAAACGCAAAGCTTTGGAGGAGAATTGTTTCAATTTAAGTAACTGCAGCATCTGCAACTTTGGGCAGGTCACTCAGAGTACCATTATCTCCTAACTCAGTGCTTCGAGTGTGCTCCTCTATAAATGCATGTTAAATTAACCACCTAACAGAACAATAAAGCAAAAATAACTATACAACAATTAGTCCACCGTTACCAAAAGGGTAACAAGTTCACAAATAATTAATTGATCCCCACATTTCCAGCCTTCAGGATCTTCGGATTTCTAGTAAGGCCTCTCCTCACAGTTTTATTGGAAATGTTTTGTACTCCAGCAAGGTCACCTTCCTTTCCCATAAAGAGGGGAGGAGAGAAGTTCACTCTGAATAGTTGGTGGACAACTTGTCCATTTTCCCTTGGGCAATTTGGGTTTATCTAAATTCAGGTTAAATTCAAATACAGGCGGGAGGAAGTCATCAGTTCCTGACCACTCAGCAGGAGATGCTGTTTATGCTTTGTTTTGCACAATTATGTGAAAAAACATGGCTTAATAAATATACAGGCACCCCTGATTAACCATCCTCCACCACCTCCATCCCCCAAATGCCCCAGATCTGCTCAGACCCCATTTGGGTGTAATTCCCATGGTCACTTGGATCCCAAAGCTTCCAGAGTGCTGTCTGGCCAGGGAGCATGTGGCATGTCCTGTGCGGCAAATGTCCTGTTTTAAGTTCCAGCGGGTCCTTCTCCAGGGTCACAGGGCCTCCAGTCTTCATGCGTGAAGATAGCTTTTCTTAGCTGCCCTGTGACAACTGGGTTTCACATTTCCTGAAACTAGATCTGTGGAAGGAGTCTCTGAAATTAAGGAGGGAGAGAGGACAGAAGTAAGAAACATCAGTTAGCCTTTTAAAGAGGAAAATCACTCACTAGAAAAGTACATCAATCATGGAGAACTCAGTAAAGTAAGTAAGTATGGGAAAGTGTGGCCATGCCTTCGCGCTGTGCCGGAAGAAATACAGGCAGTAATTCGGCCCTGGGAAGATGGCTGGCAGAAGGCCGCATGGAGGGGCCCCGGAGAGGTCAAGAAGGCACAAGGGCAGCGGGATGCAAGCAGAGCAGATCACGCTTGGGTGGCTTCTCTGATTCCAGGGCCCGCTCCCACACCCAGAGGTTCTGCAGTTCTGATTGCTGGGCCTCAAGCGCTATCCTTTATCCTCTGGGAAGAGGCCTCCCCTGCCCTCTTCTTACCTCTTATGACTGTCAACTCTGAATATCGGCTTGTAGAGTTCTGGAATTTTCCGCTCTATCATTGGCCTGAGGTTCTCTCTCAGCTTGTTGTAGTTCTTTTTGAGTTCCATCTGGTACTCTCTCTGGTCTGCTGTGATGAGACGCTTGTTTTTCTCTACGGCTTCACCGCATCTGAGATGCAAATATCAGGGTGGGGAGAAAATGAGGTTGCATTTCATACAAGTTTTAAGTGCTTACAAATTATATATATATATATATATATATATATTTTTTTTTTTTGGCAGTACGCGGGCCTCTCACTATTGTGGCCTCTCCTGTTGCGGAGCACAGGCTCCGGACGCACAAGCTCAGCGGCCATGGCTCACGGGCCCAGCCGCTCTGCGGCATGTGGGATCTTCCCAGACCGAGGCATGAACCCATGTCCCCTGCATCGGCAGGTGGACTCGCAACCACTGCGCCACCAGGGAAGCCCAGAATGGATTGATTTAATTCACCCTGGAAGCCAAAACCACGCCCTTAACTGGATTTTCACTTATCTTTTAAGTTTGACATTAATTGAAGCAAACTGTAGGATACCAAAGGTTACATATCAAGGTTTCAGGGAAGAGGTAGGAAGGGGAGGTATATAGCCTTTGAATCCTGAGAAATCTACATCACCCCTTATTATTTTTCTATTGCCTCTTAAACTAACAGTTATGAGCTACCACAATGTGTAAAATGAAATCAGTTTCTTCAAGGAGACTTCAAGGACCAGTTTTGTAACACTGGCAGACAAGAGACCTCCAGGAGTGAACTGCTAACTTGGGGATGGCTACTCCGCAAACTTTGGAAGAAGCAACTATACTCTCTGTGATCTTTGTTATCAGAAGACATAATAGCTATAAATATATATAGTGTTTTGTTTGTTTTTTTTTTAGTATAGTTTTTAGCTCTTGTTCATTGGTGGATTTGGTTTTTTGGTTTGGTTGCTCTTTCTTTCTTTTTTTTTATTACTTAAAAAATTTTTAAATTTTTATATAGTGTTTTAAAAAGACAAATATATTAATAGGTGGAGCGAATTTTTTTAACTTTATATTTTAACAAATTTTATACCTTATAAAGTTGTTTCATAGACATTTTCTGTATTTCTTCCTTCCATTTAGATTATATTCTCTAGATTTTCTTATTAAAGTTAAAATAACTTCCACTATGTTAATTTAAATCCATAAACTAAAGAGAGCCATGCATTATGTTTCCCTCCTAGAGAAGAGCCACATCTCTTGGGAAATGTATACAGGATCATATAACTACATTGCAAATCATTTTTTAAAAATGGTCCTATCTGTAACATTTTCATTAGGTCCACAAACAGCTGAACTGTGCAACTTTCACTCAGTGACACCACCATTCCAGACAGCCCCCTCCTTTGCTGCTCCCTTTGTTGATAAGTTCACTGAACACAAGCATTTTCTTACAGTCGATGTGCTGGGATTTTTCAGCAGAGTCCTACAGAAACCAGACTGATGGGGACTAGAAAGGGTGGGAAGTTGTGCTTCCAGAACATGGTTCCCGGTTTTGCTGGGGGTAACTTTCATAGTCCTCTATCTAAGGTGTCTTTTCTACAGAGAGGGTGGTCATGCAGCCCTCACCCTCTGCATCTCTTGCCCTCCCTTCTCTGTGACGCTCCTTCAGCACAGCTCACATATCAGTCCCTCAGTATGGCCAAAAAATTGCTAGTTGCTTCATCAACCCATTCCCTCTCTTGCTTAGTAGCAGAACTCCAGGTGGTATACCCAACTGGAAACTTACATTCCCTAGCCTCCCTTATAAATAGGGATGGCTGAAGAGCTATAAGATGAAGTCACTAGGAAAGCTCTTTAAAGGGGTGTAGCCTTTTGCTCTTTCCTCATTTCTATTCCTGATACCTGCCTAGGATGTAGTTGTGATGGCCAGAGCCTTAGCAGCCATTCTGTGACTATGAGGATGGATATACTATAACCAGGATAGCAGAGCAAAAGAATGGAAAGAGCCAGGGTCTCCAGCTAAGGTCCAGTGACCACCACACAGCTCTGGGATGCCTATCTCTGATCTTGTTTCATATGAGAGAAAAATAATTTTCTATCTTATTTAAGCCACTCTTAATTCCATTCTGTTACTGGCAACTGAATGTACTTCCTAGAGAGAACAGGCTCTGGAGCTGGAGTGCTCACCTCTGAATCCTGCTTTGCTACTTATTGGCTTTGTGACATTAGGCAAGTTACTTAAGCTTTCCATGCCTTAGTTTCTTCACCTGTGACATGATGGTGAAAATAGCCTACCTCATAAATTTTTGTAAAGATTAAATGAATTAAATATATAAAATGCTTAGAATAGTACTGTTACATAGCTAAAACCTAGAACACTTATTGTTATTATTATTATTGTTACTATTCCTGATAGACCCAGTCTGAGTGCAGAAACTATTTGTTCTATATAAGAATGATGATGGGATGTCAGAGATTTTATATTCCAGTCCCTTTTTTTTCATAGTTGATGAAACTAAGATGCAAAGAGATGAAGTGCCCTGTCCAGAGTCATACACCTTTGGGAACAGGAAAGGTGGATGTAAATCCAGGATCCTGCTGCTCCCAGGCTGATGTCTCATCAGCCCCACTGTGTGTTATGTTACAAACCTTACAGAGGCACACAAGTCATGGGCAGACAATGTCTATATTTAAATCAGATTAAGTCTCTTTCCTATGTAAATCAATCTGGTTTCTATTTGCCCCATAATGTTATATTCATCAATCACTTCATATGTGCCAAGTCCTATTCTAAGCTCTCTGAATTGACTCTTTTGATACTAACTTTAAGAGGTAGTTACTATTTTATCCCCATTTTACAGTTGGGGAAACTAAGGTTGGGTAACTAGCCCAAGGTCACACAGCTAGTTAAGGCAGAGTAGATATTATTTATTTATTTACTTATTGTTTTATCTTTGGCTGCGTTGGGTCTTCATTGCTGCACACGGGCTTTCTCTAGTTGCAGCGAGCGGGGGCTACTCTTTGTTGCGGTGTGCGGGCTTCTCATTGTGGTGGCTTCCCTTGTTGCGGAGCACAGGCTCTAGGCGCACGGGCTTTAGTAGTTGTGGTACGCGGGCTCAGTAGTTGTGGCACGTGGGCTCAGTAGTTGTGGCACATGGGCTCAGTTGCTCTGTGGCATGTGGGATCTTCCCGGACCAGGGATCAAACCCATGTCCCCTGCAGTGGCAGGCTGACTCCTAACTACTGTGCCGCCAGGGAAGTCCCAGAGTGAATATGTGAAGCCAGGCAACTAGGCCCGAGAGCCCACACTCATAACCCCAACACCACAAATGCTGCCTAGGAAAGACCCTGACCCTTCCAGCTAGAATCCAAGGCATACGGTCTTGGTCTCAAGTTGGAACTATTCTCTCCCGAGTCCCAATTTGTAGTATTCGGCGTTTCTCATCTTCTTCCTGGTAACACTTTAGCAAGTCTCCAGCTAAGGTCCAGTGAAAAAATACAGCTGCTGGAGGGAGAGGAGAGATACCGGAGAAACTGAGGGATTGGCTCCCCACCCCCTCCCGTGACTGGAGTGATATATGTGGTCTAGGCCCTTGAAGTTGAGGAAGGATTATTTGGGGGCAGGGCACCAAAGGAACATCTGGCCTTTCCACAGGAAGGGCTGCAGTGGATGTGAGGGTCCCCTGGTCAGAGCCACCTCGGCTGGCACCTCCAGCACTGTCCCCTGCATTTCTTCCCTCCCAGCCCAACCTCTACCAAACCCCAGATCCCAAGGGCAGCCGGTCTCAGTGGAAGGCTAGTCTAATTCCTGGTTCTGCCACTTACTTGCTGTGTGACCTTGGGCTAATCGTGGTCTCCTTCAACCGCACTTCCTTCATCTATAAAGTGGGTTTATGAGGATGAAATGGTGTGGGGCATGTGAGGACCTGACCAAGCGGCTGCGGGAGGAGTGCTGTGCAGGCGGCGTGGCCTGCCTCTCCTGGAGCGAAGCGGGGGAGACAGCCCACCAGGAGCACTGTCCTGGATGCCCCGCTGCTGCCTGCGGGGAGGCGCCTGAGGCCGAAGGAGCAGGGCACCACGGGGGCAGGGAGCGCACCCCAGGGCAGACAGGAGCAGCCGTGGCTGGATCCCCCGGCTGTCGCCCTGAGCCCCCTCTACTTCCCTTGGCTGGGCGGCCCCAGAGGGGCCGGTGGGGCTCCCTGCCTCGGGGAAGTCACAGTGGCCCTGCTTCCTCCTCCTAAGGGGGCGAGATTGGGACTACGGGCTTGGGAAGGTGTCCAGTCTCGAGTCTGACACCTGGAAGCAGGTTCTGAGGACCTGCTGAACACCCCAGAACCCAGCGGGGGGTGGGGTCTGCCTAGATCAGACTCTAGGCTAGTCTCTAGGACCTGACTCACATTATACTGTCTTCTGCCTCCTTGGGCCCTGGGCTTCTGTCCTGAGGAGTTACAGAGGCCTGTGGTTCCGACGATCGCACACTATTCTCGATTTCACAGTCAGCCCAGACACCCTCCCACGCGGTGCCCTGGCCCTGAAGTGAGAGCACCGTCAAGCCCTGAGGATCGAGACCTTGTTCAAGAGAACCAGGGATGGAGATGCGCTAAGAGAAGAGGACAGGATAGCACTGTAACTGAAATGGAATTTTTCCTCTTGGGAATGGTTGCAGAAGGCCTGGGAGGGGGAAGCCACGTGCACGTGTGTGTGTGTGTGTGTGTGTGTGTCTGTGTGTGTGTGTGTGTGCTGCTCCACTCGGCTCTCAGTTTTCCACCCAGCCTCCTAGGCCCACTAAGACAGGTCCCTGTGACCTGGAAAAGGGACAGAAGTCCTTCATATGTCCCTGCTATGGACCTGCTCTCGAGCAACCTCTCGTAATGTTTCAGGCTTTGTTTTGTCAGCTAATGTTTCAGGTTTTGTTTTCCCACCAAATACTCAGATCTCTTTTCACCTACTGCTTCTGTTTCCACCCACACTACACACAGTTGGTTCTCCTCTGGCCTCTCCTTCCTCTTCACAGACCTTAACTCCCGTTAAGACTCTTCGACCATTTATGCGGTGGAACTCTACTGATGTATCTGAAACTATGTCCCTTAAAGGCAACCTGGACCTGGTGCCATTGAGTCCTGCTCTCTTTCCTTTAAATATAAAAAATGAATTTAAAAATCACTTAGTCTTTATAAGAATGAGAAAGTTCACATGTTATGGAATGAAGGTTTGTGTCCCTCCCAAAATTCACATGTGACTTCCATGTGATGGGATTTGGAGGTGGGGCCTTTAGGAAGAATGAAGGTTTCAATTAGGCCGTGAGAGTGGGACCCACATGATGGGATTAGTGCCCTTGTAGAAAGAGACCAGAGAGCTATCTTCTTCATCTCTCTACCAGGTGAGGATACAGTGAGAAGGCGGCCATTTACAAGCCAGCAAGAGGGTTCTCCCTAGGAACTGAATCTGCGGGCACTTTGAGCTTGGACTTCCCAGCCTCCAGCACTGCGAGAAATAAATGTCTGTTATTCAGCTACTCAGTCTGCGGTATTTTGCTATAGTGGCCCAAGCTGACTAAGACAGAAATATAAGAGGAAAATTTAAAACCACAGACTGGCACAGATTACAGTGTTTAAAATGGTCTGGGTGCTCTGGGGAGCAGAGGAGGGAAACAGTATGTTGTACCTCTCCATCTTGGCTTCTGAAACCCTGAGATGTTTCAGAAGGGGATCCAGGCCCCAACTTGGCAACCATCTGAAGAGCTGCAGGACTGGGTGGATCAGGTGTCAGCTGCAGCAGGTCAGCCTGCCAGGTTCTTTATGGCTTCATCCAGGCCCACTACAGCTGAGTCAGACAGGCCACTGCCCAGTGGCAGGACCCAGCTACAGTGTACCCAGCAAGTGTACATTTCCGTTATTAGCAATCAGCCTTGGAAGGCTCACTTATGTTCACCTTGGAAACCTGGGCTTATCGACCTACAGCCCAAGTCTGCTGAGAAGCTGGAGCTCACTCAAGGCAACACCGGGAACGGTTTCACACCCAAACATTTTCCACTCCTGCATCATCTCTGCTGATAGCGGGTTCCAGGGAGAAAACACAGGGGTGCAAACAACCTGACCAAACAATTCCTCTATTCATTACAAAGCTGTGACTTGCTGATTGGACTTGAGAAGCAATTAAGCAATGGAGGAAAGGAAGGTTTCCTCACCTACTACTTGTACTGAGGGTATAAGTTACAGATCATCACATTTACCCTTGTAAATAATACAGTTTGATTAGTTTTAGTAGATTAATACAGTTATGCAACCTTCACCACAATCTCACCCACTACTTTTTTTTTTTTTTTTTTTAGTGGTATGCGGGCCTCTCACTGTTGTGGCCTCTCCCGTTGTGGAGCCCAGGCTCCGGATGCACAGGCTCAGTGGCCATGGCTCACGGGCCCAGCCGCTCCGCGGCATGTGGGATCTTCCCGGACCAGGGCACGAACCCGTGTCCCCTGCATCGGCAGGTGGACTCTCAACCACTGCGCCACCAGGGAAGCCCTCACCCACTACTTTTGATGCATGTGAAATAAAGTGGAATGAAAGTCACTGTACTTCGACTTTGACAATGAAGTAGTGAGCAGAAGTACTGTTTTGCCTGTAGCCTTGTCTCATTTGTACTGGAACTTCATCTTTGCACACAGGTAGCAGGGTGCCTGGCACAAAGTATGGGCTCAATAAATGTTTGCTGAATGAACTGGCATCTATAGTTGTTCAAAGGTGTTAATAGTAATGGCACATTTCCTCCTGTGAAGGGAGGAAAGGGGAGGAAAAAGGGTGAGTGACAGTAGGCAGGACCTGACGCGTGAAGCCCTCGGGGAGGGGGCAGGGAGGAGAAAATGTGAGATGGCAGCAATCAAGCAACCTCTACAGCTTTGCAGCCTCTGCTCAAAGATCGGTCCCATCTGGCAGCTGCAGCAGCACCTGGGAGCTTGTTAGAAATGCAGAGTCTCAGGCCCACCCCAGAACTACTGAATCAGAATCTGCATTTTGACAAGATCCCCAGGTCATTTGTTTTGCACAGTGAAGTTTGAGAAGCGCTGACAGATATTCTTGTGGCATTCCTAGAACAGGGCGGCAGCCCACCCAGCAGGGGGAAGGTCCGCAGCCATCGGCAGGCGGACTCTCAACCACTGCGCTACCAGGGAAGCCCTCGACAGGGATTTTATAAGGACATTTTAACTAAAAAATCACTTCTCTTAGCAAGCTTCCTTTTACATCTATATTCTATTCAGAGCCCCACTTGTCAATAGTGCTGTCTTCCCAGGCTCCCCTCCCTGTGCTGGCATGCCCACAGAATGCACTGGTCTTGCCAACTCAGAGGAGCCCAGACGTATCAAGGACAGCCCTGCCTCTGAGTCTTGTGCTACTGTTGGTCCCTTTACCAGTAATGCCTCTGTCTTCCCACTGCCCGCTTCTTACCACCTACATACCCAAGACGAGGTTTAAGTGATGTTTTCCCACAAAGCTTTCCCTAGCCACTGCAGACTGCAACTGACCGTTCTTTTCTGAACTCTTAGCCCTATATTTTGTGTACTCTCCACAGTTCTTAGAACATGCTGCATTGCTTTGTTATTTAGCCAGGTAAAAGTCCTATTGTCAGGAGCAGAGGAACACCCAGCTCCTGTATTCCTACAACGAATATCATACCTGGGTCCTAGTGTGTGCTCATTAAACACTTCACAGGTCCTTGCAGAGGTCCAGAGAGGCCCGGGCCACTGCCACCTTCATGGGCTTTTCACAATAACTTCATTTTATATGAAGATACGTGGAAAGTAAATTGATCTTTAAAAATTCCCCCAATACTTTTCTAGCCTTTCGTTTTATGAAAATGCACTTTACTGAAGAATATCTAGATTTTGTGTAATGTCAAAATTGTTATGAAATACAGGAAACAATTCAAATACAAAACATTAATAAATATAATTTCTGTCTGTGCATGTGTATGTATGTGCATATGTATAGTGTGCACGCACACATACACACACATACACACACACACACACACACACACACCCCTATTATTAAGCAGCTGAGATTCACCGCAGGACAAAGAATGTCTCCCTTATATGTAGCAAATTTACATATGTCTCACCAAAGCCTGTGAAGGAGGAGAACCTCACCTGACACTAGCATTCTGGTGAGTTTTCACTGAATTTAGCAAACTTTAACTTTTAGCCTCCTTTATCCCCACCTGCCAAGTGAAGATATTCCTATACTTTATATGCTGCTCTAAGACCCTGGGTGAAAAGAAATATTAGTACATGTACTTCTGATGTCCTTCTCTCTTATGCGTGAGGCGCCATCCACATCCTTCATAATCATTCCTTTTAGGGCCACAGGAGTCCCAGTATACCTGTGTGCATTGCAGCAACTTGCAAGACCTTGTCCCAAGATTCACTTCCTATCCAGCCTGAACAGGCTGCTCTTGGAGCCAGCTCTACTGCAGAATTCAGGAGCAGAGAGGACGCTTGTCTGCCAGTGGGAATTGCCATAGAGATGATTGATACCTTTGTAAAATTCTAGTTTTAGAATCTCGCCTCTATCTCTCAATTTGAGGCAGTCTTTTACATTTATAAAAATAAGTTATTGTATGATATGGGAAACTACAAAGACTGCCCATGCCAAGAACCTCTCAGGCTCTAATTCATCAGTGGAACATCATCACGTTGAAGGAAGTATTCGCTACTTGGATTCAGAAGACCTGGTTTGAACTCAACTCTGCTACTAACTTGCTGTGTGACCTTAAGTAAAATCATTTCCCATCTCTGAACCTCCATTTCCTCTTTTGTAAAATGAAGATTTATTTTACAATGTGAGATGATAAATATGAATGCACCGTACAGTTTGTGAGCTACTAGTGCAAGTAGTGTTGCTCTATGCAGGCTTCTCAAACTTGAACACGCGTCCGAATCCCCTGGAGGACTTGTTAAAATACGGGTTGCTGGGTCCCACCTCTGGAGAGTCTTACTCAGTAGGTCTGACTGGTATCTGAGAATTTTCCTCTCTAGCAGATTTCTCAAGTGATGCTGAATCTGCTCGCCTGGGGACCACAATTTGAAAACCACTGCTCTACTGAAATCCCAGCCATTTCCCCTCTTACCGCATTATGAATTCTTTAAAGCATAATCTCAACTTGTTGTGATGTCGATAGAGTTTTGGGTCAGCTGGAATTTCAGCCAAAAATACTTGGGCTACTTCCAGTGGTCCCTGATGGGAAAAGTGAAAAACATTACTGATGTTGGAAAGAAAGTGAAATTACTTGGGAGGAAATGTTGGGAGTGAGGTCATAGTTTGAAGAATTAATTTTGTTAGTTTGACCAAAACAAAAAATCAAGGAAGGTCTTGAACTTCTCAGGAAAATGCTGATCCCTTAGGAGGAGTTTGCAGTTTTAGGAGAATATTCAAAAGTATAAATGTATTTCCTTAATCAAATACTACTAATTACAGATTTTCCTTCATACAGAAAGGTAATATACTGCATCAAAGGGTATGTGATTAGAGTTGCTTTTCTGAAAATAGAGATTCTCTTGATCCAGCCATTCATATTCATTTGTCTAGTTGCCCTAGTGGCAAGCACCCTTTTGCGTAATTGCTGGCTTGAGTCAGAGATATGCATAGTACATGTGTAATCTATGGTTGTGGGCTTATAAAGTCTTCCATTTTCATTAAAAGATTGGGACTTACAAAAGCAAAAGCCTCCTAATATTTTCTGATCATAGAAATGTAACAAATACTATTTCTGTCCCCTTGATATTTTGTGGACAGAGAATTTTTGCTGGGGAGTCCAGTTGTGCCGAATGAGGAAAGGGTCATAGCACTCATTGAGTTTTTGTGTGGGAGGTACTGATCTAGTTCTGAAATTAAGGAAGCACACTGGACAGAGAGAACTAAGCTCGTATGCCCTCCATCTGAGGCCGGATTAGTTCCATGCTGAGATCGGAGTTAGAATTCTAATGGGTCTGAGAAGATCCAGTCTGTTTTGAAGTGGCCCAAGAAGCCGGTTCCAGGTCACTCCTGCTTAGCAACACTCCTGGCATACTGGTTTGATCTGGTGACTGACCCAGGGGTTCAATGTCCTAGACCCTTTCCCTTCTCTCCTACAGGACTTCTCAGATTTATCTCAAGCCTTGCAACAACTCTGCCTAAATTGGGCATGACTAAGCACTCCATCTGGATCATATTGCCAGGATTGGTCCCAACTTCTCCAAAAAATGCTACTCCTTAGACACGGTCCACTCATCTCTAGGATTTCTCGTCTACCTTGGGTTGTTACATGAAGCAGAAGGGACCTCCTCAAGTGTTCCGTCTAAGCTTAGGAACATCATTTGTATGTTGATCAGACTCCTCATTGACCTCAAGAAAGGGTGCAGGCATATAGTAACACGAATCAAAATAACAAGAACCAGAGGAGTTGCCACCAGCTGGTTTCGCTTACCTGATTGACAGTAGCTCCGACGGAGCCTTGCAGCACCATCTGAAGCATCTTGGCATCAGGAGGCTCCTGGTTAATGGCAACTGCTAACTGCAGGGTCTTCTTCTTCATATCTTCGATGGCAACTTCAATTGGTGTCAAAACAAACTGAACGTAAGACATAAATGTAGGAAAGTCATTGTCAGGTCTTATAAGCCACGGACAAACCTGAAGCTATGACAAAGAGGACACTGGGTTTGAAGCAGCAGCTAAGAAGGCTTTCAGAAAAATTTAGAATAATCAGGATAGGTTAAGAGGAAGGAAGAGCCTAACATTTCTTGAGGACTTATTATGTTCCAGGAATTTTACATGCATTTATGATTTACTTCTTTAAACAACTTCCTATTCTCTCCACTTTGCAGTCAAAGAGGGATTTGTAAGGTTAAGTAAGTGACACAGGTCATAAGTGGGGAGGTCAGATTTTGACCACAATAATGTCCACATTCAAAATCCATGTTTTTTTCTACACTGTTAGGTTTCCTTTCCTATTGTGGAAGAAGTTACTTGACTTATAATTGGGAAAGCTGTTAGAAGCACAGCAGTCAAGATTTTCTTCTCCACCATAACACACGATTTTGGCATCACGTGTGCCTTTTCTAACTCACCCTGAAGATGAATTCTTAGTAAAGAGAATTCTCTTAAGGGTCAATCTGCTAGTTGCTAAGTTCTGTTGGCTTGGAGTATGACCTTTTCTGAATTTTATTGATGGAGTCATGTCCCCTCCAAATTCAAGTATTTAATTCCTAAACCCCAGTACCTCGGAATGTGACTTTATTTGAGACAGGGTCTTTATAGAGGTAACCAAGTTCAAAGGGGGTCATTAGGATGGGCCCTCATCCAATATGACCTATATGTCTCTACAAGAAGAGGAAATCTGGACATAGGGACATGCACAGAGGGAAGATGACGTGAAGAAACACAGGGAGAAGGCAGCCATCTACAAGCCAAGGAAAGAGGCCCGGAATAGATCCTTCCCTCACGTCTTTCAGAAGGAACCAACCCTGCCAACACCTTGATTTTTGACTTCTGGCCTCTGGAACTATAAAACAAGAAATTTCTGTTGTTGAAGCCACCCAGTCTGTGGTACTTGGTTACAACAGCTCTAACAAACTAACACACTGAGGTTCTTAGGGAACTACAAATGGCCCAGAAAAATTGTGAGGACTCTTATTGGGACCGTGAGTTTATTTCTGTGCTGTGCTGACATGTCCTAGTGCTCAAGAGTCTACAACAGTAAGAAATACAGCAGATGCCTTCTAAGCAAACCTTCTCTCAGCTGAGTCATCAGTTCTGGCTTCCTTTGCCCTCTGTGAAAACCACTCTCTGATGTGGCTGCTGAACACCTGAGCTGGTGGGTAGCTCTCCAGTAACCTCAGCCCCCGTGCTCCTGCCAGGGAGGTGTGTATTCACCACAACTCATCAGTGTTTGTTTACCAACTTGCTTATGCCTGTTACACTTGTTATTTTAATGAGCTAATCTAATTCAATAATGCATAAACTGGTGAACTATGGCTGTGGAAAGAAGAAGAGTTGTTTCTATGAAAACCAAGCTAATGCTTGCGCAAGATGTTACGAAAGCAAGTTGCTATAAAAGATTCCTGTTGGGGCTTCCCTGGTGGCGCAGTGGTTGAGAGTCCGCCTGCTGATGCAGGGGACACGGGTTCGTGCTGCGGTCTGGGAAGATCCCACATGCCGCAGAGCGGCTGGGCCCCTGAGCCATGGCCGCTGAGCCTGCGCGTCCAGAGCCTGTGCTCCGCAACGGGAGGGGCCACAACACTGAGAGGCCCGCGTACCTCGATAAAAAAAAAAAAAAAAAAAAGATTCCTGTCTTATTAGGTGTGCACAAGACAATGGTAAAAGGCTAGGGGGAAAAAATCATAAAAATCCAGAAGCATTCTGCTCTTATATTGTTTAACAAGGATCTTTAAGCTCTCACTCTGCTTTACAGAAACCCAAACTGAACATCCTGGACATTGCATATGGGTAGACATTGCATATGGTTTATACAAGAAAGACAGTGCTGAATCGTGATCAGCCAACCCTAAATCACAGACAAGGCTGTGGCTCTACACGAAATGAATGACAAATAAGTGCACATGTATATATTGTAAAGTAAAATGTTTACAGTATGTCTAATTTTGAGCAGTTTTGTAGCTTGAGAGATTTTCTCCATCAGTGCCATTACAATGAACTTGAAGACTTCTGCTACACATGGAACCAGAAAAAAGAAAGAGGTCTTCCCTGTATCAACATTTAGATAAGGAAACTGAATGAAGATAAGAGCCTTGTGCAACGTCACAGGAGGATGCTGGGACTAGAAGGCAACTGGTCTCCTGTCTGACTGGCATGGTGCCCTCTTCCAGCTCAACACAGACTCCTTGGGGCTGCTCACTTGCTGTTCCTGCCTCTGACAATGAACAACAGAACGCTGCCTGAATCACATGTAAGCTTTTAAATATATAAAAATCTAATAAAAGATATTGTAAACTTTGATATTTCATGTAAATTTAACATTAACATATAAAGACATAGTAAGTATTATAATTGCGTACATAGATTTATGTTAAAGATATAACTTTAAAGTAGAAAATACTTAAATATAAAGTGTGCTATAAAACATGTAGCTGCCTAACTGGGATTCCCTGGCACCACGAGAGTGATAGGATAACCAGCATAAATAATATTTCAAAGGCATCCCTTTTTAGATGTGCACCTGAGTCTGCCATGAAGGAGCATGAAGGAGGTTTGTGTGTCAGCCTGGGAGGTGACCCAGGCCCACTCCCTCAGTGGTGGCCTCTGTCCAGAGCCCATTCCCTCCAGTGCCTTTACCTCCTCCTTCTGGATGACGCTGATCCTGGTCTTGATGTAGGGGAAGGCGTGCATGGTGGTCAGGACAGTGTTCCTCCGGTACTGCTCGTGCAGTTCTCCCCGAGGCCGGCCCTCCAGGGTGAAGGGGGTGGTGTACATAAACCTCCGCAGATCGAAATTCTTCTCAAAGTAGGTTAGCCTGTCTTTCATCTCATACTCGTCAAAGTAGGGCTCCACAAAAGTGATCTGTATGTAGGCCTGAGGGGGGAAAGGTAAGGGATGAGCTGGTCTGCAAACTTCCACCCAGGATGCACTGGGGGGCACGCGGAACACAGAGGGGCAGCACCACCCCTCTGCGCTCACAAAAGCCACGGAAGCTGAAAGCATCAGGCGAGACATCAGCCATCGGCCATCCTTCCTCTCCACCCCAGGGATATGAGAGACGGGACTGGGAGAAGGGACGGGAGTGCGCCCGTGTGAAGTCAGGTCCACAAGCTGCCCCTCCTAGCAGAGCTGCTGATCCAACTGAAACTTGGTATGAGAGTTTGCAAACTGCTATTCAGAAGAAGCAAAGCTTTCCTTTTCAGAACCACTATGACCACTGCAGGTGTATTAGAATGGCCAAACTAAAGCAACTGACAACACCAAGGGCTGAGAAGGATGGGGAGCAGCTGGAGTGTTCACACACTGATGGCGGGAATGTACGGTGGTACAGCCACCTTAGGAAACAGGTCGCAGTTTCTTATATAGTTAAATTATACTGACCATATGACCCAGCAATCCCACTCTGGTGCACGTGCCCAGTAGAAATGAAGACTTGTGTTTACACTAAACCCTGTACACAGATGTCTATAGCAGCATTATTCACAATAGACAAAAAACAGGAACAACCCAAATGCCCCTCAAGTGGGGAATAGATAAACAGACGGTGGTACATCCTTACAGCAGAATACTACTCAGCAATAAAAAGGAATGGACCCCTACAAGACGGATGAATCGCAAATGTATCGTGCCAAGTGAAAGAAGCCAGACTCAGAAGGCTCTATGATTCCACTTATTTACTGTATCACTCCATTTATGTGGCATTCTGGGAAAAGCAAGACTGCAAAGACAGAATGCAGATTAGTGACTGTCAGGGGCTGAAAACAGAGGGAGGGAATGAATACAAAGAGGCATATGGGGAAATATTTTGCGGTGACGGAACTTTTCTGTCTGATTTTGGTGGTGGCTCCACGTGCTTGTCAAAATTCATAGAAATAAACACCAAAAAAGTGAATTTTACTGCACCTATTTCATTAAAAATACGTACACACATACACACGAACACACACACACATACTATGAAGAAGAGCACTTATTTAGAAAGAAGGCCTTGGGCTTCCCTGGTGGCGCAGTGGTTGAGGGTCCACCTGCCAATGCAGGGGACACGGGTTTGTGCCCCGGTCCGGGAAGATCCCACATGCCGCGGAGTGGCTGGGCCCGAGCGCCACACCTGCTGGGCCTGTGCTCTAGAACCCGTGAGCCACGGCTGCTGAGCCCATGTGCCACAACTATGGAAGCCGGTGAGCCTGGAGCCTGTGCTCCGCAAGGGTAGAAGGCACCGCGGTGAGAGGGCTGTGCGCCGCAGCGGGGAGTGGCCCCTGCTTGCCGCAAGTAGAGAAAGCCCGCGCACAGCAACGAGGACCCAACTCAGCCAAAAATAAATAAATTTATTTAAAAAAAAAGAATAACAATGACTATAGTCACTGCAATACCCACCCACTGAAATGGATGGATGAGGTCACTGATCTCAGACCATAAATCACTATTGAGTGTGATGAAATCTGGCTGTAATTCTGGCTGCAGATTCTCATTTAAAACTCTCACAACCAACTTTGGGCGTTTTAACAGAGGGGAAAAGAGCACCGTATCAGGGATGTCACTGGTAACTCTATGTGGCATGTGCTGTGCCCAGATCACTGTGGGCACACAGCCAATCCTGTCTTTCAAAGACGTCAAACATTTCTGTGTGAAGCTTAGCTCAGCTACTTACCACAGTTATTGCTTCCAGGCTAGATTAGGGAGTGTATCTGAAGTGAGTGAGTCCTTTGAAATGTGTAGAAAAACAAACTCTTAGATTTGGACACTTCTCCCTACTTGCATCATCTTCATAATATCTTGGAGGACAGAAGTGAGAGAAGAGTTTGAACTCTTCATTTTATAGGCCTGCCAGATGATGACTGCTCCTCTGTCCCTCAGCCCTTAAAAATACCTTGAATTTGCATTATTTCCAGCAGCTTAGAAAGCTCTCTCATGTGCATATCTGTCTGTGAGCTGGGCTGAGTGGGTAGGCATCACCTGTGGTATAATAAAGAATGTATCGGGGCTTCCCTGGTGGCGCAGTGGTTGAGAGTCCACCTGCTGATGCAGGGGATGCGGGTTCGTGCCCCGGTCCGAGAAGATCCCACGTGCCGCGGAGCGGCTGGGCGCGTGAGGCATGGCTGCTGAGCCTGCGCTCCACAACGGGAGAGGCCACAGCAGTGACAGGCCCGTGTACCGCAAAAAAAAAAAAAAAAAAAAAAAGTGTCTGGTATTTGTCCTTCTTTCCTGGCACAGAGCTTCAAAAACCCTTGGAATTTTCTGAGTGATAGAAGTGTCTTTGTTATTCTCATGAGGTAATTCATGGTGGGTCCCTAGATGGCTTCAGGATGGTGGCTGGTCATCGAAAAGAATGAACTTCTGATTAGAGATCTGAGACTCTGGGCCAGCCTGGCTGCTGGGGTAGGAGGGGGCTGGAGATTGAGTTCAGTAATGTAGTTGATGATTTAATCAATCATGCCTATGTAATGAGACCCCAATAAAAACCCTGGACACCAAGGCTTGGTAGACCTTCCCGGTTGGTGAACACACTGACATGCCAGGAGGGTGACATGCCTGGATTCCACAAGGAGAGGGCATAGAAACTCTGGGATACATCCCAGATCTTGCCCTATGTGTACCCTTTATCATGAAACTATAATCATCAGTGTAGCCCTTTTCTGAGTTCTGGGAAGCATTCTAGTGGTTTATGTACTGAGAGGTGCTATGGGAACCCACAAATTTATATTTGTCTGGTCAGAAGTGCAAGCGGCCTTGAGGCTGGTGTCTGAAGTTAGGGCAATCTCTGCAGGACGAGCCTGTAACTGGTGGAGTCTGACCCTAACTCTGGGTGGTGAGCATCAGAATTGTATTGCAGTACACCCAACTGGGGGTGAGACAGAATACACCCTCACTTGAAAAGTGAGGAAACTGAAGTCCAAGCCCTTTTCATCATTCCTCCAACAGCACAATGACCCTGCACTTGGCTGAAAAGAAGGCCTCCACCAAATGCTGTCAGTGAGAAGTTTGTATCTTTTCAACATATTTTAAATTGAGGATTCAAGGTTTTAATAGAAGGGCAATAAAGAGAAGTGATTAAAAGTGCAGGTTTGGGACTTCCGTGGTGGCACAGTGGTTAAGAATCCGCCTGCCAATGCAGGGGACACGGGTTCCAGCCCTGGTCCGGGAAGATCCCGCATGCTGCAGAGCAACTAAGCCCGTAGGCCACAACTCTAGAGCCTACGAGCCACAACTACCGAAGCCCATGCGCCTAGAGCCCGTGCTCCACAACAAGAAAAGCCTCCACAATGACAAGTCCGCGCACTGCAATGAAGAGTAGCCCACGCTCACTGCAACTAGAGAAAGCCCGTGCGCAGCAATGAAGACCCGACACAGCCCAAAATAAATTAATTAAATAAATTTTTTTAAAAAAAGAGTCTTCTTTAAAAAAAAAGTGCAGGTTTGAGGATGACAGACCCTGAGTTTGAATACTGGTTCTGACACTTGCATGATCTTGGAAAGTTGCTTACCCTTTCTTTTCTCATCTGTAAAATAGGAATAACAACACTTATTTCAAAGGGCTTTAGGAGGATGAAATAAAATGGTGTACGTAAAGGGTCTAATGCAGTGTCAGGCACACAGATGATGTTTAATAACTGGTAGCTCCTATGATGATCCCTGCCTTTGAGTATTGTTTCTTTAAGACCTAACCAAATAGTAGTTAAACCATAGACAAAAAATATTTGGCTGCACTGAAATGACTTGAAGAGTCCAGACAGAGGAGGTCATGTTATGTTTTTGGGTGTAGAACAAAGGGAATCAGAGCCTGATGGCTGTTTTTTGCAATTTTCCCATACCTTGTTAGGGTCCAACTTGGTTTTGTCCACAGGAGCAGAGTCTTTTATCACTTCCACAAATTCTGCACCAAAACATTGACTATAAAATCCCTAGGCAAGAGAAACCAACAGATTATAAAGGTTATTTTAATATATTGCAACTCTCTGTCTCTCAGAAGTGGAATACGTTTGGAACAAGTGTAAGGGAGAATATGCTCTTTGATTACTGAAAGTTCCTCTGAGCTAATGAGGCAAGTTCAGCGTTTCCTGAGACAAAAATAAAAACATAAGGAAGTCCAGCATTGCAAACTGATATATGCTTCCCTATAAACTGTATGCTTGACATCTAATTCAACCAACATCATCATATTTCCTAAAGACGCTCCAGGGGCATGGAACTATTTATTTCTTGCCTTTTGTACCCTAGGGTTTTAGAGGTCACCAGCCTTCCCATAATGGGACAAACCACAGCACACAGGAAGATAAAATATACGCTTCTAGTACTAAACTGGGGAAACATATTAGGGAACCAAGTGGCCTGGGGTCAATTGCTAATTCCTCTCATGAGCTGAGCAACTTTGGGCAAGTCACCCAACCACTCTGAGCCGTGGCTTCTTTGGGTCAAGTAAGGATTAAAGTCTCTTGTCTCATTTGGCACGGATGGAGCAATTGGACAATGAAAGGGTTTTAAGTTTGACAGCCAAGAAAGGGCATAAATTCAAAGCAATAGCAAGAAAGCAAAGAAGTGAATCCCTGGTTGTTGTCAGCAGTTCAGGGGAGCCCAGTTATTCGGTCTGAGACGGTTTTGTTTTGAGGGCACCCCTTGACTTTCCTCCTGCGCTCTTAGTGCTTGGCCCTTTCAACGTCTGCTTCTTTTTTTCTCACTTTTCTCTATGTTGTTTCTCCTTTTCTCCAGCCTTTCCTCCAAGAACATGCTGCTCTCTTCTGCTGCGTTACGGATCAAATATAAACAGCAGGTTGGATTGGGGCTGCCAGCCCATGTAATGGGACACTGACTCTGATTATCCAAAGAGGGGTGCTCCTGGGTCAGCAGGGAGAGTTCATTTGTTCCAGGTCACAGCGGGCCTCTAGTCAAGCATCTCCGTGTCAGAAGTGGGAAGTGCTGTCTGGTGACACCAGAAGGATGACCACAGCATTTTCTAGGGGTAATTTGATCATTTGGCCCAATGACTTCAAAGTCAAGATGATAAACTTCAAGCTGAACAACTATTACTAAAATTTGGAAAGGTTTATAAGAAAGCACATGACATTGATTGAATGTGGATGCTCCTGAAAATAAATATGCACCATATACACTTACAAAGCTTGAAAAGTAGGTACAGAATCTTAGGGGAAAGCTATCCTTATCTTGCTTTACCTCATGATCTCACCTAATATCTTGATATTGTACAAGCAATGGGATCAACGAGGAATCCATGACTCTCGGTTTTGTGGTAATGACCCACTCTAACCTGTTTGTGTAAAGCACACAATGTCAATCACCCAGAATCACTCGTCTTACCTCTAGTCTATGAGAGATCTCAGGAAGCTTGGTAATTGCAGGCTCTTTGTAAACGAATTCCTTCTCATCCAAGTCCCCAAATCTGGATCCGTAGAAACCAACTCGAAAGTAGGTTCCAAACATTCTCTTATGACCCTGATGAACAAAATGAGAAAACCTCTCCTTAGTTATGTAATTCATGAGGATCCACTGAGATGAGAGGGCAGGAGTCTTCTCTTGTTGGGTTAGAAAGCATTCTATTCCTGTGGCTAATACAAACAGAATTCACTCCTTTAAAAAGTTTTTTTAATGTTTATGGAATAAACTTGGGAAATAATGGCAAAAAAAAAAAAATCCCATGAAAGATTTCTAGGACTTCTCTTAAGTGAATTTAAGATTTTCACATTCCTGGTTGTAAAGTAATTCAAGCTGCCTTCTTTCACGGTTTGAATCACGGTCCTCTGTCTATTCTCAGCCCTCTTCCGTTTGATAGGAGAGAGCTACAGTAATGATGTCCTTAAGGTAAATCACTCCCTAGAGAGGAAGGAGGGCTAAGCATCTCTGAGACAGGGTCACCTGCTGCCAGATTATAGGACCTGTTAGCCAGGATGCCCCCGCTACCTTGCTAATGATGCTGTCAAAGGCCTTCTGCAGCTTTTCGTGGGTGGAGGTCAGCTTCCGGAAGTCTCGATGAGCTTCCAGGATGGGGATGACCAGCTTGTAGACCTCATTGACCGTCTCGTACAGTCCTCCCTTGGAAAGAGGAGAAAAAAATCAAAGAGAATTTAATCCACTGGAAACTTAAAAGAGCAACCAGAGTGCATTAGGCATTGGAGAATGGACACCACAATATTTTATAGAGCAGGAATAAAGTCTGAGCATCTTTGAGATGGCTGTAGCATTCAAACTGAATTAGACACACTAAATGGTCCTATTTGATAATGTTAAGTTGGAAAAGGGGGTTTCCTGGGGAAAAAAAATAGGACAGGAGACTGGCAGCAGGAACTAAGAACAATTCAGGAAGGCAGCTTTAGCATATTTAAATGTCACCAGGGGTCCTCCTGTAGCCAGATGTTCATTGCATTCCTGAAAAGAGTTAGGGGTCTAACTACCTGGTTTTCTAGAATTCCAGGAAAAACAAGAGTATCTTGGACTTTATGTGAATTCTGAAAGAGAAAGCTGGAAAAAGAGAAGACAGTCAAAATAATAATTAAAATACATAGATTGTAGGATGGAAACTTGGGAATGAAAAGTAGAGAAGAAAGAAAAATATCAAGACAAAAACAAAACTGGATCAGCTAAACAGAGTGAAGTATTAAATATCTGCTTGGCTTAAAATTTGAGGGAGGGCTTCCCTGGTGGCGCAGTGACTGAGAGCCCGCCTACCAATGCAGGGGACATGGGTTCGAGCCCTGGTCTGGGAAGATCCCACATACCGCGGAGCGGCTGGGCCCGTGAGCCATGGCCGCTGAGCCTACGAGCCACAACTTTTGAGCCCGCGAGCCACAACTACCGAAGCCCGCGTGCCTAGAGCCCATGCTCCACAACAAGAGAAGCCACAGCAGTGAGAAGGCCGCACACCACGATGAAGAGTAGCCCCCACTTGCTGCAACTAGAGAAAGCCCGTGAGCAGCAACGAAGACCCAGTGCAGCCAAAAATAAATAAATAAAATAAATTTATTTAAAAAAAAAATTTGAGGGAGTAGGGAAATTATGGAAATGAACAACATACTTTCTTCCCTGCCCTGAATCTCAATGACTTAATCTATATATTTTTAATCTCTATATATTTTTCTCTTATTAGGAGTGTTTAGACCCAGATTAGGTTAATGCGGGGAGTCTCCATGGCTTCCACCCTCACATATCTCTGAGCTGTCCCTGGTCTGTGACGATCCTGAGGATTACTCAGCTGTCAGCTGAGTCCCTCTCTCAAAGAGAGGGAAAATAAGAGAGTGAGAACGTGCCTCGTGATTTATTGTGTAACCCTGGGCAAGCCATTTCCCTCTTTGTGGCTTAGTTTCCACCTCTGTTAAATGGAAATAATACTGTGAAACTACTGCCCAGCCAATGAGCGTGCAGTGAAAACCAGAATACTGCAGTGACGAAGGGCCTTCCCGCCTCCCTGAGAGCTGAGGCAGTGAAAACCAGAATACTGCAGTGATGAAGGGCCTTCCCACCTCCCTGAGAGCTGAGGCAGTGAACACCAGAATACCGCAGTGATGAAGGGCCTTTTCGCCTCCCTGAGAGCTGAGGCAGTGAACACCAGAATACCGCAGTGACGAAGGGCCTTCCCGCCTCCCTGAGAGCTGAGGCAGTGAACACCAGAATACCGCAGTGACGAAGGGCCTTCCCGCCTCCCTGAGAGCTGAGGCAATCTACATACGTCAAAGCCCTCCAGCCCCTCCCCTGCCCTGCACGCCCCTGCACGTGGTGTCATCATGAAGTGGGACTGGCTGGACGTTAAGACCGGCACTCAGGGCACCGACGCCAGAGTTCAGGCTGACTGTGGAAGCCCGGACAGCTGTGTGCACTGACCGTGCTGAAGAGCTCGGCCGCCTGCTCCAGGAGGCCCACCAGGCCGCTCTCGGTGAAGTACCGGCCGGAGCACACCCCGTCCTCGTCCGGTGACAGGGTGTCATCAGAGACCGCAGACTCCTCCAGCACGTTGGAAGAAATATTCTGAAAGAGATCACAGTATGAGCCAGGAGAACAGGGGAATCTGACTAACAAAGGCACCACAGGAACCCATAACATACGGAGGAGGAAGCCGTGGCTCCAAGGTCCTCACCATCCCTGATCATACAAGGTCTGTAATTCCACCCAGAAGAGCCTTTGGCTGCCACTCATTTTGAAAGAATGCACAGAACAACTGGCCTTCGAAACTCAAGATTTTCTTTTCTTTTTAACTATTGGGAGATACAGAAGGACGCTTACCTCAATGTAAACAATAGTTGAGTTGCTTTAGAGAAAGGACCCTAAGGGACGTCCAGCAGGGGTCGTGGTTTTTAAAAGCCAAAGGCCAACGAACAGTTAACTAGACTCCTTGTTTCACCAGCTGAGTGACCCTCTGAAGTACTTGCTATGACTGACTTGGCTTTTAGGTGAATGGCCATAATATCATATGACAATTGCAAATGAGAAGGTCTTCTTTATGAAATCTTTATGGCAATGCAGCAGTTACTATTTTTTTTTCTCCCCTCCCCCCCAAACATTTCGCTCCTTTCTACACACTTTTCTTTTACATAAACCATAGAGTTTAGAGTCTCATAGAGAATGCAGTGATCAGGGCCAGGATTAGGGTGAACGAGGTGAAAACAAAATTTAGGGAACACTCACTCTCAGGGTCCTGTAAGTAGTGACCCTGAACTTGCTTGACCTCACGAGTGAGTGCTTCCTTAAATTCTGCACTTCATGTGCCTCACTCACCTCACCCCAGTTCTGGCTCTGGCAGTGACTCTCATACTTTTGACAGGTCAAGAATCATTTTCTTCAACCTGTCTCATGGATATAGAAGAAATGCATATGGAACATAAAAGAAACTGGAAACCTTTGTAGCTTAGGACTTGCACACAGGTAGCACATTTGCCATTCCTTTTATAACTACACTCATGGCAGACAGAACTAATTAATTATAGTACTCTTTTCCCTGAAGCTTGGATATGGTCTCAGAATTCTTCTCAGCATGGTACCCCATTCAGCCACTACCAACGGACCAGAGTTGGCTAGTGAAGTAAAATCGGTCTGCCTCTTGCAGGCCTGGCTCGCAAGATCAAGGGACTCATCCTTAGCAGTCAAGGAAGAGAGAGTTTTACAGTCCTGTACCTTCATATCCAAAATTATAAGGTAGTTTTAGGAATATAGGAGGCCTTCAGAACCTTTTGTGGCCAGCCTTTCTTTCAAACCTGGTCTTTCTATTATGATGTTTCTGAATTGGAAATGGTAAAAGGTCCAAGAAATTCATTTGAAAGAATCTAATGACCCAAGAAACGAATGCTATTAGTATTGTATGCAATTTTCCACATGTAGAGGAATACATTTGCAGTTATGCAGCCTTATTAGCTGTCATCAGAGGGAAAAGATTCCAGGCAGACTTTCCCGGCTTCAGAATTAGGGAGGTGAAAGTAACAGCAGTTATGTGAGAATGTATCCATATCTACATTTGTGGAATAAATATTGTACTCTGGGGCATAGAATCTCAACGATCTCAGTTCCTTGGAATTCTGTGGCCTCAGAGTTATTTTCCTTGCACAGATTTATTTATCTCCAGTTTATAATTCTTTTCAAAAAATTCGATTTTACTGGAGCAGAACAAGGTTGAAAACTAAAGCACACAGCATTTAAGAAATCAACACCAGACATCTGTAGTTAATGCTGCCCAGAATTCCTTCATCCTTCTATAAAGTATAGCCTCCTGAGAAACCATCCATAACTCCATGTGTGGACCTCAACTCTGGCTCTGGCTCAGCCAATCACAGCATTCCATGTCTCTGGCCACTATGATTGGTTCAGAGATGAGCATATGACCCCGTCAGAACCAATAAGATGCACTGAGACTGTCTCTGCAACTGCTACATATGAGGCATTTCTCTATTCTCCTGGACTTGAACCTGGGAATATGTAAACATAAATATCTCTCAGTGAGTGTGGGAAGCCTGTGAAGAATGAAGCTGACGTAACAGAAAGCAGAGACAGGAAGTGATGATGACACTGAGGTCTGATGACATTGTTTGGACCCCTAGGTCCAGTTTGGCAGGTGCTACTCCAGACTCATCTCTCTCATGCAAGCTGATAAATTCCATTTTTACCTTAGGTCCGTCTGGGTTAGGTATTCTGTCACTTGCAAGCACACATTTCCAGAAAGATTTGGTATGTCTCATTTGAGAGAAAAGAGAATTGGCTCATAAGCGTCAGTGTAATTTGGCTTCTCTTCTGTAGCTGAGATCACCTAACTCACCATGTTCTGTGTATTCTGAAGACCTCATTCTTCACAGTTCCTTCTGCTTCCCCCTCCCGTTCCTCGTCTTTCTGAGCGTTCCATGACCCCCAGGCTGAGTCACGTGCTAAACACTCACAGCATCTTGTACCTCTTTATTACAGCATTTATCACAATTGAAATTGAATAAGAAATGGAAGAATTAGCTGTATGATGCCACTCTCCCTGGCTGGAATGTAAAGTTCATGAGGACAGAATAAGTACTCAATAAATATCACCTAAAAGAATGAATACGTGGATAAAGGTCTATGAAAGAATAGAGCTATATGCTCCCGTGTAGGGACAATGTGGAGTTTTTCTGTTGTTTCTAGAAGAACTATTCTACGCACTTTGGCATGACTTACTATAGGCAAATTAAAAAGAATTTATAAGCAATAATAATGAAACAAGACAAGAGGTTGATATAATTCCACATTAAACCCAGAGATTTCTGGTAATTGAAAGAGTAGCACTTATAATATTTATCCTTGCTAATATCGTATGGCCAAAATAAATTTTACAAAAAAGCAAATATGTCTAAAATTGATTTTTATACCTTTCTTCACTTTTATGTGATTCAAAATCAGATATGATTTTTTATGCTCTTTGGATAAGAATTAAATTTTTGGCTTTATAATGAACATTCCTGAATTGAGAATAAAATTTGTTTGCTGAGAATAAAATGATAGAATAAATACTATTGTTACTGAAGACCGTAAAGAAAGGAGGAATTAGTGGTATGAGGCAATACCCAGATTGCCTAGTGAACAGTATTCAGGAAATCAGAAGCTCCTGGCTCTACCAGCAACAGTTTTTGTGCCTTACTCTATAAGCCTGGGAAAGCTACTTTGAACTGTCCTCTCTTTCTGGTTCACACAGCATCACAAAATTGTGTTGAAGAGCAACAATGAGAACAGAGCCTTTTATAAAAATCAGTCATGAAAATTCAAACAAGAATAATCCAAACACTTGTAAATGACTCTGTGAGTCTGGCTTGAAAAGGGCTTTCTTACTGTACTGTATTGTTACAGGTTTCAGGGATTGTCATTTCTACAGATTATGCCTCTAAAAGCACTAGTAAAATCTTCTGTTTCCTCTAAAGACTGTTTTAAACTACTCAGCCAAAACAGTCCAAGTGGCCACTGAGCATCCCAGCCGGAACCAACTTTCAGGCCTAGCAGACAATTTCCCTCTGCTAACTATGGGTAATATTCAGCTCATCCTAAGACAGTATGGATCCAGCCCTTTTTTTCCCTTCCCAGGTCAATTTGGTTCTTTCTTTCTTTTTTTTTAAATAAATTTATTTATTTTATTTATTTGTTTTCGGCTGCGTTGGGTCTTCATTGCTGCGTGCGGGCTTTCTCTAGTTGTAGCGAAGGGGCTACTCTTTGTTGAAGTGTGCTTCTAATTGTGGTGGCTTCTCTTGTTGCGGAGCACGGGCTTTAGGTGCGCGGGCTTCAGCAGTTGTGGCTCGCGGGCTCGAGAATGCAGGCTCAGTAGTTGTGGCGCACAGGCTTAGTTGCTCTGTGGCATGATCTTCCCGGACCAGGGGTCGAACCCGTGTGCCCTGCATTGGCAGGCGGATTCTTAACCACTGCGCCACCAGGGAAGTCCCAATTTGGCTCTTCCTTGATTTTAGATTAGCGAGGAGGATATTACAGAGTTAGGGAGTGTAATAAAAGGAATGGGCCCTGAGGGAAATAATTTCTCCAATATTTAGAAAAAATACTTTCACAGTTGTCAGTATACTGTGCCAACTACAAGTCTTTGAGAAAGGGTTTAAATAACCTTAGAAAAGTTGCTCTCTCAGTTTATCTGTGAAGTGGGAGTAATAATACCTTCTCTGTCTGTTTCACTGGTTTATGGGGAAGGCCAAATGAAATCATGGACGTGAAAGTGTTTGGGAATGTCTAAAGTGCCTATCGACTCTACATTTATTGTAAACAATAATTTTTGGGGGGCTTCCCTGATGGCGCAGTGGTTGGGAATTCACCTGCCAATGCAGGGGACACGGGTTCGAGCCCTGGTCCGGGAGGATCCCACGTGCCGCAGAGCAACTAAGCCCATGCACCACAACTACTGAGCCTGCGCTCTGCAGCCCGTGAGCCACAATTACTGAGCCCACGTGCCACAACTACTGAAGCCCGCGTGCCTAGAGCCCGTGCTCCACAACAAGAGAAGCCACTGCAACGAGAAGCCCGTGCACCGCAACGAAGAGTAGCCTCCGCTCACCACAACTGGAGAAAGCCGGCATGCAGCAACGAAGACCCAACATAGCCAAAAATAAAAACAAATACATAAATTAAAAAAATTTTTTTTTAAAAAACCCAAGATGGTAAAGCAATTAGAAGAGGCAAATTTAATACACTAAAGCAGGGTTTTTCAACCTTGGCATCATTGATGTTTGGGGCCAGATAATTCTTTGTGGTGGGAGCTATCCTATGCATTGTAGGGTGTTCAGCAGCAGCCCTGGTTTATACCTATTAACTGTCAGTAGCACCCACCTTCCCACCCTCAGTTGTAACAACCTAAAATGTCTTCAGAGACTGTCAAATGCCCCCAGTTGAGAACCACTGCACTAAAGGAAAAGCTAAACTTGTCCCCCCCCACCTGAAAGCTGACGCTGCCCACGGGCAGGTAGCTGTGGTCCTCCAACATGCTCAGATATTCAGCCACTAGGGCAGCTGCGTGCACCAGGCACATGGCAGCTTCTGTGTAGCACTTCCCCTTGGTGTGCTTCTCCGCCATGTTCTGGAGCCAGGTCAGCCGCAGGTCAGGAGATGTCTGGTAACTCTTGGCAATTCTAAAGATGGGTTGAGAAAGTTTCAAGGACAACGGTTAGTGACAGTGTTTTTCTATTGTGCATGGCCAGTTTTTTTCCCATTAAGAGTTTTGCCTACATGTTCAGAGAATGAGAGAAGAGGCAAACATCTATCAGTCCAACTTTTTTCATTCCATGTTTGGGTTGTGCAGGATGCCAAGAATGCTATGATTCAGTTAAAGATTTATGGGGGGGGAAAAACCCTGATAAAATGATGTCTATTTGAATGGAGCTCTAGCAATTTTCTTCTTTTCTCGCAAAAAAATAACAGAAGACAAAAGTACTATCCTTGGGCTTCCCTGGTGGCGCAGTGGTTAAGGATCCACCTGCCAATGCAGGGGACACAGGTTCGAGCCCTGGTCCGGGAAGATCCCACATGCCGCGGAGCAACTAAGCCCGTGCGCCGCAACTACTGAGCCTGCGCTCTAGAGCCTGCGTGCCACAACTACTGAAACCCGCGTGCCTAGAGGCCGTGCTCCGCAAGAAGAGAAGCCACTGTGATGAGAAGCCCGTGCACCGCAACGAAGAGTAGCCCCTGCTCGCCGCAACTAGAGAAAGCCCGCGTGCAGCAATGAAGACCCAACGCAGCCAAAAAAAAAAAAAAAGTACTATCCTGCTTATGACATCGCATCAGAACAATTTTGCCTTTGTAAGTAGTTTCTCCTAAAACAAGGACTATAAGACAAAATTTTACATGACAGAGTAAAATATGATTTCTAAATAAAACTTACATGTATGTCTGAATGTAAGTGGAAAAACATTTCAGAAATAATTCATGTAACAGGTGATAGTTCTTTTCTCTCATTCTATGGTAAGTAGAAAATAATTTCAAAAAATAAGTACCTCCCTTTAAATTAGGGAGATCTTTCTGAAAACATGTACATGAATCAACACCCTCTGAATGGTGATTTTCTACCAATTTCTAAGTACAGTTTTGGATGTCAGCCAAAACAGTGTACCCACATTTCCTGTGATCATTATATTCATAAGAACTTCATAGTGACAAACCCTAGATCCTCAAGTGACACCCTTTTGATTTTACCAGAAAAGTTTACCTGTACATGAGATCCATAAGCATCTCAGGATCTTCCTGAAATTCCCTCATTTTCACTGTGTCATATAAGATGCTATTCAGATTGCAGAGAAGTTCTTCCACCTGCAAAAAAAAGTGTACGCCCCAAACAGTCTCAGCTTTGGAGTCCATGGTAACAAGTTAGGATGCACTGAAAGTCCAAGGGGCAGCCATGGACAGGCTTCGGTAAGACAGGAGAGAGCCCAGGTGAGGGGAATCTAGACTGGATCCTCTTTGACCTCACCTTTGCAGGTCCAGGCACTTCCGAGGCCCAGATGTGAGTTGGGCCTGAATTGTTATATTATCTTCCCTCTCCAACACCTTCTTGGTTAAATTAGTTTGAACTAGTTTCAGTTATCTGCAACCTGAAAGCCCTCAACTGTACTCTAGAACATCAGACCTTTTTATACCAAGTAGGAGGCAGCTTAGGACCTCAGCTTAGATTCCATCTAATATATATCATAATACGTTATATAATTATCTGTATCATATGACATAATTATAATATATATATTTCACAAAAATTATATAATCCATAACTATATATGTTATATATTATATGGAATTATATATTACCTACATATACACATGCACATATATATGTATGTATAAGTATGTATATGTGTGTGTGTGTATATACACACATACATACACACACGAGTTTATAGCTGGCTGATCACAGACAAGGCACGCTCTTCAGTCTACCTGCATGGGGAAAGGAGTGGTCTGCATGTCTGTGTCCTCTTCCGCATAGGCCAAAATTGTCCTCAAGGATCTTCTCAGGTACTCCTCATTAAAGTCTGGTGCTTTTCCCACCAAAGATGCCAGAGACATGGTGACTTGCATCTTTACTCTTGCAAAGTTCTGAGTCAGGAAAAAATAATGATGGAACAAATAAGGGGCACTCAGCTAGTAGATAATTGAAGGCAGTAGAGCCAGATACCAATAACCCTCCGGTGTTTCTTTAACCCAGTCTCAATCATTTCCTTTTTTTCCCAATGAAATATGAGCTATACTTCGCTCAAGACTCATACTGTTGTTTAACTGGTTTAAGTGGCTATTGCCCTGACATAAATCTGTCAGTTCCCTTTAAGTTTTCATTGAGGACCTGACCAGCTCCGTGCAGCAAGGCTGGAAGGTTCCTACAGAGTTGGGTCACAGGATGTCTCCCTTTGTGTCAAGATTCCTCTTCTTGGAACTTTATTTAAACTGTAAAGAGGAACAGGATCTATGTGGGCAAGATTTCTGAGATTTCTGGATTCTGGGTAGGCAGGAACTTTGTTTCTCCTTTCCTTCTAGGCCCATGGAAAACTGTGGCTATTCCAAGGGCCTCTAGCCTCTGAGGAATGTCCTAAAGGCTTTTAAATAGTTATACCTAATATATTCTGAGGGCCCTGCCTTTCTTCCGTGGGCCAAGTTATCTTTTCATATCAGTTGAGCACGCTCATTAACGTGACTACAGATGTAAATTCCAAAAGAACATACTAAAATCTAGACAAACTAAGACGGTGCTGTAATAAAGCTGAATTCCAAAGGCTGCTAAACTTCAATTAACACTCAGGTGTGGATGATAGCGATCATTGCAAATTCTCTTCCACAGGTCATTCTGGTACCAATCAGATTTTAGAAACAGGACAAACTCTTCTGAAGTCCTAATTCTGTTGTATTTTTTTTCCCCACAGATGACAACCTTGAATCTACACATATTTGTTCATTTCTTATTGAAACACACGGATGGAAACCACTGCATTCATCAATCTTAATAATTTACTTCTAGAAGCAAAGTCAAACAAAAGCTGCTATCCATCTACACGCCCAACTGTTTCCTTCCCACGTGGCAGAAGTCAACTGCAATAGTGCACACTCTTCCTCCCCCAGGGCTTCGCATTGACTCTCTCTGCTGATTCTGGGTCGCCCTGGGCGCTTACGCTGGTGGCTCCAAAGCTGAACCTCATGAGCAGGTAGAGAGTGGCGCAGGCTTGGCTCCGGGCGACGTCCATGCTGCTGCCGCAGTGATGCAGCACTCGCTGACACAGGTCCGCGCACTGATCCACTTCCTCCTCAAACAGCAAGTCGCCGAACTAGGAGAGACACAGGGGCCATAAGACGTCACTTGGCACGATCGTACGCTTTCTGGACTGGATGCCTGTTGAAATATGGAAACGGCTGCTTGGACAAGCAAAAAGCCCACAAGAATTAATGCGCTGCTCCATACAGATGATGAGTTCCTTGAATCAGAAGATGAAGTGAAGCAACGGAGTCGACTTAAGCTCTCATTATGAGCTGCTCAGCTAAGATCAGGGCTGTGTAATTAGCTGCACGGTTAGCCAGGCTGCCTTCCCTGCTGAAGTCCCAACTCTGAAGGAATTAGCCTGAGTTTACTGGGTTCCCTGGAAATTACTGGTGACTGAGAAAGAGCAAATGATAATGACGGGTGAGAGCAGAGGGATTCCACTTTATTTTCTTTTTCTTTCCCACCCACCCTCCACGGCCACGCTGCACGGCTTGCAGATCTTAGTTCCCCGACCAGGGATCGAACACGCACCCCTGCAGTGGAAGCGCAGAGTCTTAACCACTGGACCGCCAGGGAAAGTCCCGGGATTCTATTTTCTAAATGTAAAAAATCCCAGATAGAAGGCATCAACCGAGATTTTCAATAAAGGGGGAGATAGGAATCTGCAATAGACTGTTTTACCTCAAGAAAATCTATATTCTTCAGGCTATGAGAAATGTACTTCTAAACCTTCTGCATTTTATGACATGATATTTTGTAAGATTTACGAATGGGAGTCATGTATAGGAATTGAATCTCACTCAGGTAAGGTACTAAAGAAAAAGGGTGAAAAACAAAGTTGCTCAACTGATTTCCACTCTCATGTCTTCAGTGAGTGGCCATTTCAAATTTCTATAGTTGGGCCCACATTTCTAGTGTGAGAGGCACTGTTTTTCCTCTTTATGGTGAGTCCTGTAGAATCAGTGTATCTGCTTCCTTCCTAATGAGACTTAAGACTTTTACTGTAGTGTCACTTAACACAGTGGTCTGTGGGTTTTGGTGCACCTGAAGCAAGAAACGTGAAGCTAGATTGATGAGAATCTTAACTCTTAATTAAGAGTAAGAAAGCAAGTGTCCCATGTTTACCTTGGCAATGAGAGCACGGAGTGTCGCAAAGCAGTGAGTCAGGTAGGTGGTGCTCTGATCACAGCTCAGAGAATTCACCAGGACCCTTAGCACGCCTCCCAGCAGGTTGTCTTTACAGTCCAGAGCCGAGCTTGCCTGGGGGAACAGAACAGCATCAGTGAATCCCTGTGCTGTGCCCATGAACTGAGGGGGAAGACACAGGTGGGTGCTCTTGGCAATTAGCACAGGGATGCTGATGTTTCATCTCTCTCCGTCTATGATCTTAAGGGTTTGGGAAAGCACCCCATATATCGTTCACTATCAGGGGAGCTGAAGACCTATTTCCACATGACTTTATTCCCAAACTCCCAATTGATTTGGGATTTATGCCTAATTCTGGGCTGCTAAACGAAGTTATAAGGTACACCTTCCCCCAATCCTGGGCAACAGCTTTTGGAATGTTCTTTCCTTGTATACAAGGCACAGCTTTTCTTGTGGGCTTTCAAACCACAATTGTGGGCTTCCCATTACACTGGGGGCTGCTTGTGGCAGTGATGTTTCTAAATAGAAGCTTATTTATCAGCTGCAGCAGGACTAATGTCCCCAAGATCAATGATAAATAAGTTTCAGCTTCCTTTGAAAACTGTAAATACATTTTGAGGACTGGGGTTAAGAATATAGCACTCAAAGCAGTATTGTATAAAGATATAATCAACATGATGCCAAGTATTTTTTTTTTTTTTTTGCGGTACGTGGGCCTCTCACTGTTGTGGTCTCTCTCGTTGCGGAGCACAGGCTCCGGACGCGCAGGCTCAGCGGCCATGGCTCACGGGCCCAGCTGCTTCGCGGCATGTGGGATCTTCCTGGACCGGGGCACGAACCTGTGTCCCCTGCATCGGCAGGCGGACTCTCAACCACTGTGCCACCAGGGAAGCCCGATGCCAAGTATTTGATAACAAGTATTTATCAAAGGTACCATATACTTTTGGTCTTTATTTTTGTACAATAATCACTTTTTAAAAGATAACTTAAAAGTTGGATTACTAAGTTCAAATATGTTTCGACAATATATCTTCTTCTAGACCCCTAATAAATGATTTTTCATTGGAAACATGTAAGGACTCATTTTTCAGGTTAACTAAAAACCCATTATCACCTAGATGTCTTGAGAATTTCTGGAAGCATTCACTTAGAAAATGAAATTAGTATGGTGAATTGTATTACTATAAAATTCACATTGATATAACACTTTTCTACAGCAGGGATGGCAAATTCATGGTACAAATGATTTTTCTTCACTAATTTGTGTCCAAAACAGACATCATTAATCACACTTAGCACTCCTTTTACCTAGCCCAGTCATAATCTTAGCTCCCATACAGACATCAACTATAATTCAAATGGAGTTGACCTATCAAAAAAAACCCCTATCACCCCTATTCTAGATACTGAACTGTAAGCCCACCACCCACATTATAAACTTTGCACATGCGCAGGCAGATTTAACTACGAGAGTCAGTCTTTCAAGCACCTAACTCTTTCCAAGCAAGCTTCAAGTCAATGAATCCAGAAGGATGTTTGGTAAGTATCTCTGGAATTTGTAAGGTGGACACTATTGTAAATGGTAAACTTCCCAATTTCATTTAAACAAAAAGCATTTCATATCTCATTTATTTCTTTCACAATTTTCTATAAAGAATTCCTTATTAAATTCTAGTAAACATATTCACGTTGAATAGATCAGTTGTTTGTTGTCCTCACCTGGATAATGTTTTCCTGCATATCCAGGATGATTAAATTTGCTTCGGTAGCTAGATTGCCACTGATCAAGGCTTCTTGATCTAACTCTGCTTTTGTTCTAAGAAACAAAAAGAGGTCAAATTAAAGTGCCTATCAAATCTGGCCATTTCCCAATGATGGTAATCTATATTCCAAGTGTAAAGAAATCTTCGGAAGAGTCAATCTTGAAGTGAAAACAAAGCAGCCGGTTACTGGTAACTAAGGAATATAGGTGCCTTCTGTACTTGGTGTCTGGTTAAAAAGGCTTTCTAGGTAAAGTCTCCAGGCCATCCCCATGCCCCCTATTATGAATAATGATAATTAAAAAAATAACAAAAAGGGTAAAAAAGCAATTATTGGTTATTACTAGCAATTAGGTCAGCCAATCAGATTGGTGCTTAAAGCTTCAGGGTCGGGCTTCCCTGGTGGCGCAGTGGTTGAGAGTCCGCCTGCTGATGCGGGGGACACGGGTTCGTGCCCCGGTCCGGGAAGATCCCACATGCTGCAGAGGGGCTGGGCCTGTGAGCCATGACCGCTGAGCCTGCGCGTCCAGAGCCTGTGCTCCGCAACGGGAGAGGCCACAACAGTGAGAGGTCCGCGTACCGCAAAAAAAAAAAAAAAGCTTCAGGGTCATTCTTGCGTTTCACCCATGAGAACCATCTCCTGATCTGAGCCAAGAAGCCTCGGCAACAAGCTAGAGGAGGTGAGACTGGGTGTGATGTGAATGTGGCTAATCGCGATGCTGCTTGATTAGGAAAGGATGATGTTTCAGAACTGGGTCAGGGAAGAGTCAGTGTCTTGACTTTCCAAAGACTGCCTTGGGGTTGCACAGTCAAGTATGGGCCTTTTGTCCTTTTCCAATGGGAAGCAAGGTTGCATTCCTGTGGGGCAGGCCATCTAACATCCTGCTGGACGTCAGTGATTATTACCCCCGAGGGAATGGGAAATTACCTGGTGCTGCTTCTCTATTAGGTTCCTTTTTAAAGAATCAGAACATTTTATGCATTAATTTATCCATTCTCGTAAAATCCAAGTGAAGATGGAAAGAGACATTTTGTATCTCCTGAATATAGTGGCCAGGAAAGGAAAGTGTGAAGAATTAACTTTCCCACGATGTCCCAGTGGCCAACATGTTGCCATAGGGGTTGGGGCATCCTGATATGAGCTCAAAACTCTTGGTCCAGGATAATCACTTAGCTGTGCTTGATTCCCCTTCACCCAATGATGGGGGCATTGCTATGGCTTACATACCATCAAGCGCTCAGAATAAATATTTCCCTGCATAATTTTATTTATTTATTTTATTTTAATTTAATTTAAATTTTTACTTTTGGTTGTGTTGGGTCTTTGCTGCTCTGTGTGGGCTTTCTCTAGTAGTGGCGAGCGGGGGCAACTCTTCATTGCAGTGCACAGGCTTTTCATTGTGGTGGCTTCTCTTGTTGCAGAGCATGGGCTCTAGGCATGCGGGCTTCAATAGTTGTGGCATGTGGGTTCAGTAGTTGTGGCTCGCAGGCTCTAGAGCGCAGGCTCAGTAGTTGTGGTGCATGGGCTTAGCTGCTCCTCGGCACATGGGATCTTCCCAGACAAGGGATCGAACTCGTGTCCCCTGCATTGGCAAGCGGATTCTTATCGGCTGCGCCACCAGGGAAGTCCCTTCCCTGCGTTTTAAATGTTTTCACTATGGAGAACAGCATGGAGGTTCCTTAAAAGACTAAAAATAGAACTACCATACAACCCAGCAATCCCACTGCTGGGCATATACCCTGAGAAAACCATAATTCAAAAAGAGTCATGTACCACACTGTTCATTGCAGCTCTATTTACAATAGCCAGGACATGGAAGCAACCTAGGTGTCCATCGACAGATGAATGGATAAAGAAGATGTGGCACATATATACAATGGGATATTAGCCATAAAAAGAAACAAAATTGAGTTATTTGTAGTGAGGTGGATGGACCTAGAGACTGTCATACAGAGTGAAGTAAGTCAGAAAGAGAAAAACAAATACCGTATGCTAACACATATATATGGAATCTAAAAAAAAAAAAAAAGGTCCTGAAGAACCTAGGGGAAGGATGGGAATAAAGATGCAGACCTACTAGAGAATGGACTTGAGGACATGGGGAGGGGGAAGGGTAAGCTGGGACAAAGTGAGAGAGTGGCACGGACACATATACACTACCAAACATAAAATAGATAGCTAGTGGGAAGCAGCCGCATAGCACGGGGAGATCAACTTGGTGCTTTGTGACCACCTAGAGGGGTGGGATAGGGAGGGTGGGAGGGAGGGAGACGCAAGAGGGAAGAGATATGGGAACATATGTATATGTATAGCTGATTCACTTTGTTATACAGCAGAAACTAACACACCATTGTAACGCAATTATACTCCAATAAAGATGTTAAAAAAATTTTTTTTAATTAAAAAAAAATGTTTTCACGCTTAGGATAGGCTCTGTGGTCCCAAGCTGCTCTACCTTTTTTCCTCATTCTCCAAATTATAATATTTGTGTAAAATAAGTGAAATTTAAAAGCTACTTTTTATTAATTTACTGGAGGTTTAGATTTAGAGCAAAGCTATCCAAAAGAAACACAATGGGGGCCACATGTGTCATTTTCTATTTTGTAGTAGCCACACCAGAAAAAGCCAAAAGAAACAGGTGAAATTAATGTTAATATATTTTATTTAACCCAATATATCAAAAATAGTCCATGTGTAATCACAATAAAACTTACTAATGAGATATTTTACATTCTTTTATTTGTGCTACGTTCAAAATCTGACATGTATTTTTCACTTATAGTACTACCTTGGCTATTGTACTGGACAGTGCAGATCTAGAGTGACCTAATCTGGATTTTTTTTTCCAAATTTTTAAATTGTGGTAAAATACACATAACACAAAATTTACCACCTTAACCATTTTTAAGTGTACAGTTAAGTACATTCATATTTGTTGGGCAACCATCACCACTACTAGTTTGATTTTTAAAAAGCCATTTTTTTAAAACGATGGCTCTCAAATTTGACTACACAAGAAACACCTAGGGAGTTTCACCACATACTGATTTCTGAGTCCTGCTGCTGGAGATTCCAAGCTAACTGTCCTGGGGTACACCTGGGCACTGGGAGATTGTAAACGCTCCCCAGGTGATTTTAATGTACAGCCCAGGTTGAAAATGACTCTCTAAAAGAAACAGAGCCAAAATAATTGAAAAGTGATCCGAAAGAAAAAAGGTGAAAGACACCACTATTATAATTACAGAAGTTTTCCAAATAGCTTAATTTAGCAGTTACAATTTTACTATGTTTTCTCTTTTTAAAAAATCACCCCTGAAGATGATCAGAGGAGAATCATTAGCTCTGATTATGAGCAGTCCATCCCGTAGCTCAGGGCTGAGACTTGACCTGGAGCGGTTTGGTGCACCCTGCATGGAAAGTCTCAGTATTGTGTTGTTTCTGCAGCAAAAGGGAAAGATCTCCCCAAACATCCACTCACACAGCCCAGGCAAACATGCTTTGTTAAGCTCTTCTTTTAATCTCATGGCCTAACCACCCAAGCAGTTCTGTGGCAACTAACTACATACAATATTTCTTTAATTTTGGGGGGGCAGGGGGCGGGTTTCATTGCCTGAACTAGAACTTATGCACTCTCAGAACCAATATCTTATAAATCAGTTCAGGGAACTTAGAACAAGCATAAAATACCCAAACCAAATGGATATTATTCATAAGACCAACAACTGGGCTGTGCAAGTAACACATACAATAAAAATATTTACCTCCTTAATGTTTTAAAATAAATCTGACTCCCAAAAGTCCCATAAGTGAGCCAGATTGATTCATTCTTGTGGTAACAACCAAGATAGTAACATATTTATTTACAAAACAACACTGCTACTCAAGTCTGCCCCATCTCCCATCCCTCCTTATGATGGGCGCTTTATACACCATGGGGATACCCTACCTATGCCTTGTCAAGTGTGTGTGTGTGTGTGGGGGGGTGTCTTTAGCCATATAATGTTTTGCCAGTGAACCCTAGGATCCATTAGGCTACCTGTTGCTAAGAGGAGCAGCTGATATGTGCTATCTATTCAATTTCATTTTAGCACTCATATGTCCAAATTGTTGCACCTATAGCAATACGTATATAGCATATATTGCAATCCAAGCAGGATTTTTCTTCTTTCATTTCATTTTAGCATTGTTTTCTGATAATACATCATAATACAGATCCGTTGTAGGACACACAGAAAAGTATAAAAAGGAAAACATCACTTACACATATTCTCAACACCCAAAGAAAACCATGGTTAATGTTTTGGTGAATTTCCCTCCAGTCTTTTAAAAATGTATTTACTATGTGTAGCTGGAGGTTTAAGATTGTACTCTAAAAACAAGTATCTGTTCTGCTTTGTTCACTTAACATTATATCATAAGCATTTCCCATGTCATTAAAACGATTTGAAAACATTTAAATGCCAACCTAATATTTCATTACATATTTCCCTATTCTTAAGCATTAAGAATGTTGCAGGTTTTTTTACAATTTTATGTAATGCTGACATAAATGTCCCTGAATATACATCTTTGTACACATTTCTGGGGTGTAAATATGGATTGAAGTGATGTGGTCCTGGGTACCCTGTCCTGCCTCATCAGCGGCTTTTCTTAAGCTAGCTGAGATTAGTTTTCTTTAAATGCTTATCAGTGTGATAAATGTTTAAGGGCTGGAAATCATAACTCTTTATACCTTTGATTATCCCGGGTCCCTGGATGAACTGAATTTACACAGATAATGATGTTTCATTTTCTTACCCTTGGAAGGATGTAGTTGTTTCAGTAATACAAGCAGCCTGGGAAAAATAGTTTTGAACTTTAGGTAAAAGGAGCACAAAGTTGCTGAGTGACTTACTTATCTAGCTTCTCATTAGCTTGCCGCCAATGTGTCTGCTCTTTCCTCCATCTCAAATTTTCATTTAGGCCTGGAAATCGGTCATTCCCTAGGAGTTAAGAAATGCACGACAGGAATTTGATTAGCAGTAGCAAGATAACCAGAAGTTCCGTAACAAGCTCAACTGAGAGGACTCAGCATCACTCCTCTGGCTAATTAGAATCCATGCTGGGTGCTGGTGGGAGACGAAGCCCACAGCCAAGTCTGGGCTGACCTGCTCTTTGATTGACAGGCTAGAGCTTAGAAGAACACCTGCCCTTCTGGAGTGTCAGCAAGCACATTTCTCATGAACACAGGGTTCCGGTGAAATTGGGGGTTCTCCCTGAATTATTGAAAAGGAGAGTGTTTGTGTTGAAAGAGGGTGTCCAACCACCACTGAAAAAGCTCGTCTCCTTCCAAGTTCCCTACCATGGTGTCCCACTGCTAGAAGGAGCTGTCACTCTGCTTTTCTTGAGCACAGTGAATAAGACTGAGGGTGCCTGAACACTTCACTCTATCCTACAGAGAAGAGCTCAGCTTTTTGGAGATCATTCCTAATGTGGTGAGATCCCTGAAGGACTGGCACACTCTGAGACCGTTGCGAGGATTGGATCCATTCTAATAGTGCCCTGCATGATTTGAGAAGATGATCTTGGAACCAGAACTATCCAGTAGAACTATCTACATAGACTATCCAAATATCCCGGGGGGAAGTGTCAGCCTTGAGGGAGACACCATTAATCTCATCCTATGACTCACATTCTTGGACGGGACCTTTTACCACCACCAAGTTTGAAACAGAAGATGCCATTTGAGGACATTTCCAGGGTTCTTGTGATCTCAGGAAAGGAGCTTTCCCTTAGAGGAATGGGGCTAACATCACATACATCTTGCATAGAATCCCAGAAGCTGCTTGTCTCTATCACCATAACATCTTAAGAAAGTGATGGTGTCTACTCATCATGTGGGGAGGACACTCCTTCCCACAAAGGGTACAAAGCTCTGCTGACAGCAGGGAAGGGCCGATCCAACACACCTGGAGCCCGGCAACGCCGCATCATCTCCCCTCTGGCCCCTTCCCCACGGAGCAAAGCCTCTTCCAGCCTGGCCTTGACATCCCTCGACTTCTGCAGAACTTGGGTACTGACTTTGTCAGAACTCTGTTTTCCCTGGATCGGACAGAAGCAGAAGGACATTAAGTTTGGTTAGATCTCTGTTCATGGGGAGAATCCTAAAGACAGAACACTTCATGGTGACATCAGCCAGTTTGGACATGTGCTACACAGACACGCCCTGAAGGCTGAAATCCTGTTAACGGGAATGAGGTTCTCTCTGCAGAAGGAAGAGATTCTTTGCTGGTGGAATTATCATAGCTAGATAGGTTATGGATATACAAAGAGGCTATGGACTTTAATACAGAAATAAGACAGTTAAGGATGCCCCCACTGCCCAAACAGAGGAGAACTGTGACAAGACAAGATAGAACTTGAGCAATACCTTGTATTCAAAACATGAGACACAGATGAAAAGGAGATCTAAAATCCTGTTTAGCTGCATTGATGGCAGGTCAGCAATCCACTTCCTAAGGAGGCTCTGATCGGCATTTTTCATGATCCAGAGGAAGCAAATCATGAGGTTTCGCGTCGTGTCGGCATTCAGCATGTTGTACTGCTTGTAGGGCTGAAAGCAGGCACATTGGGAGATCGAAGTAGGGCAAGAGGCCGAGCAGCAGACACATTGAAAGGGATGCTATTTCCTAAGACACAGTAACGGTACTTTTCCTTGACGGGGATGTTTCCGGGAGCTCTGCCCTCCTCCAGCCGGGGAGGCCGTGTGCTTTTGAGCTGGGCGGCTCTGCAAAGGGGCTGGCCCGGGGCAGTATTCTAACCAGGCTTTCAGCCAGGGCACCCTCTGTTTCAGGAGCAGTGTGGTCTGGTGGTCTGCCCTGGACCTTGACCATGCCCTCCCCCAACCCAATCTCAGTGATACACAGGGCCTTCCCAGCTGTGAGATCTTCAAGTATTTCTCCTTCAAGCTGGCGACTGCAGGGTTGGACTTATAGCAGAGAACTACCCTGGTTGGTTTCCCGAAATACCCTAACTGTTCCAGATTTAGCTTCTTTGTCAGAGTCCAAAGTATAAGGGTCGTGAACTGCTCAGCAGATTAATCAAGTGCATAATTCAGCGGAGGCCTCTGTAATGGGACTTTAACCACAATTTATGCTCTCCTGCGGGGGGGGGGGAGGTGTAGGGGCTCAGGCTGTTTGCTTTCATACTTTGGCTGCAGTGTTCATTTCAGAGTGCTGAGCACACTTTCTGTCACTCATCCAATCAACACAAAGGATAATATGTGATTCACGTGGCATAGCTAACATCCAACGGAATGTGGTGGTGAAGCTGCAGTGAGGTATTAGTTCGTATGTGAGGGGAATAGTAGGTCTGGATGGGAATGATAGGGCTTACGAAATTACTTTAGTTTTTCTGAGTCTGGCCACAAGAAGTGAAATCTTTAGATGTATTGAGTATACACACAATATTATAACTTCATAGGAAATAACTTCTAAGAGGTGAAGGTTCTTGGGCTTTTGAGTTTCTCTGTTGGAGACAACAATGTAAAAGGCACACACCACCTCAGGCAGCTAACTTTGGTAAGAAGGTAGGAAGGTGGAGGAGATCATAAAGCACACCATATTTATTCAACTGTAGGATGACTGATGTCAACTCTCCAGTGTTTCTTTTCTCTTTTTTTACCTCCTGTCCTTCAACTCTCATGGGGGTGTGTGGGGAATGGGGGAGTGCTGGAGGGAAGAGAAGAAAGTCACCCAGCAAAGCAGAATTAGGTTGAGAGGCTGCCTTCCCGGGAAAGAACTGAGCTGAGTTCTCTGCAGATATGAACGCTACACTGAAATGCAAAGTTAAATTAAGCTGGAGGATGCAGCACTGTCTTGACAAAAGGATTGTCAGAGCTCAGCAAGGAACAGAGGTAGATCCCACCTCAAGTGAATCAGAGGTTGTATTCCTGCACGAGCCCCTCTTCAAGCCCATAGCGTCTGTGCAAAAGAACAGAGCCAAACAACTCTGCTTAGGCTCTCTGGGGACCTAGAAAAGCTGAAGAAGCTTAAGACACACCCTACCAAGTGACCGGCCTCCTTCAATCTTTTTTTTTAAGGCAGACACAGAATGAATAATATACGCATAGAATAAACACAGTGCCAGCCTCCCATCTGAGGGAGCCTAGGTTTGATCTCCTTTGCAATATCTCAGGTTTTCCAAGTTCACCTTTCTTGGTTTTCTGAGCCTTGAACTTGGCACCATTGAAACTGCCTGAATTTGATCTGTGAGTCTCTTGCTGTTGCCAGAACGCTGCCTGACTGTGTGCTGCCTCAACTGTGCCATTTCCCTTTCCAACTGCTAGCCTCACAATGATTCCTTCTAGCGTCAAGCAATGAGGCAGAAATCTCACTGCCTGCTCTATGATGGGTTCTGGTGGGTGAATTTAGGAACAAGCCCATTAAAGGATGGGAAAAGACACAAAATGAAAAATAAACGGGAGAAATTGTGCACCAACATACCAGGGAAGACAGCATTGTTCCACTTGTCTTCAAAGTAAAATTCCCAGCTATGGCTAGTGCCACATTCTGGTTAATTGCACTGGTCCCTTCTTGCTCTTCATCTGAGCCATTGGTACGATTTTTTCCACTGCGGGCATCTGCAGCTGCAATTAAAATACTATTGGTCTTACCATATGATCCAGCAATCATGTTCCTTGGTATTTACCCAAAGGACTTGAAAACTTATGTCCACACAAAAATCTGCACATGGCTGCTTATAGCAGCTTTTATTCATAATTGCCACAACTTGGAAGCAACCAAGATGTCCTCCAGTAGGTAAATGGATGAATAAACTGTGGCACATCCGGACCATGTGCTAGAAAGAAATGAGCTGTTAAGCCATGAAAAGGCGAGGAGGAAACTTAAACGCATATTAATAAGTGAAAGAAGCCCATCTGAAAAGGCTACATACTGTGTGATTCCAACTACACGACATTCTGGAAAAGGCAAGACTATAGAGACAGTAAGAAGTTCAGTGGTTGCCAGGGGTTGGGGGAAGGGAGGGATGAATAGGCAGAGCACAGAATTTTAGGGCAGAGAAACTAATTTGTATGATACTACAATGCTGGATACATATCATTATACATTTGTCCAAACCCTCAGAACGTACAACACCAAGAGTGAAAGCTAATGTAAATTATGAATTTGGGGTGATTACGATGTCTCAATGTAGGTTTATCTATTGTAACAAATGCACCCCTCTGGCGGGGGATGCTGGTAATGGGGAGGCTGTGCATGTGTGCAGGCAGGGGGTGTATGGGAAACCTCTGGACCTTCCTCTCAATTTTGCTATAAACCCAAAACTGCTCTAAAAAATAAAGTCTTAAAAAAATCTTTCTTGCCATCAAGCCAAAGATGGTATTACCCTATGTTCCCTACCCACTGCCCCATGTGTGACTGACACTTAGTTACTAAGGTCAGCACAGTCATTTTAAACCTGAAATTTAGCATTATTTATCTGCTACAGGAAAACAGCATCTATTTATCATCTATTTATTCCTGTTTAGCAGCTATAGGAAAAAGTAGGCAGTCTAATAAAAGAGAGAACATGTCCAGCACAAGATTAGGCTAGAAGTTAATTTTTCAAACTGAAAAAAAATTTCAAAGCTTTCATAACACTTTTCTATAATATGATATTTTTACTTCATTCGTATATTTCAAATAATGACCAAATAGAAAGGAACCTATAATTACAGAATTAAAAGGTACCTTATAGAATAACAAGCTATTATCACAAATTCAGCAATAATTTATTAAAATTTGAATGTTTGAAATAAATGTTAATTTATTGTATCCATGTAATATAGATGTATCTATATTTATACATAGGTCTAGATGTATGCAAACAAAATAAGGACCCACCATTTAAAAGGCTCGTTTTAAGACCATTATGAATCATACACACAGAAAGTATTAATATTTGTTTAAGCAGTTTTGAGAAAAGTGTGTTAAAACACGTATGACTGATCCATTAAAAACCTGTAATTTTATTAGACCTGTCAACATTATAGTATTTTGACTTTCAATTTTTCATAAAAACTAGTGTCAACAGTATTTTCACCTGCCAAACTTATAAAAACAGAACTCAATTTTCAAAAATAATAATTCACTGTTGTTTTTAAGTCAGTTGAGTTTTTAAACAAATGGTGAAATGAAGAGATGTGGCAATTATTCAAGACCTGATAACTTTATCAGGATTAATGTGAGCATACGTTCTCATTTCCCCTAAATGTGCACAGGGTCATGGTTACAAGACAAGGAGAGGAGAGGATAGAAATATTTGCTGCCAAAATGCTTTTATAGAAGTTCTCTCATTTCATCTTTATCACAACCCTAAGATATAGGCATTGTTATCACATGTTTACAACCGAGGAACGGAAGGGAAGGCATTAAAAGGCTGAGGAACTTTCCAAAGGTCATATATAGTAATAAATAGGCTGGAATTTGAATTCAGTTGTATCTTTTTTAAAAAATATACTGTATTCTTATTAGTATCAATCAAAAGATTTCATATGTAACAGATGCACTATATTACCTCTAATAATAGAATACTTATACTGTTTTCCCACTTGTCAGCTACATCATGACTATAAAGTTCAGTGCACACGTAAAGAAACCATTGAGACTTAAAAGGCTCAAAGACCAAGTGCTGAAAAGTTTTGATCCCAAGTCACTGATTTGGAAAATTCTAATCAACAAGGAAGCTTAGGATAATGCATGCTAATGTGATTCCCTGCTTTGGGAACAAACAAATCACAGGTCTTCAAGTGAAACTTTCTTGAAAGGTCCAGGCAAAATCCTAGAAATGGTCTGCAAGTCACCTGCCATGCTCTGAATCGCATCTTTAAATCTTGAAGACAACTCTGTTCTCCGTTTGCCCTCCAGTCAGGCACTGCTACCGGAAGCTCCACGCACCTCACCCTGCAGCCGGCTCATCTCTTGTGCCAACCTTGCTTCTGTAATTTCCCTGCCCATTTTTTCCTCATTCTATGAGCTAAAGAATTGTCACCACAAGGATTTTAGAAATAACTTAGTCACACAGGACACTTTGCATTTGCAGGAAGCAAGAAAACACGGATGGTTCTAAGATTCCGAGCATCATTGCTTCCAAGGATACTGGGCTCAATAAGCGTTCCTTGGGATCCTTCCTCGGTTGAGAGAACAAGCAAGGTAATGTTTAAGAACTTCCCTTTGCTGAGGAAAAAGCAAGAACCACTCTGAAGTGGCCAGAATTGTGTGTGTGTGAGTGTGTGTTGTGGGGAGGGTAGGCAGATGGGCTTGTCTTTCTAAGCTCTCAGGTAAGATGCTCTTTTTTGGGAGAGGGTCGTTTTGTTTGTCTACATTCCCTAATCCACACAGTAACATGCAAATAAACCCAGGAGGTACACAAAGGCCTTTCAGACAATCTATCCTTTCCTCTTGTGGCCAAGTGGGAGACACTGACTTTCAACCTTCGAATGAGCCTCTTAGTGCCAAGGGCAAAATTCCTCTGCCCGGCAGAATCTCCTAAGCGTGTCAGACACAATGCCTTTTTTTTTTTTTTGCATGGTACAAGTGTTTAGACTCATTTGAGTCTGCTTCTTTCCTTCAAAGCTCATAAAAGAAAAAAGAGAAAAAAGGAACAACTTTATTTCAAGGCATTAGAGCACGGATCTCCAAAAGAAATAATTCTGTTATTATCTTATCCTTTGTGGTGTATGGTCTATAATGTTCATCATATACCAGCAGACCAACGAGTGAATGAATAAACAAACAATTTCTAAATGAAAAACATATACAGGTCTATGTGCCTTAAAAAAAAATACACTCGTTGGGGCCTATGTTAAAAAAGTCGGTGTTGGGAATTGCTCACACAAGCATGTCAACACTGGAGCTAGTAACAGAAACCTCATTTTAGTGGGGCATTTGGCAAGCGCTCCCAACAATCAAAAGAAGGAAACAGAAGGCATTGTTACCTGTAAAGTCACAGAGCTGAGGCAAAGCATCCAAAATGATACCAACCAAAGGCAGGTAGAGGGCAGCAACTTTGACCTTCACCTCCGGTTTGACACAACGCGGGTCCAGGTCGTGAGAACTGAGCAGGCTGTGGATGGCACTGACAGCTTTCCTTTGCACTTTGCTGATCCTATTGGCAGCACACAAAAAGCCAAAGGTTAGAGTGAAGCGAGGTTGACCAGAATGCTCCTAAACAATGGGGTGATGACGTGAAAACCAAGCAAAGCAGGGTAGAGGCCTACAGAATCCAGAGACAAACTGCCTGTGTTCTAGTCCTGGCTCTGCTGTTAGCATGATGTTTAAAGTTCACCATGTTGTAGAATCAGTACTTCATTCCTTTTTATTGTTGAATAATATTCCATTGCATAATCAGATCACATTTTATTTACGCATTCATCAATTGATGGACATTTGGGTTGTTTCTATTTTTGGGCTATTATGAATTATGAATGCTGCTATGAATATTTGTGTATAAGTTTTTGTGTGGTTATAGGTTTTTTATTTCTCTTGGGTATCTACCTGAGGGTGGAATTACTGGATCATCTGGTAACTCTATATTTAACCTTTGGAGGAACCACCAAACTGTTCTCAACAGTGGCTACATCACTTTACATTCCCACTAGCAGTATAGGAAGGTTCCATTTTCTCTTTGTCAACACTTGTTATTATCTATCTTTTGTATTACAGCCATCCTAGTGAGTATGAAGGTGCTAGGAACTGAATGTTTGTGACCTGCCTCCCAAATTCATATGTTGAAACCTAAGCCCTAATGTGATGGTGTTTGGAGGTGGGGCCTTTGGGAGGGCTTTAGGTCATGACAGCAGAGTCCTCATGAATGAGATTAGTGCCTTTATAAAAGAGACCCCAGAGAGCTCCCTTGCCCCCTTCTGCCATGGGGGTGACACAGCAAGAAGATGGCCATCTGTGAACTAGGGCGTGGGTCCTCACAAGACACTGAATCTGCCAGCTCTTGATCTTGAACTTCCCAGCCTCCAGAACTGTGAGAAATAAATTTCTGTGGTTTATAAGCCACCTATTCTAAAAATATTCTATGATATTTTTGTTATAGCAGCCGAAAGGAACTAAGACAGAAGGGGTATTTAACTAGTTTTGATATACATTTCCCTGATGGCTAATTACGTTGAAAACCTTTTCACGTACTTATTGGTCACAGCTTCATTGGAGAAATGTCTATTCTGATCCTTTGCCCTTTAAAAAACTGAGTTATCTGTTCTTTTATTATTGAGTTGTAAGATTTTAAAAATATATTTTAGACACAAATCCCTTATTAGATCTATGATTTGCAAATATTTTCTCCCATTCTGTTTGGTGTCTTTTCACTTTCTTAATGATGTCCTATAAAGCATAGACGTTTCCATTTTAATGAAGTCTAACTTATCTCTTTTGATGGGTGAATTTTTTATGTCAGATCTAAGAAACTACTGCCTAATCAAATTTCATGAAGATTACCCCTAAGATTTCATCTAAGAGTTTTATAGTTGTAACACTTACAATTAGGTCTTTCATCCATTTTGAGTTAACTTTTGTATATGGTGTGAGATAGGGGTCCAACTTCATTCTTTTGGATGTGGATATCCAGTTTTCCCAGCACCATTTGTTGAAAACACTATTTTTTTGCCATTGATTTTTTTCGCACTCTTGTTGAAAAATCAGTTGACTATAAATGTAAGGATTCATTTATAGACTCAATTCAATTTCATTAATTTACACAGATCTATCTTTATGTCAGAACCACACAGTCTTGACTACTTTTGCTTTGTAGTAAGTTTTGAAATTGGGACGTGTGAGTCCTCCAATTTTGTTCTTCTTTTGCAAGATTGTTTTGGCTATATTGGAGTCCCTCGAATTTCCACATGAATTTTAGTATCAGCCTGTCAATTTCTGTAAGGGCCAGCTGGAATGGTGAGATGAATTGCACTGAGTTTGTAGATCAATTTAGGGAGTATTGCCATCTTAACAACATTAAATTTTCTGATCCATGAATACGTCATGCCTCTCAATTTATTTAGATCTATTTCTTTCTAAAGTGTTTTGTAGTTTTCATTGTACAAGTCTTGTACTTCTTTTGTTAAATTTATTCCTAAGAATTTTACTCTTTTGATGCTACTTTAAGTGGAATTTTTCTTTTAATTTTATATTGTTCATTTCAGGAGTATCGAAATAGTTAGTTTTTGTGTATTGATCTTATACCCTGCAACCCTGCTGAACTCACTTATTACCTTTTTTTTTTTTTTAACAGTAGGTCCTTGTTGGTTATTTTAAATATAGCAGTATGTACATGTCAATCCCAAACTCCCAGTCTATCCCTCCCTCCCACCCTTCCCCCTGGTAACCATAAGTTCATTCTCTAAGTCCGTGAGTCGCTTATTACCTTTAATAGTTCTTTTAGTGGGTTCTTTAGGATTTTCTATAAATAAATCATGTCATCTGTGAATAGAGATAGCTTTACTTCTTCCTTTCTGATATGGATGCCTTTTATTTCATTTTTTTGTCTAACTTCTCTGAGTAGAACTTCCAGTACAATGTTGAATAGAAGAAGCAAGAGTGGACATGCTTGTCTTGCTCCTGACCTTAGAAAGAAAGTATTCAGTTTTTCACCAATAAGTATGATGTTAGCTGTGGGTTTTTCACAGATGCCTTTATCAGGTTGGGGAAATTCTCATATATTCCTAAAGGGTGTGTGAAGTGTCTTTTTTCAGGAAGAGTTAACGGATTTTGTCAAATGCTTTTTTTCAAACTTTTAATTTTATATTGGAGTATAGTTGATTAACAATGTTGTGATAGTTTCAGGTGTACAGCAAAGTGATTCAGTTATACTTATACATGTATGTCTATTCTTTTTCAAATTCTTTTCCCATTTAGGTCATTGCATAATATTGAGCAGAGTTCCCTGTGCTATATAGTAGGTCCTTGTTGGTTATCCATTTTAAATATAGCAGTGTGTACATGTCAATCCCAAACTCCCCAGCTATCCCTTCCCCCAACCCTTCCCCCCTAGTAACCACAAGTTGGTTCTCTAAGTCTGGGAGTCTGTTTCTGTTTTGTAAATAAGTTCATTTGTATCATTTCTTTTTAGATTTTGCATATAAGCGATATCATATGATATTTCTCTTTCTCTGTCTGACTTACTTCACTCAGTATTTATTCACCTATTGAGCTGACTGAGTGGGTTTTATCCTTTATTCTCCTCATATAATGTATTACATCAATTGATTTTCGGATGCTAAACCAATCTTGCATTCCTGGGATAAATCCTACCTAGCCATGGTGTACAATCCTTTTTATATGTTGTTGGGTGCAGTCTGCCAGTATTTTTTGAGGATATTTATATCAATATTCATATTTGTCTGCAGTTCTCTCCTGATGTTTTTGTCTGCTTTTGCCATCAGGGTAATGCTGCTTTTATAGGATGAGCTGGGACGTGTTCTCTCCTCTTCTATTTTTTTGGAAGAGTGTGTGAAGGATTGGAATTAATTCTTTAAACATTTGGTAGCATAACACAAAGATGCTAGATAATTTCCACATTCTGGAAAACCACTACGGATTTAATGATATGTGGATGTTTGTGGCTACCCCCAGGTAAGGGGGGCTCCAGAGAGATCCATTAGAAACTAGACCTGTGGCTCCTTTTCAGGAGTTCAGGTACTGAGATGTGTCCCACTGGCCTTGCGCCTCATATGGGCAGGTGTTGGTGAGTCTACTAATTACATTGGCAGCAAAAGGAAGTACTGATCAAAAGGAAATATTGTCAAAGGATAAGATGTTTCTGAGATTTTCACCCACATGGTAAAGTCCGTGATGGTATTTTTAATGACTCTCCAGGAGAGTAACCGACAACACCGCGATCAGGGATTACTGTGTCGCCAAAGGAGTGGCACTCTTAATTAGTTTCCTCTGGGGGGGGTAGAAAAGGTACCTTGTGTGTATTTGTGTGTGTGTATACGTGTGAAGAATGTACCTACCTGATTGAACATAATCACATCATGGCTTCTGAACATACTCTACTCTGTTGCTAGTATTTAAAATAACAGCAACAATTTTAGGAGGAATCAAAACAGATGTAAAGGCTGTTTCCTTAGACATTTCACTAGAAGAGAAATGGAAAATAGAAAGTACCGTTTATGTAAATACTAAAGAGCACTTTTAGAAATCACGTAAATCCATGCTATTAAAGGACAATTAAGACGAAGCATGCGTGTGTGTGTGCGTGTGTGCGTGTGTGTGTGTGTGTGTGTGTGTATGAAGGCAATTTTCTTTGTGCGTAAGCCTCCTTCTCAGCGCCTTTCAGCATATTTGTCAGGACACTTTGTGTTGCTGTGGAAATTCATGTTAGCTACAGAGTAGAAAGTTCTATTGAGAAAATTGAGAGGAGTTTAGTTAGGGTTGAGAGAAGACGATGAAACTGAAGCCGTGGAAAATGAAGCTCTCTAAGGATACACTTGACACCTGAATTTCTGGAAGGAGGCAGAATTCTGAGCTAAGAACATCAGACTTCCCACAACGACCTGCTGGGCGACAGAGACCTACATTCACTTAGGCAATATCAGGATGGGCAAAGCGCTTAGGACACATTTGTTATTGAAGTTACACCATCTTGTGCTCCTGCAATTGTTTCATACAAGGATGTCCTGTTTTTGCCACAAAATTATAAGCACTTCGAGAGAACCTGAGAGTTTCCAATCAGACAAGAATCTATAACATACAGCCATGCTGCCGTTAGTCAGCGTACTCTATTCCAGTGTCCTCATTTAGCAGAGGAAGGAAGAACATAGGCATTGTAGGAGTAGGTTCCCAGGCAGGGAGGTGATGTGGTATAGGAGGGTGGGCCCCGAAGAGGGACTCTCAGACCATGGCTCTAGACTTGGCTGTGCTATGTAACTTTTGGCAAGTTCCTTCAGTTCTGTGGGCCTCATGTGAACACCAAAAGGGCTGAACGTAAATTATTTTCCAATCCTAAGGCTCCTTGGATTTGAGCCCCTGAATGGTGAGCTCTCTGGGGGCAAGGGATTTTGTCTGTTTTGTGCATTGAAATATCTCTGATATATTCCAACACTCAACTATGTCTGCCCCATGGCAGGCATTCAGTAATTGCTGAATGGAACGTGTAGTATTGTGGAAGGCATCGTCTGCTTCTGTCCAGTCAGGTCTGATCCTTTGGGCTTATGGAGCAGAGGAAAAGAAGGAAAGAACAGAAGTCCCAGTTCATTGACTTCAAGTCCAGATATTGCCACGTGCCTACAGGTGATCAGGTGTATAAGCAGTGAAAGAACGTGTAAGCCCTGGACCTGTGGCATCTCTCTTAGACTGGGAAGGTCTTTTTGCAAGAAACCTAATCTGGACACGGGGCAACTATCTTCTCATCAGTGGCCACTTCCTTTGTTAGCACTGATCCAAACGGCACCTGGCTGCTGCCTCTGTGCGCACACATCACCCAAGGCACGCACTAAAAACAGTGCTCCTGCTTCTAAGGAGCTCACAAATCAGCATCCCTGGAAACCTAGTAGAATTGGAAACTTCCTCTCAAAGAATAGGAGGTTGAAAAGAGCTATTTTATGGTTTCTCTCCCTACCCCGTGCCTTTCCACATTCCTATAGCAGCATTTTCTCTAAACGTGTCTGCTTCTACTCTTTGGAACTGGTGAATGGCGGAGATCTTCGCCAAGCAAGAGAGGCTGAACTGCAAACTTTAGTAAGGAGCAGCTTTTTGTTTTTCCTTTGTGTTCCATTATAAATGTCTGAAACATACCCTTCCCCTTCGGCATCCAGGGCAGCGGCCAGCTCGGTAAAGAGAAGCCCAGCGAGGAAGTGCTGCTGGCGGTACTCTGGTGTCAGATCAAACATGCTGGCAATCTTCTGGTCCTGGAAACTGGAGCAGGAGCTGGAGTTCTACAGAAATGCAAGGAGCAGTTCTATGAGTGACAAGAACTGGAATTAAAATCATGATGGCTAGTGTTTATTGAGCACATGCTATGGCCAGGCTCTGTAGGCACGATGCAGTGAAGCAGGTACCACTTGTGTCCCCATGTGACAGATGAAGAAACTGAGACTTAGAGCGTTCACTCTGCGTTCCCAGCAAAGAGGATTGAAATCCTAGGATCATATCTGGACAGGGAAATGGGGACTCTAACCAGTGCTATGGCTGTGAGCAGGTGATTCCTCTGTAACCAACTGCCCCCTTTATTTAAGGCTCCTGTTACACTTCTGAAGATGGCTTACATACATTCTCTGAATTTTGCTGGCCTGGAAACCAGAAGCAGCGTCAGGCAGGGAAGGGTCAGATTGACCAGTCCTGGGCAATTCCTGTGTTCTTATCTTGGGGTCATACTTTATATGTCACTAGGAGAATCCAAAATGTCTCTGGAAAGCCTTTCCGGTTTGGTGAGGCTGGGGCAGTCAGAAGGGGAATGTGGGAGAGGACCCAGGGCAGAGCTGGCACGTCTGGAACAGCTGCTTGTCAGTGAGCTCTTTCCCAGTTCACAGGAAGATGGTCATGCAGTGCACATCTGGATCATGTCATTTGGCATGAATAGCTAAGAGTTTTAAAAAATTATTAAGACAAGCCTTCTCCTTTGGGCTAGTATTCAAGGAATATGCATCAGAAAGAAAAGCTAAGAAGAAGAAATCTTGCCTGCTGCTCTGAGCTACTGATTTGTTCCCTATAAATGGAATGTGCCTATTAAACAGCATTTCTTTGAAGTTTTTCTAGAGGACACTAGTCCCCCGAATCATCGATGGAGGAAAAAAAAGATTTCCAGAGTCCAGTCATATTGGGAATCACTGCTTATCATACACAGCCTCCCATTTCCTCTCCTACCCCACAGGCATTTATAATTTATATGAACAAGTTAGAGACACTTGGATGTCCTACTGCAAAGAAACCTGTTAACACAGGGTTTTCAAAATGGATTTGTCTTTGGAATTCTGTATTTGCATAATACCTCTTAACATCCTGTAGAATCTGGGGCCCACCAAACTTAACCTGCAAAATATTGTTCTACAAAAAAAGATTGGCCATGTCAGTCAAAGCCTCCTCTCTAAATTTTAATACAACTGTTACTCTTCTGGGCTGATGAAGAAAAAGACTTGTTGGAAATACACTCTCTATAAAACAGAACATTGATTAGTTTACAATGAGATCTTTTTAGTGTTTCAAGAGCTAAATTATCTGGAATATGATTCAAGGAGGAATCATCTCATGCCGAATTCCATTCTAAAGCAGAAACAGCAGAAAGTTCTAGGGTCGTTCAAAGATATAATATCCATGTTAAAAACCACTACTAGATCATTTGGGAATCAATATAAAGGAAGCTGTCATTTCTTAAATTTTATGGTGTTGAGGTTTAGGAAAAGGGAAGTGAGCAAAGGAGACTGTCAAGCTAGAGTGGAAAGATGACTTTCAGACAAAAGGAAGATCTGTGACTTTTCTATGAATTACATATTTTTCGTAGTGCACATGGATTCCTTTTGCTCTACTTGACCTCAGCAGGGATCCTTGGACTTAGGAAGAAGACAATCACGTAGCTTGTAAATGATTAGTCAGATGGCACAACTATGGGCATACTTGTGTGCATCTGGATCAACTGATCTGGCTTGAATAGCTCAATTTTTCTTCTAATTAAGAAGACCAATCTTTACAGGAATAAATGACTAAACTAAGCTATTTCAATGAAATAGCTTAAACAATTTTTTCAGTTAGCCGATTACCTGGGAAGATATGGAGGGACAGGGAGACGCTGGAGCAGTATCAGTATTCATAAAGAAGAGGTTCAGATTGAGGTAATGTTCGTGGCTGCAGAGAATTCTCAGGAACTCTAGCCTCATGGAAATGAGCATTGGAAGGTTGTTGAGCTTGGCTGACAGCTGGGAAGAAAAATGAGGAGAGAAAAGAGGTGTTTAAGGTGAATGGAGTTGAGGTTGACAGACACAAAAATATCCTTTCTCCCCAGATTAAGGCAATCAATCGAATAAAAACGAATGGGACAGGGCAACAGATGTCAAACTCTGCATTACCGGGAGGCCCAGTAAATTTTCATCCATTACTGTTCCCTTTAATGATTCTAGTCTAACAGCTGTCTGAAATGAGGATGCTTACTGCGACTCCCACCCGTCAAATCTCTAAGACCGTGGCAAGCCTGTGTTAAAAATAATCTGGAGGTATGTCTTCAGTGTAACACGATATAATTTCACAAAAATCCCACTGTGTCTGAGAAACTAAATGAAAAGAGTTGACCCTACATGGGGTCACACAAAACTAATGGAATAGGACTGGATGACTTCAACGCCACAAGTGTTCTTTTGTGGTTTCTAATTAAAGGTCCCCCTGGGAAGTTCTCAAACCAGTTCCCTAGATGAAGGCATCAAATTACTTAGAATCTAAGTATGTAGTCCCTGCGTAACAACCAAGGAGTTTGCCCCAGAGTGGGAGAGGAGGAAGTGGAGGAGAAAGAAAGAGAAAGCTGGAAGAGTTTCCAGGAAAAATCTTCCCTTAAACAAACCAACCCTGAAATAAGCAATGAAAAGCTGGCAAAGGTGACAGTCTGGAAGAGATCTCTTGCTTCCCTCAGGTAGGTTGACAATTGAAGGACCGAGACTCTATGGGCTGTGACTCAGAGACAGCTTCCCTTAAGGCAAAGCAAGGAAAGGAGGGTCTTGATGGACCTTCTACCTCTCAATATATCATTATAAATACTCTGCTGCTGCAGCACAGGAAACCAAGCATCTCATCCTTACACATGGCCATGCTTCCTCTTCATGCACTTTAAGAGCAGTTTTATAAACTATACAATTTAAATGAGCACATATTTTCAGTCATTTTAGGAAAAGCCATTGTGTTATGGCATTTTGCCTATAGAATCTGCAGTTAGACAGTTACTGGAAACAAATGAATACCATTATGTATTATAGAAGAAAACAGAATATATACTTCTCTGTAAAAACATTTACCAGAACCCGTACTCTTGTCAATGTGCATTACTGGCTGATTTTGGACCAATGGGAACACCGGCAAATTGAACTGATTACAACTCGGTCTTATGCCCATCACTTAATGGCCACTCACAAAGTTGTTGGGTCAAGCCAGCTAATAGAATTTGAAAGCACAAGATTTTTTTTTTTTTTTTTTACATTTGAATAAGCCTGTTTTAGATCTTTTATTTAAATTATTGTTTTAACATCTTTATTGGAGTATAATTGCTTTACAATGGTGTGTTAGTTTCTGCTGTATAACAAAGTGAATCAGCTATACATATACATACATCCCCATATTTCCTCCCTCTTGTATCTCCCTCCCACCCTCCCTATCCCATCCCTCTAGGTGGACACAAAGCGCCGAGCTGATCTTCCTGTGCTATGTGGCTGCTTCCCACTAGCTGTTTTCTATTTGGTAGTGGATATATGACCATGCCACTCTCTCACTTTGTCCCAGCTTACCCTTCCCCCTCCCCGTGTCCTCAAGTCCATTCTCTAGTAGGTCTGCATCTTTATTCCCATCCTTCCCCTAGGTTCTTCATGACCTTTTTTTTTCTTTTTTTTTAGATTCCATATATATGTGTTAGCATACAGTATTTGTTTTTCTCTTTCTGACTTACTTCACTCTGTATGACAGTCTCTAGGTCCATCCACCTCATTACAAATAACTCAATTTCGTTTCTTTTTATGGCTGAGTAATATTCCATTGTATATATGTGCCAGATTTTCTTTATCCATTCATCTGTCGATGGGCACTTAGGTTGCTTCCATCTCCTGGCTATTGTAAATACAGCTGCAATGAACATTTTGGCACATGACTCTTTTTGAATTATGGTTTTCTCAGGGTGTATTGCCAGCAGTGGGATTGCTGGGTCATATGGTAGTTCTATTTTTAGTTTTTTGAGGAACCTCCATACTGTTCTCCATAGTGGCTGTATCAATTTACATTCCCACCAACAGTGCAAGAGGGTTCCCTTTTCTCCACACCCTCTCCAGCATTTATTGTTTCTAGATTTTTTGATGATGGCCATTCTGAGTGGTGTGATACCTCATTGTAGTTTTGATTTGCATTTCTCTAATGACTAGTGATGTTGAGCATTCTTTCATGTGTTTGTTGGCAATCTATATATCTTCTTTGGAGAAATGTCTACTTAGGTCTTCTGCCGATTTCTGGATTGGGTTGTTTGTTTTTTTGATATTGAGCTGTATAAACTGCCTGTATATTTTGGAGATTAATCCTTTGTCAGTTGCTTTGTTTGCAAATATTTTCTCCCATTCTGAGGGTCGTCTTTTCGTCTTGTTTATGGTTTCCTTTGCTGTGCAAAAGCTTTTAACTTTCATTAGGTCCCATTTGTTTATTTTTGTTTTTATTTCCATTTCTCTAGGAGATGGGTCAAAAAGGATCTTGCTGTGATTTATGTCATAGAGTGTTCTGTCTATGCTTTCCTCTAAGAGTTTTATAGTGTCTGGCCTTACATTTAGGTCTTTAATCCATTTTGAGTTTATTTTTGTGTATGGTGTTAGAGAGTGCTCTAATTTTATTCTTTTACATGTAGCTGTCCAGTTTTTCCAGCACCACTTATTGAAGAGGCTGTCTTTTCTCCATTGTATATTCTTGCCTCGTTTATCAAAGATAATGTGATCATATGTGCATGGGTTTCTCTCTGGGCTTTCTATCCTATTTCTATCCATTGATCTATATTTCTGTTTTTGTGCCAGTACCATACTGTCTTGATTACTGTAGCTTTGTAGTATAGTCTGAAGGCAGAGAGCCTGATTCCCACAGCTACGTTTTTCTTTCTCAAGATTGCTTTGGCTATTCGGGGTCTTTTGTGTTTCCATACAAATTGTGAAATTTTTTGTTCTAGTTCTGTGAAAAATGACATTGGTAGTTTGAGAGGGATTGCACTGAATCTGTAGATTGCTTTGGGCAGTATAGTCGTTTTCACAATGTTGATTCTTCCAATCCAAGAACATGGTATATCTCTCCATCTGTTTGTATCATCTATAATTTCTTTCATCAGTGTCTTATAGTTTTCTGCATACAGGTCTTTTGTCTCCTTAGGTAGGTTTATTCCTAGGTGTGTTATTCATTTTGTTGCTATGGTAAACGGGAGTGTTTCCTTAATTTCACTTGCAGATTTTTCATCATTAGTGTATAGGAATGCAAGAGAATTCTGTGCATTAATTTTCTATCCTGCTACTTTACCAAATTCATTGATTAGCTCTAGTAGTTTTCTGGTAGCATCTTTAGGATTTTCTATGTATAGTATCATGTCATCTGCAAACAGTGACAGTTTTACTTCTTCTTTTCCGATTTGGATTCCTTTTATTTCTTTTTATTCTCTGATTGCTGTGGCTAAAACTTCCAAAACTATGTTGAATAATAGTGGTGAGAGTGGGCAACCTTGTCTTATTCCTGATCTTAGTGGAAATGGTTTCAGTTTTTCACCATTGAGAATGATGTTGACTGTGGGTTTGTCATATATGGCCTTGTCATACATGGCCTTTATTATGTTGAGGTAAGTTCTCTCTATTCCTACTTTCTGGAGGGTTTTTATCGTCAATGGGTGTTGAATTTTGTCAAAAGCTTTTTCTGCATCTATTGAGATGATCATATGGTTTTTAGTCTTCAGTTTGTTAATATGGTGTATCACATTGATTGATCTGCGTATATTGAAGAATCCTTGCATTCCTGGGATAAACCCCACTTGATCATGGTGTATGATCCTTCTAATGTGCTGCTGGATTCTGTTTGCTAGAATTTTGTTGAGGATTTTTGCATCTATGTTCATCAGTTACATTGGTCTGTAGTTTTCTTTTTTTGTGACATCTCTGTCTGGTTTTGGTGTCAGGGTGATGGTGGCCTCATAGAATGAGTTTGGGAGTGTTCCTCCCTCTGCTATATTTTGGAAGAGTTTGAGAAGGATAGGTGTTAGCTCTTCTCTAAATGTTTGATAGAATTTGCCTGTGAAGCCATCTGGTCCTGGGCTTTTGTTTGTTGGAAGATTTCTAATCACAGTTTCAATTTCAGTGCTTGTGATTGGTCTGTTTATATTTTCTATGAAAGCACAAGATATTTGCATTTGAAAGAAGACCACGTTGTGGCCATCTTTCATAAGTCCCTTGAAACTTCCATGAAGACAGAAATTTCAAAAATAATTTTAGCAATGTTTAGGAAAGAGTAAAGTGCAGTTCCCAAAACATCCTTTGCAAAGGTCAGGACCCAAAGCAGTAGCCTCGGTGGCCCAGTTTTCACAAGGATCTTGCTAAGTCAGTTTAGCCAGAATCTCTCACCCTTAATATGTGATCACTCTTGAGATCTGACCAAATTCCTCATCCCTCACCATCCCCCAGGTGGTATATGATCACCTGGCCTGCCTTCAGCAAAATCCTGTTAGGTTAGTTTGGCCAGAATTCTTCCTTTACCCCTGATGTTTCCTCTTAGTAATTTTTCATCCACTGACTATTCCTACCCTGTTCCTTGGCTATAAATTGGTATTTTTCCTGTTGTATTCAGAGTTGAACACAATCTCTCTCCCCTACTGAAAAACTGTGGTGCAGTGGTCCCTACGCTATCACGATGGTCCTGAATAAAGTCTGCCTTACAGATTACCACGTGGCATGCATAAATTTTTTCTTTAACAGAGGCTAACCCTGGGCTTATAGTGGTGTTCCAGTATCTCCTTTCCATATATTCAACTTCAAGTTTTGAAAAACATATTAATTTATATTTGCAATTCATCCAGTGACCTGCCATCCTAAACACCTGAGGGGGATGGCAAAGCGAAATGGCACACTCCTCCACCACTCCAATCTGGTGGGATAGGGACAGAAGATCAATGCAGGGTCAGGAGGTCAGGCTGCACAAGATGTTGGTGCTCTGGGACTTCTGATGTTTCCTTAGGATTCGCTTTGTATAAGTCATCTTCCGTGTTAGGAGTGTCTTTAGAATAGTCATGGTCTTTTTACTGGGGAGAGGAGATCCTTTTATTTTACAGATGAGGAAATGAGACCCATAGAAATGTAATGACTTATCTAAGGTCACTAATTTCCTAGATAAGAAATTTAATGACTTATCTAAGGTGCAGAGTAATTAACCTACTGTACCTCGAGTTAGGTAGCCATGGCTCTTTCTTCCCTGGAGAAGTTACATAACTCCTCTAAATTTCAGCCTTATAATCTGCAAAATGTTGACAATGACACCTTGCAAGGATCAAATGATACAATTTCTATAAAGTGCTTAACACAGTGCTTTGTCCAGGGGTGGAAGAAACCGGGGTGGTGACAGTGATGGTGATGGTGGAGGTGGTGGGTGGTGATACTGGTGGTAGTGAAGACAGTGGTGGCGGGTAGTGATGTTAGTGGCAAGGATAGTGGTGGTGGTCCTAACGTAGGAATATGGAAGGAAAGGAGCAGCAGCAATAATAACTGCTACTTACATTTCTATTGTTGGGACAGTATGAGGAGGATAGAGAACAAAAGAAGAATTCCATTTGAAAAATCTGGGGCACTGATAAGATGCTCCTGGATTATAAAATACGGTCGGCCCTCTGTATCCACAGTTTCTGTATCCATGCGTACAACCAACTGAGAATTGAAAACTACTCAGAAAAAAAAAAATCCAGAGAATTCCAAAAAGCAAACCTTGAATTTGTACTGGCGACTAGTTATATAGAATTTACATTATACTTGATATTATAAGTAATCCAGAGATGAGTTAAAGTATGTGGGAGGATGTGTGTAAATTATTTGCCAATACTATGCTATTTTATAGAAGGGACTTGAGCATCCATGAATTTTGGTATCCTTGGGGGAGCTGGGAGGGGTCCTGGAACCAATCCTCCACAGATACACCAGAGGACAGTATTTGCTTCGTGCCAGGTCAAATTCAGTCTCTTTGATTTTACCAGGGTTCTTTAATGTCAGAATTTCACAACTACAATTTAATTACCCTGATAGGAGAAAAGAGACCTCATATTTTCAGTTCTATACCTGGTCAAAGACTGAATGCTACAGTCATGTAATTTCTGTTAAATAATTGAAGAAAGCAACTCATGTCACTAACACATTTCAATTCCCGTAGATTAACTTGCTGGCTCTTCTGTGCTGGGTTGGTAAATGCTTCAGGAATTCACACAAACCAGTGTGTCTACAGACGTCCATGGCACAAAACAACTGACTTGAAGAATATACCACAAAACCCAGAATGTACAAGAGTCAAGTTGCCTAAATTGGCAGTGAACAAAAGAGCATGCCACGGCAATCAGCATCACATCAGATGGGAAGGAACCAGAACGACAGGGCTGGGTCTGAGGGAACACTCACCTGGTTGCAATAATGTTTGATGAGGTTAAACACAAAGCCACGATCCATGAGTGAGAGGAGGTCATACAAGAAGAAAGCCAGGCTGATGTTGATCTTTTCCGCCTGTTCAATTTCCTTAAAAACAAACATACAAACACCCACATCATTTGGTGGTAAACCCTGGTCATAAACTCCCAGGTCTCTGATGGGAAAGTTGGGAGAGGCAGGTCCTATGTTTTTAGCCAGTGTCCCTCTGGAAGATACTGAGCAAAGCAGGTAACCCTGCAAAACTATAGCAAATATAATTTAGAACTTAATTGATGCCATGAGTGTTGAATGAAGTAATTCCTTATCTACTGTTAATACTTAGATACATTTCCTTCTAGGCTTTTTTTCCTACGTGCATATTTATTTGTATATAATTGAGCTCATTCTCTATCTACAACAGGGTCCTGAATTTATTCATTCAACATTATACTATGAACATTTTCCCACATTCTGGTTTCTCATATTTCTTATATTTCTTTATATTGCTCTACTATAATTTATTTAATTCTGGTAACTATTGTTTTGGCAAAACTAACTTGAAATGTATTCACTATCTTCAATGAGATAGACTCAATTTGTAAGGACTGTTGCAGAAAATCTAATCAGGATACAAGAACCAGTTTTTACTTAAGGATTTTTTTTTTTTTTTTTTGCGATACACTGGCCTCTCACTGTTGTGGCCTCTCCCATTGCGGAGCACAGGCTCCGGATGCACAGGCTCAGAGGCCATGGCTCACGGGCCCAACTGCTCTGCGGCATGTGGGATCCTCCCGGACCGGGGCACGAACCCGTGTCCCCTGCATCGGCAGGCGGACTCTCAACCACTGCGCCACCAGGGAAGCCAGGATTTTTTTTTTTCTCCAATTAGACAGCATTCTCAGCTTAAGAGAGGTCAGAGTCATACATGGTCAACTCTTGCATGAACTGAGGCCATGGTTTTGTTTGTATTACTTCTCAGTGCTCATATTTATGAGGGATTTTCATAGCACTTCAGAGCAATTGGGGATTCCCTTTTTCATGTTTATGTCCTTTATTCTCAGAAGTATAAATCAATTTGCTCTGACACTATTGAAAATATGATTTTAAAATATGTTCCTCTTGTTATCATGTACAGTTTGCAAATTCAGGCCAAGCTGACCAGCCACTGGCATGGATGGAGACTTGGTAGTTTCCACAGTTACCATGGAGTGGCAAGTCCTCATGCTTTTAGCATCCTCCACATGGACCACTCCTTAAGAGACTGAATATTCTGGGCTTGGAATCTTCAGTCTTGACTTTGCTGCTAGCTGTGTGACTTTTGGAAAATTTATCAACTTCACTGTGCCTAATTTTTCATGCCTGCCAAAATGGAGACACCATTGCCACTCGCACAAAGTTTGCCATAAGAAATAACCAAATGGAAATTTCTTCTCCTGAGTATTTGTATGGTAGCATACAAATTCTTCATAATGATAAAGGTATTAATAATGATCACTGCTGCTTCAAATTTTATAGATTTTTTTTTTTTTTTTTGCGGTACGCGGGCCCCTCACTGTTGTGGCCTCTCCTGTTGCGGAGCACAGGCTCTGGACACGCAGGCTCAGTGGCCATGGCTCACGGGCCCAGCCGCTCCACGGCACGTGGGATCCTCCCGGACTGGGGCATGAACCAGCATCCCCTGCATCGGCAGGCGGACTCTCAACCACTGTGCCACCAGGGAAGCCCCTAGAATTTTAAATTCTGCTTCAAATTTTAGAATTTTGTTTTATTTCATTTTACATATTTTTTTACTTCTACTTTGAAATAATTTCAAACTTAAGGAAAAGGTGCAAGAATAGTAAAAAGAACTCCCTTAACTAGACGCATCAATACTTGACATTTTGCTACATTTGCTTTATCATTCTCTCTGCATATACAATTTTTTTTCTGAACCATTTGAGAGTAGGTTGCAAATATCATGCCCATTTACCTCATAATACTTCAGGGTATATTTCCTAAGATAAGAATATTATCTCTTGTAGCTACATTGATACAATAATTTAAACTATTGTAATTCCATATTGTAATTTCTTGCTAGCAGTCCCCAGCCCCACCCCAGGGTCCTGTCCAGTATAACATACTGCATTTAGTTGTTATGCAGTATGTTAGTTACATTTTAATTACTGTTTTAAGATGATGCTTATTTTTCTTTATGAAAATAACATATGCCCAAGGTAAAAAATTTCAGAAAGTAAAGAGTCAAATGACACAGTTACCCTCTGAGGTTTTACTAAAAGGGCTGCAATCTCCGAGGTGACCACATTAACAATAGTAGTTATGTCATCTTTGAAACGGTCGGAAAAACGAGTCCTCCGAAAATTGTCCCGTTTGTCCATGTTGTGTACATACTGGGCCATGCTTTTCACCTGCAGAGAAGATAGGGGAAATGTCAATGTGGAAACTGGTGACCTGCTTGTACACTGTGGAAAAGGGGAAAAGCCTGGAAGAAAAGCTCATTAACAATGGACTTTCTAACACTCTATCTGTGCTGGTGGTTGCCCAAGCAGGCTCTGATCTGAAAAACGCTCCTGACACCCGGATGGTTACCATGGTGGCAGGAGGTGGGAAGGGTGCCCCCTTCTTGACCCCAAGTCAAGGGGCTCCCTTCTTGCTGCTGACAAAGCCAGGGAGCTTAATTCTTTAGCTGCGGTGTCACAAGACTCCCTTTCTCTCAACTGGGAAGGCAGACCTAGACTGGGCCCCTAGGGCCACTGAGGCACCACCCTATCATGGCACACAACACATTCCAGAAAGAGGAAATGTTTATGAGACTGGTTTTGATGTGAACCGAAGTAATTTCTGTCTCTGAAACTACAGCAAGGAGAAGAAGAGAGAAATGGTAATCTTATGTCAAGTTTCCAGTTGAACAGGAGAACAGTTTTTCCAGAAACAGTTCTATAGTGTGCTAGCTGGAAACTTAACCACTGCTTGGAACATTACCTCTAGGAGAAATTATGTTCTGAGTTTTATACGACTAGCTTGCTAAATATACATATCTATGTATACATTTATATAATTATATATTTAAAATACATATTTAATGTATATGTAGTTTAAATAAAAACCTGTATATCCATCAGTGATTCTCTGTATTATGACTAGTACAATACCAGCTCAATGCCTACCACAATTTTAAGTCAAAATCATGCTTATTTTTTGGATTTCTTCCTGGGCCAGGAGATTATGGGTCAATACACCCCCTTTTGATACAGCCTGAGGTTGCGTCTTGTTGGAAGCTGCTCAGAGCTAGGAGGAACAGTCTGATGGGAAAGGCTGGGAGAGGCTGTGGGCAGGTGCCTACCCTTTCCATAAGTGTGTCCACACTAGTCTGAGAGTCACTGCATAAAGAAATGGCCCTGGAACTTAAACCACCCACACTGGCCTGAAGGTGACCCACTAGGTCAGGGCTGGAAGAAGAGGGGAAAATGACTTTCACTCCCAAGAGCGCTAACCGCAGACTTCTGTTTCTGAGAATGCAGGGGTGGCAATATTTTTAGCACTGAGATAAACAGAGATTAACCAAAACAAAACAAAACACAGAAGAGGTAAGTTAAGAAGTGAAAACATACAGATAGGTAAATGTGTTTTCTGTGTTCAGATAATGCCATAGCCAGTTTGGGGAAGATGTAAGAACATAAAATCCTGAAGCCCAGGGTAAGAACCACAGTTTCTCTTCACAGTAGAGTCCCCCTTGGCTCAGGACACACTAAAGTGTCTGTATCCCGCAGAGTCACAGGTACTTGATGGAAGACCTGAATGAGAGGTGGGAACTGGACCCCATATTTGTCTGACGAAACTCCTCTCTCACTATGATCCTAACAAAGGACCGAGGAAGACGAGGCCCCTTTGTTTAGAGCTACCTGCTCCTGATTCCCTGCTGCCTAACCCACCCCAGCACCGGGCTTTTAGAACTCACTCTTGTGTTTGCCTCCTGCCTGCTGAGTGTGGCCATCCTACAAACAAACAGATAATCCTCACAATACCATACTTCCAACCACTGGCCTCTTGCCGGACTGTCAGCTACTTGCCAACTACTATGTTCTTTGCATCTCAAGAGTGGAAATAGTAGTGGAGACTTGGCCCGTTATTTGTAGGGTGGGGTAAGGCAGGAAAATATTTTCCTCCACATCGGCCTCTGTGACCCATTCAAAGCTGGGATACCAAGAACCCCTTGGTGTAGAACTTCATGTCCTGGGTAGACAGGGTCACCATTTACCTCTGGATCCCCAAAGTCTGGCTCAGCAGTTTCTAGAAACATGGGAATGTATTCATTAGCAAGTGTGAAATCTGCCCAAGGATTGTGTTCAACAGCTCTGATGCCAAAGTGGTTGTTCATTAGCACGTGGGCATTAATACAACTAAAGGGTGTTAAATTGCCCAGGTTGTTGGCTAAGCCCAAGGAGGCTGTCGCCCCTTTCTCCTCAAGCTTCTTGGGAAAAAAACTGTTTTGGTTTTGCAGCAACTTCCTAGACATCTGTAAGGCAAATGCAAAAGCAATGCGTGGAGGACTGGGCGTCCTGTCTGGGTCCAAGATCGGTTTCCTTGCAAAGTTCTGGCTGGGGCTGACAGTTTCCATTTGCCTCCAGATGCAAACTCCAGCTCCCTTTCTTGCCCTCCTCCATCTATCTCTGAGCCCTGGGAAGCTGATCCCTATAGACAACATCATTCAGGACTCCTTGCACTTAGGCTTCTGGTTGGACCTGGCAAATGGGAGGCACCATCAGGGGACCAGTGGGCGGGAGAAGAGTGGTCCAGGTGCGCATCCACTCCACTGCCCTCATCCCCGTGCAGCGTGCTTCTGGCAGTGGCAGTGTTTCTCTAAGATGCCAGCTCCTTGTCACGTGGACACTCTTCTCTGCCTCAGCTTTCTCTTGCCCCAGTTACACTATTCCATACCCTTGCTTCTTTAGAGCTAGGAGAGAGAAATGCTTCCAGCGCCTTCTGCTCCCAGGGTGCCTCACCAACCCTTATCTGCTTCTGTAACCTGGCACATACCCTGGGCAAAGTCCCTTTGATAAATGTTTTCCAGTTAACCCTTTTGAGCAATGCCAACGCTGTCTCACGAGGACCCTGACAGACTTAGTTATAACCTGCAGAGCCCTGGGTGATCTGCATGTTGACCAACCCCCTCCAAGCACTCGTATCAGTAGGACCTTCTTTCCAGCTTCTGCAGCTGTTTACCATAAAGGACTCCTAGAGGAAGGAGGGCTATCAGCTTTAGCTTTTGCTTTCTTCCCTGAGCCTACTGAGTCCTAGTAAATAAATGTGCAAGATCAAAAGCAATTTTCACCTGTTCCATGGTTCTCAGATCCCTGCAGTTAGGGGCACTGAAGTGGTACTGATGAAGTCTTTGGCGGACCTGGAGACTTCTCCTTATGGCCTCCACCTTTCCTCCAACCCCATCTGTAAACTGGGGATGATGGAAAGCTCCTGCCTGAGGGTCGTCTGAGGATTCAACCAGATGATGCTTACAGTGCTTACAAGGGTGCCTAGCATGTATATAGATGCTCAACACATTTTAGGTGTTATTATTTTTCCTTCCTTGGGGATGCCAGCTGTCACTGGTATTATATGAAGGACAGAGTATCATTACATTTGCAGAGAATGCAAACTTGCCTTTGAAAGAGAGCTCTAAGATGCCACGAGGAGCCATTTAGGGCTAGCAATGCTGAGTTCATGCCTACTGAGAATGGGACAGTGATTGCAGCACTCCATTCAAGTTGACTTCAGAATACAAGGGTTTCGCATGTTGTTAATACGTTAGGCTAAGAAAATGTTCTGTCACGTTACGCTTCCAAGGAGAAGCAAAATGGCAGAGGAACAGAATTTGGACCAGAGCATTGCGGAACTGAGGGCCTGCCCCTCCCTGGCTGAGAGGGCTGGGCAAACCCCTCCTTAGCCTCAGGGTCCTGTGTTTGCACCGGGGATAACTGCTCACGATAGAGCTTATAATACATAGCTACTAAATAAGATCTAAGAATGATTAGGTGAAGTGTGTGCATATGTGTGCATGTGTGTGAGTAAATGACATGAAACATCTTTGAACTGAGATACTGCTTTCCTTTGGGACTCTCTTCTAAGAGATTCCACAATGTCAAAGTGAGTTTTTGCATCATGTCTTTTAAAATTTGCAATACGGCAGATCAACTCAGTTGAAGATTATTTGTATGAATTATCTATAGACGGATTACCACCTGAGTAAATCTTCTTTATGGAGAAATTTGGTGGTGGGATGGGTACACAGAAACAGGATGTACTGGGCACACAGTGGTGGTTTTGATCCTTCTCTTGCCTCAAGACAGAGTTTATGGCCAGCCTCTTTCGGCCAGATTGCAAAGCTCATGTCTCACCGCTAATGCGGTTTGCTCCAAGACTTGTGAGCTGCAGCCACCCACCCGAATCAGCTTGGCTTTTAGAATGCAAACTCCTGGTGCTGGCTGCATACAGAGACCCTTAGCTCCGTTCGGGCCTCACAGAGCAGAGGTGGTGTGGACTAGTGGATCTTCAGCACGCTTGGAAGGCACCTGGGCAGACAGGTTCATGCAGTGCCGGCTTCCCCCTCCTCATTGCACTCAGTATTCTAGGGAGGGGCTCCAGATCTGCTTTATTCTCACTAAGCACCCTAGGTGATTCTGCTGCAGGCATCTGGGACTGTGTTTGGAAAAGACATCTCGCTAGCAATACCTTTCTCAAACGAGGGGTGGGAACTTGGTGAAACTCTAAGGGATTTGCATCCTGGATGTGCTTCTGTGGCATGGTCTTCACTTCTTTTTAACTCTGTTGCACACTACTTCCCATTTCCTCCCCAATGTATGTTTATTTTTGTTTCCTTTGACCCTCTTGTCCTCTATGTCTTATTGTTCAGTATTGTTCTCTTTTACTTGGGCTTGAACTTACATAGATAAACTAGAGCTCAGGTGAAAATCCTACCATCTCTCTCAAAAAAAATTATCCACTTTAACAGTGTCACAGAGCAAAGAACCCAGTCAATATAAAGCTAATTCTATCACTAAGTCTCAGTCCACTCTATCCTCTGGATTGTTTGCATGTGCATTTTTATGTAGTTAGTGTCTGTGCTTTCACACCTTTTTCATTTCACCTCATTTCGCAATGCATCTCAATTTATCAACATTGACAAAATGCTTATTCTAGTGGCTTTATGGCAAAATCCTTTCACTTCTAGTATAAAATAGGTATTACTATTATTCTCTTTATTTTTAAATTAAAGACTATGCTATACCTTTTGCTTTTCTGCTAGAGAACAGATAGAAGTTGCAGGTAAACAGTTTTACAAGTCTCATTTTTTCCCCCCAACAAATATTAGTTGGCGCTTGTACGATGTCAAGCCATGTTCTGGGGCTAGAGATAAGATAATGAAGAAGATAGACCTCAATCCTAGAAATCCAATAGGCAAAAGAGAAAAACAATTACAAATTGTGGTAAGTGCTAGGAAGGAAATAAAGAGGGTGTTTAAAAGGAGAGGAATAGAATGGAAGATATATTATGGTAGAAGGTGGTCAGAAAAGGACTCTCAGAAGTGGTGACACTAAAGCTGAAACCTAAAGAGAAGAACTACCGAAGTGTGTATGTATGTGGGGGGCATGAAAGGTACGGACAGGGGAAAGAATCTTAAGAAAGCTCTGAGGTTGAAAAGGTCTCAGCATCTTCAAAGGACCAAACTGGAAACAATGTGGCTGAATGAGGGGGGGAATAGGGTCTAAGATAAAGTTAGAGATGAATGGAAACAGAATCATCCAGGGGCTTTTTAGGCCGTGAGAAAAATGTGTGCTTTATTTCCAGTACACTGGAAATCACTGAAAGGTTTTAAAGAGGGGAGTGTCATTATCTGCTTAATTTTGAGTTGCCCTGTGCAGATTGGATGGGCTGAGGGCACAAATGAATGCAGGTGGGCAAAGAGGAAGCAAATGCAGACATGATGGCAGCTTGACTAGGCGGGGCGCAGTGAAGATTGGTGAGAAGCGGCAGGTGGAAGTAGATTTTCAAGGTGGAATCAGCAAGATTTGGTGGAAGATGGATGAAAGGGTGAGGGAGAGTTAAAACTGAAGGAATGATCCCAGGTTTTCTGCAGGAGCAATTCAGTAGATAAGATGTCAGTTCCTACCATGGGAAACCTCACTGCCTGTCTGCTTTTCGTGCCCTACTGAGCACAGATATAAACATGCAAGAATCTCACCAGAAGCTCAAAGAAGAACCAGGAGTACTTGAAGACTGTTTCTTTCACCATTCCAGTGCTGACCACCATCTGCAGGGCAAGCTCCTCGTGGAAATGCTGGACACACAAACACAAAAACATTACACTTACATAATGATGGTCTGTACTAGGTGCTTTATTCGCCAACCCCACTTTTCTTTTTTCCCAACTGTAATAGCTTGTTAGTATGTGTCCTAGATGTCTTAGACCACAGTGGATGTCAATGCTGACACAATCTGAGACTGGAAGACCTTTTCAGTAGGTAGGAGAAGGCTGTGTGGACCCCAAATCCCCAGAGCCACACAAACACAGGCAGGAGTTTCGAGGGAGGAAGGGGGCACAGCAGGAGTGTATTTTTAATCCTTTCTTGAAAAGAAAAGGCAGTAGAGCATTCTGAGTCACTGGAAACCTGGGCACATGGGGCTTCTAAACCTTACTGGACAGCTGGGTTTGAAGGACTGGCCTCGGCAGGGGAGTGAAGCTAATACATTCTATGGGGGAAGCATTCCTGGGTAGCAGTCGGAACTGAGACTCTGTTCTTTTCCTTCCAGGTCCCACCGTAAACCCTCTGTGTGACCACGTGTAAGCTGTTCCTCCCCTTACCCTCAATGTTCTCATCTATAAACTCAGTTGGTAGCAGTGGTTCTCAAACTTGGATGTGCGTCAGAATCCCTTGGAGAGCTTGTTAAGGAACAGATTGCTGAGCCCACCTCCAGAGTTTCAGATTCAGTAGGTCTGGGGTGGGGCCTGAGAATCTGCAGCTCTAACAAGTTCCCGGGTGATGCTGTCACTGCTGGTCCAGGAACCTCAATCAAAGAACCACTGTCTAGATGGTATTTCAACTCCCTTCTAGATGGAACAAGTTTTGTTTTTATAATCCTGCTATGGCTTCGTGGGGAACGAGGTTTGGGTTTATCAGTAGATTGTCTGCATTAAAAGGCATAGGGGTAGCAGCTTGAACTCATCCAACTTCTATACTTCTTTGTCCCAGGGTCAGTTGCTCCACTTTATGTCTACACTGCCTGTCAAGTCATCTGACTGCAGATGTAGCAGACAGTGATCTTTTTACACCTTTTGCATCCTTCCCATTCCCTGCTTTACCTGGGGAACAAGTTTAAGACTAAAGGTAGGGCAACCAACTCATCTCAGTTTGCCTGAGACTGTTGTGGACAAAAAACAATGTCGCCTGTCATCTCAGTAAACAATGTTGCCTGCTTATTCCAGTGAACAACAAATGTTTCCAGACCATCAAGCCATCAGCCACTGAGACCCAGACGGTGCACCCTGAGGGGAATTCAGGATGAACAAAAACAGGATACTTGGCCCTAGTTAAGATGCATATCTAAGGAATAATTTCAATGAGCTCAGACTCTCGCATCTTCCCATACACAGAAAAAACACTAAAATCATTAACTTGAGATGTCTGTTTTTCATGAACATCTTTTGATGTTCAACTACATGGTTTTTTTTCCAGCAAAAATCCCTATATATCCTAGCTCTTCCCTTACCTCTTTGGAACAGTCCCTCAGATATCTGAGAGACTGTATCCTGGGCTATAGTCCTCGGTAATGTCCCCGAATAAAACATAAGTCTCAACGTTTAGGATGTGTGTTCTTTTCAGTCAACACTGTCCTGGTCTTAAAATGGAAAGTCCTACATCCCAAGGACCCCCTAAGTCCCTGAGAAACTGGGATAGCTGGTCACCCTAACTGACGGCAGAAATGATGTCTGGGCATTTTCTGTGGATTCCATTCATTTTACAACCATAAAATCTAGAATAAATACAGATGAACTCATTTTTTATTCCTCAGTGGGTAAGAAAGCTGAAACTACTTGAACAACCTAATATCACATCCTAGAGTACTGGCGTATGTGGAAATAAAGTTTTAAAGTCAACACCCAAAGCAAAAATTTATTAGAACAAAGCTTACCCTTGACAAACCTTTAAATTACCCACAGTGTACAGTAGGCATGCAACACAATTTACTGATTCTTATGTACAGTAAAATTGGAGAGTTACTCAGCTAAACTAAAAGGAGACAAACGGAAAAATCTCTGTGCAGATGGCTGGGTATTCAAACTATTTACATCCCCTGACGGTTAATGGGGATGAATGGAGAATGCTGAAGTGTTTCAGCTTGTCATTGGTCCCACTTCATTCTGTCAGGCGAGTCAAACCTTTATAATCTCAATACACGTGAACACAGTTGTGTGCTGCTGCGAGACATGAGGGAAGCTCTCCCACCTGGGAGAGGTGCAGGGCTGCGTGTTAATCTAGCAGATGGTCTAAGCTTGCCCTGATGTAACTCAGCTACACCAGGATCTTCCCATTGTAGGGAAGACATGCTCCACAAGCTTCAAAGGTAACCTCTGGAAAATAGGTCAGTTTGACTGTCAGAATCTTAAGGCAAGAGGAGATTAGAGGAGGATAAGCCGCTTCTTAAAGTAATTTATGTTGCTTACCGGGCAACATTATTACAAGAACACCTTGCTCCCGAGGGTACAGAAAATAGCCAAGCAGCTAAACCCAGTTTGCTGAGCTATTAAGGAAACACACTGGTTAAACCTCCCTCTGAAATGATTCTCTTCTGGTCACTGAAATGACCAGAAACAAAATCAAAACAAGGCAAATGTGCCCAGAAGAAATCAGGCCCTGCCTGAAGCAAGCCAGGCTGTAAGCAAATCATGGTTTTTAAGAAGGAAAATGGTACTGGTAACCAGTCCCTGCGAAGCCCAAAGCTAAGATTTAAAGTAGGTGAAATATTTATTTTCAGCACCTCATGACATCTTCTTTTACTCCTCCTGTTAGAATTAACTCCTGGTACCTCCTTCCAGACAAATGGAGCCCGTATTGCTGTCAAGTCTGCAGGCGCTGGACCCTACCAGGGCCTCCTCATGCCTGATCTTTCCCTCAGCCAGTCCAAAGTGAGCTGTGCTGAAGCTCATTCCCTCCATGCCTCACATCTTTCCCAGCGGTGTTAGCTGTTGCAAAGAGCTTCCTGTGTTATCCTTCCAATCAGCATATTTACATTTTAATAGGGGTCTTGAAAGACACTCAAGACCTTAAGTAGCTACTAAAATTGTGAGACTCTTGGGTGCCTGGCGGAGGAGAAAACTTGGGGCAGACAGTTTCTTTATCCTCCACCCCTTGGACCACACATGACGTGACAACTGGAGAATCCTCTTAATATGAAGAGTTCTTTCTGATGAGCAGTTTAACAGCTTGTCAAGTCTCTGAACTCAGAGGTAAGGCTGATTGGAAAGAATTACAAGGCTTTTCATGTCTGATATCGTATTGAAATAAATGATACCTAATTATTGCCATTCACTTTTTGAGGATGAATTGTCCCCAGCTCTCCTTTTACCAAAAAAGAAGCTAATACAGCAGTTCTCAGGTTCTCAAAGTGTGGTTCCTGGATTGGCATCAGCTGGGAACTTATCAGAAATACAAATCCTTGGGCCCTGCTTCGGATCTATTGAATCAGAAACTCTAGGGGTAGGGCCAGCAGTCAGTTTTAACAAGCCACCCAGGTACTTCTGATGCATGGTAGGTTGGAGAACCACTTAGTAGGTAATTAGGTGGTCAAAAAATGGGGCACCTGGGACAGGGCTGCAAAAGTGTGTGTGTGTGTGTGTGTGTGTGCGTGCGCGCGTGTGTGTGCGTGTGTGCGTGCGTGCGTGTGTGTGTGTGTTAGGAGGGCAGGAACGAGACAGGAGAGTCTCGTTCTATTTGGCATCTATTTTCAATCACAGTGAGAGTCCGGGCAAATTATTCTCACACTGCCTGTTCAGTACCTTTTTGCTGACTGGCCTTGGGGTTGTTGTTGAACTTGGAGCATCATTATTGCCAGAGCAATAGTAAGACATCCGGATGCAGCTACGATCAGTCATCTGAAATACACAAACCATGACTCAACAGTCAACCAACAGTGGTCCCCAGAAAGATGAGCCAACGGCCTGGAAATCCCAAGCTTAGAATTCATTGTTAACATATTTCTTTTTCTTTCTTTTTTTTTTTTTTTCTGGTTACAAAGGTAAAACAACTGCCAAAAATAAACATAAAACAAAGCAAAGAAGGTAAAGTTACACCGAATTCTACTTGCTCCTGAGATATTCACTGTTAGTTGGCGTGTAGCCACCTATAGTTAAATCCTAGTTAAGAACCACCGGGTGCTGAACAGTCCCTTCAACTTTCTAAGTCTGACTTAATTGGAAGAGCAGGAAAAAAAAATGTGTGGGAACAGTGCCTCTCTGTGGGTTAGCACGGTACTTTACCCAGTCTCCTAAACACTCTAATAAATTGTCAAAAAACCACTTCTGAAAGGAAGATCATGCTTGATACTTCTAGTTAGACAAAATTTTTCCCCTCACTACAGAATAATTTAAAAATTCCTAACCTAGTCCACAGAGAAAATTTAATATTTTCACTTTCATTAAAGGAAACCGTAATAATCAAGTCTGTGTGTAACAGCTGCTGACCACTTCGCCCCTTGGCGATCCGCAAAGCTCCTGCTTAAAGAGGACTTAGATGCAAAATTGAACCAGGCTGTGCTGGCAAGTGCTTAACAACCAGCTCTCGGAGGGGAGGGGCTGATTGGTAGAACCTGCCAATTTCTGTGCTTGTGAATGCTTCCATCATAGCTGATTTCAAGTTAACATGACGTTACCGAATATGGTGTTGCAAAGAGATGTGCAGTAGCAAACCACTGTACAGTAGGCATAAATAACCTCAAGAACATAGATAACAGTAAAATGTAGTAAAATAATTAAGAAGGGATGAGGCTTGGCTACTCCCTTGAAAAGGGAATAATTTTAGATTTATGGACAAGTTGCAAAGGTGGTTCTTGGATACGCTTCACCAAGTTCCTCTTAATGTTAATATCTTACATAAATATGGTACATTTTTCAAAACTAAGAAATTAACATTGGCACATTAACTATTAACTAAACCACAGACTTTATTTGAATGTCACCAATTTTTCCACTAATGTCCTGTTCTGCTCCAGAATTTAGATTACCTTTGTTTTCCATATAACTTATTTGTTAGTTTATATAATTTAATTTTTAATAATGTCTGCGTTTAACAACTGGTTCAAAAAGTTCCTGAAAATTTAACAGTCAGCTCTCAGAAACTGGTATGAACCAGCTCCAGCACATCCCTGGGTTGATTCTGTAAGTCAAAAAGGATAGAATATCAACAATTTCATATGATACAACCTATAGATCATCAGAATCTCTAGGAGTGGATCTATAGATGATTCTTACATTCATCCAGGGTTCAGAACTTCTACAGAGATGAGGAAAATAAGGCTCAGGGCAGGAATTGACTTGTCCATGACCACAGGCCTGGGTGGTATCAGATCGAGACCCAACCCTGGTCTCCAGATTTCCTGTCTCACAACGTACTGTCTCAAGTAGGTGGTTTATGTTAGGGGAATGATGTCAAAACCTAGAGTATGATTTATCTTCATTAGAGGAAATGACATTATTCCAAAAGCTTAGCCACCCTGAGGCCACAGATAACTGGAAAGAAAATTCAGATTAAGAATTCACGGTAGCTTTGTACATATATGAAAACCCACTGAATTATACACTTCAAAAGGGTGAATTTTATGGTATGTGAATTATATCACAATTTTTACAAATTTCAAACGAGAGACGTTTTACAAAATACCTGACCAGCATGCCTCAAAACTGTCAAAGTCCTCAAGAACAAGGAAAGTCTAAGAAATTGTCACAACCCAGAGGAGCTAAGGAAACGTCACTACAAAATCTAATGTGGTATCCTGGGTGGGATCCTAGAACAGAAAACAGACATTAGGAAAAAATTGAGGAAATCTGAATAAAATATAAACTTTAGTGAATAATAATAATATATCAATATTGGTTCATTAATTGTGACAAATGTGCCATTCTAATGTAGAATGTTAGTAACAGGGAAACTATGCATTGAGTACACAAGAATTTTCTGTCATATATTGACAATAATTCTATAAATCTAAAACTTTTATAAAATAAAAAGTTTATGAGAAAACATAAAGAATTCATGGAGGGAAACCATCTAGGGTAAGTCACCAACCCTCCCAGGATCTCGGTTTTTGTTTATAAATTTGGCTTTGATCTTTGGGATTCTTACATGGGATAATCAATCCATCTATGGATGTTAATGAATCTAAAAGGCAGGTTATTAAAAAATAAAACAAAAAACAGTCTTTCTAGGCATCAAAAACAGTTAAAGCCAAATTTTTTTCCTGGAAGATAAAATTCATGGTATTCATCAACTCCACGGAGCTAAACCAGCTATGCCCGAGAAACTTCCCACCAGAGTTCACTAACTCCGCGCACACCTTCAAATGCCAGTCTTGCCTGGCATCAGAATGATCTCAGTCACTTCAAAAGAAAAGAATATTAATAACTTGAAAGCTGAGCATTTGACCAAGCCAGTGGGCAGCAGCAGTGGTTGATTTCGTGTTGTCTCTCCAAGTGTTAGTTAAAAATAAAAAAGCCCATGTCTCTTTCCAGGGTTTGACATCTTCCTTACCTTTGAAGACATGATGTTCTTAACCTCCTCGTCTGCTGCAGAGTGTGTCCCCACGAGGTCTGGGTTACTGCTGCTCATCACTCGGGCCTGCATCAGCTTTGAACTCACAGCGGCAGCAGACGTGCGTCCGTATGTGTGGTAGCGAGGGTCTGGGAAGGAAGTGGGGCTGCCTGCACCCCACCAGGTATAGACATGTCAACAGAAAGCGGATTAGAGTCACTTATTGGACTTGAGAAGGAACTGAGGAGGGATGGGGTAGACAGTAGAGTGGAAACCCACTAGATTAGGTCTTGGAATTAGGGTCTTATTAGCAAATGCCTAGGAGAGGCCAGGGAGGCAATGTTTTGGTGGAAAGATAGGGTGTGAGGCAGTAGGGAGGGGTGAGGACTGTGGTAAACTGGAAACACATGCCTCATCCAAAGACAGGGGCTGCTCCTCATCTCCAGCTTCTTCTTGCCATGGGGAAACAGCCCACGAAGTTCTGATTTCTGAAGACAAGCTCGAAATGTGGATATTTTTTATTTCTTAGTATTTAAATGATGACGGCTTTATAAGTCTTGCATTTCTGAGATTTGAGAATCCAAGGAATCATCTGAATCTTATGAGAATAAGTATACACTGTATAGCAATGTTTCTCACCTTTGAGTATTTACATGTGTTCAAAGGTGATTATGTGAGTCTATGAATATTATGAGTATTTTTAAAAAACATTTAAAATTACAGGTTTACTTGAAATGAGGCTGCATGGAGTAATAAGTATGCCCAAGTTCCTTTGTCAGAGCCTGGAATTTTGTTAACTTATTGATGCTATTTTTTTTTTTTTTTGCAGTACGCGGGCCTCTCCCGTTGCGGAGCACAGGCTCTGGACACGCAGGCTCAGCGGCCATGGCTCACGGGCCCAGCCGCTCCGCGGCATGTGGGATCTTCCCGGACTGGGGCACGAACCCGTGTCCCCTGCATCGGCAGGCGGACTCTCAACCACTGCGCCACCAGGGAAGCCCGATGCTACTTTTTATATCATGCTGACCAGACGTTCTGGTTGATTATTATAAAAAGACTGGAGAAATGAATTATTATTTCAGAAGTTTAGTTTGGGGGAAATGAGAAAAGGGATTTATTTTTTCATAATGAAAAGTTTAGGGGCTACTGCTTACCACAGCTATCAAATATATATTATTTTCCTTATCATTATGATCCTAGAATCCTAGGCATCTGTTGTCACTTCTCCAGCTTTCAAAAGAAGGGATTTGCAACTGAATCAATTTTGTTTCTTTTTATGGCTGAGTAATATTCCACTGTATATATGTGCCACATCTTCTTTATCCATTCATCTGTTGATGGACACTTAGGTTGCTTCCATGTCCTGGCTATTGTAAATAGAGCTGCAGTGAACATTGTGGTACATGACTCTTTTTGAATTATGGTTTTCTCAGGGTATATGCCCAGTAGTGGGATTGCTAGGTTGTATGGTAGTTCTATTTGTAGTTTAAGGAACCTCCATACTGTTCTCCATAGTGGCTATATCAATTTACATCCCCACCAACAGTGCAAGAGGGTTCCCTTTTCTCCACACCCTCTCCAGCATTTACTGTTTGTAGATTTTTTGATGATGGCCATTCTGACCAGTGTGAGATGATATCTCATTATAGTTTTGATTTGCATTTCTCTAATGATTAATGATGTTGAGCATTCTTTCATGTGTTTGTTGGCAGTCTGTACATCTTCTTTGGAGAAATGTCTATTTAGGTCTTCTGCCCATTTTTGGATTGGGTTGTTTTTTTGTTATTGAGCTGCATGAGCTGCTTGTAAATTTTGTAGTGAGGTGGATAGACCTAGAGTCTGTCATACAGAGTGAAGTAAGTCAGAAGGAGAAAAACAAATACCGTATGCTAACACATACATATGGAATCTAAGGGGAAAAAAATGTCATGAAGAACCTAGGGGTAAGACGGGAATAAAGACACCGACCTACTAGAGCATGGACTTGAGGATATGGGGAGGGGGAATGGTAAGCTGTGACAAAGTGAGAGAGTGGCATGGACATATATACACTACCAAACGTAAAATAGATAGCTAGTGGGAAGCAGCCACAGAGCACAGGGAGATCAGCTCGGTGCTTTGTGACCACCTAGAGGGGTGGGAGGGAGGGAGACGCAAGAGGGAAGAGATATGGGAACATATGTATATGTATAACTGATTCATTTTGTTATAAAGCAGAAACTAATACACCATTGTAAAGCAATTATACTCCAATAAAGATGTTAAAAAAAAAAAAAGTACCGACTGGGTGAAGATCAGTGAGGGATTATCAAATAGGCAGAAAAAACAAGTGTTTAGAATATAAAAATAGGGAGGAAGGCAGATAGAAAGCAAGAGAGAAAAATCTAGACATGAACTTTTTTTTTTTTTGCGGTACGCGGGCCTCTCACTGCTGTGGCCTCTCCCATTGCGGAGCACAGGCTCCGGACGCGCAGGCGCAGCGGCCATGGCTCACGGGCCCAGCCGCTCCGCGGCATGTGGGATCCTCCCAGACCGGGGCACGAAGCCGCGTCCCCTGCATCGGCAGGGAAGCCGCGTCCCCTGCGCCACCAGGGAAGCCCGAGACATGAACTTTTAATTTCACCATTCATGTAAGTTTTGTTTATTCTGAAAGATAAAAATTTAACTTTCGGGCTTTTAATTTTATTGTGAATTCTGTGGGGCGGGGGTGAGGGTGCGCTGCCCGCCAGGCTCCCATACTCCGGTGGCGGGGTGGGGGTGGGACAGGGGGACGTTACCTGACTTGGGTACGTCCCTCTGCGGCTCGGGCAGGCGGAAGACGTAGTGCACATAGGAGGCCAGCAGGCAGTTCCTCCCATGCTGGTCCTTGCCCAGGCCCTTGCTGTTGTGCAGACTGTTGGCGGTGACCACCACAGACTCGAAGGCAAACTGGGAGAAGTTGGCTGAGGAACCAAGAGAAAAATGGGCGGCCCCGCAGTGAGTCCTTAATGAGCCTGAGGTGGAACATTCTTTGGGGCAGTGACAAGGAGTCCTGACCGCTGACCGGCTGAACCAGGCTGAACCCCCTGGGGCAGGGTGAGTGGTTTTAGTAAGCTCCAGCATGCCAGCTCTGCTTACTGCAAAGGACTTCACATTTCCTCCTTCTGCCAGCACTGTGGTTTTTCAGGACGAAGATGCGAGCCTGTCCAGACCTCCTCCCCTCTCTAAACCACGCTGTGAAGTGGTGCTACTCAGTGGGGTCTGTCCTGACATCATCAGTATCACCTAGGATCTTATTAGAAATGCAGAATCTCAGGCCCCGCCCAGGACCGACTGAGTCAGCATCTGCATTTTAACAAGATGCCCAGGTCATTCTTACGCACACTATGGTTTGAGATGGGCTGTTGAACAATATGGATTCTTGGTGTACAGATTAATCTAAAAACGTATGTGTATCATGTCAGTCCCTGGACCTGTACAAACAGTGCTTCACTGTGTACACTCTTGCTGAGGAGCTCCAAACCCTCCACAGTCTGGCTCCACCCTACTTATCCCACCTGGTACCCTCTTCTGCTCAAATTCAACTTCCTTAAAATAAGGCAATCTTTATACTGTCCCCATCGCACGTCTGCTTCTCACTTCTGCAGTTTTGCTCGTGCTGCTGTCCTCACCTAGAAAGCCCTCCTTGCTCCCACCCACAAAATCATACTAACCTTTCAATGCTAAGCACCATCCCACCTCCTCAATGAAGCCTCTGACACCACTCAGTACAGGGCTTAAGTGACACCAGATCACAAGGTTCCTGGGCTGTTTGCAGTGGGAAATTCTGTCTCTCTGATAGGCTGGAAACAAAGTGCATTTCTCATACTTTCTTCTCCCCACCATGCCTTCCATGGTGCCTGACACAGATAAGTTCTGAATAGATGCTTGGAGACCAAGTGCCTCCACCTATGCTGCCTGTCCCAACACCCTGGAGTCCCACATATTGGCTCAAAATGTGTGAATGAACATTCTGTCTAGTGAACAAGTCTACACTGCATAGCTGGGGCCTACAAAGCAGTGCACCACACATGTGGAGGGCGTAGAAGGAAATCCAGGGAGGGTACAGATGGCCACTCCACAGGCATCTAGCTGGAGAGGCAACAGCTACATGTGTGAAAAGGTAGCCGACAATGTAGGACGCCTTATCTGTGGAGCCACAGCAGAGGCATCCCAGGATACACTGCAAACTGAGGGATTCAGAGGTCACGCTCTTCCCTAGCTCTGAAAGCTCCCCCATGTGTCCTAGGCTACAAGTTCATTTCTCCCTCCCCACCAACTTACTCATATTCCACGGCCCAACAGTGTTATCTCCTCCTTTTCTGACACTCCCAGGAAAGTGGGTTTTGACACTTTTTTCTGAACTACTTTTTTTCTGATCCAGACACTCTGGTCCTCTGCTTTTTGCCAGTCTCTGTCCCCATTTTGGCTTCTTTCCCTCTAACCCCACTTCAAAGCCATCTCAGTTGCAGTCTTCTTTCTGGGGGCCTTCCTCACCCTCCCGGATGGATGTCTTCGTCATCACCCCGACAGTATTCAGCTGTGTCCATTTGAGGACTTGTGTCCTGTGCTGCTGATCTTTGCTATATTTTATCGTAAGTCCTCTGAGGTTCAATATGCTCTTGATTCTTATGGCAAAACCTACAACTCTAAGCACAGTACTGGCAGCATGGATGGTACCCAAAGATATCTGCTGGGCTGGAGAGCACAGACTAATACAAGCCCAGCTGAAAACAGTGTCAAACAAAGATGCCCTATAGCAGCCAGTCTACCCCTGCAGGAGATGGAAGAACCACTGGACCCAGGCCCTACATGACATTATTTCCAAAGGAAGTCTTACACATTGTATTTAGTGTTCATTTGTTAAAAGTAAGCATTTAAGATGGGCGTTTGCTGCATGCTGAGGGGAGGGGAGAATGGGGTGACTGTTCAGGAGTGTGGGGTTTCATTTGAGGCTGATGAAAATGGTCTGGAATTAGAAAGTAGTGACAGTTGCATTACCTCGTGAATATACTAAACACCACTGAATTGTACACTTTAGTGAATTTTATGGTATATGCATTTTATCTCAGTAAGAAAGGGATCACATTGAATTTCAATTTAGACAGTTCCTTTCCTTCCACTTAACATGGGTTGTCTTATTTCTTTAAAACATTGGATTCCCTTGTTGGTCAAGTCAACAAAAAATATCTTCGAGGTAAAAGAAAACCATCAATTACTAGGAATGAAATTTAAAGGATTGGCTTCAGTCATTCAACACATTAATGTAAAAAAAACCCGATAATTTTAAGCATCCTATATTAATGTTTCTTTTTTTAAAACATCCAGGGAATCTCCAAAAAAAAAAAAATAGCAGTGGACTTGGTTTCCCTTGGACTCACATCCTCAACAGAAAGATCACATTGGCCCTGCTCCCGGAACTTCTGGAAAATCGTGTTTCATAAAACAAGGCACTGCCTGCCTCCTCCCAGGCCCGCAGGCCTCCTACCTGTCTGGCCAGCGATGACCATGGGCTGCACGAACAGCTGGAAGAGCTTGTCCAGCACCAGGTGCAGGAAGAGCACAAGGGGCTCCAGGCGGGAGGAGTTGAGGCAAATGATGCTGAGCTTCAGCTCATGCTCCAGAGCCGCTTCACTGATCTTCTGGTCCAGCACGCGGATGGGGAAGGTCACCTGGCTTTCCAGGGAATGGCAGAGGGTGAAGAACTTCTCCAGGTGGTTGTCCTGGGAAGGCAGATGGCAGGCCTCATGGGTCTCATCCCCTCAACGCTCACCAGTGGATTCATAAACACAATCAGATAGCTCCTTCTAGGCAAAACCTCTTACCCAGTGTTTCAGAGCAGAAGTTCTAAGACACGGGTGTTTCAGACCAGGTTATGAACTTCTTTGTAGAGTGTTGTGCACAAAATAGAACCTCTCAATAATTATTAGCTGAAGAAAAATTAATTTGGACTCTGACATGTTCTGTAAGCAGAGGCAGGGATACCAGGCAAACACACTGCCGAGACAGGGGTCTAAGCAGATGCAAAACTCAAGACAGTGGCAGGAAAAGGAGAGAAAGTAGAACAACAACAACAACAAATCTGGAAGAGAAATGGCAGAATTACAGAGGGAAATGAGACAGCAACAGCAGGAAAATGTTTAAATGAAGTCTCCCCACGAAACTTCTCAACCAACAGTGCAGGTGCCAAGCTGCTTCAACATTTTTATAAGGTCTTTCTATGAAAACAACAAATAAAACCTAACAGGCTTGCAATTTCCCTCATAGAACTAAAAGGGTTTTTTGGTGTTGTTTTATCCAGGCACAAAGATCTTCACTGATCTTTTATTGAACTGTCCTTAGAAGTTTCTCTGCTGCACCCCATCTTCATTATTAGCCTGCTGTTCTGATTTAAACTTGACCTGGATACTCCTTACCTGGGTGTGAACAGAAGAAACAGCTTGCACTTCAATATTGAATACTCCCTTATGTCCTTCAGCCCATTTAATGGGAGGATTCTGCAAAGGGACTTTCTGTGTTAAAAGAAAACAAATTAGCAATTCAATTCCCTTTTCTCAGTACTAACAAGCAGAGTAAAGCAACTTGACAGTAGATGTCAGGGTTATACAAATACAAATCTCCCTGGAAAACTAATATAACTGGCCTTAGAGTTAGGAGCCCTGGCTTCAAGTTCAGTTTTACACCAAATTAATTATTTTCACTTTGAGAGGTCAGTGAAACTTTCTGGGCCTTCATTTTCTCATGCTGAAAGAAGGGGTTTGAATCGAGTTATCTATCTAATTTAAGCTTCCATCCAGCACTGGTAATCCTTGATTCTAGGAATTAAAATAAAGTCATATCCTAATGATTTCCCCATTAATCAGGAATGTCAGGACAAAGTGCAGAATATCTTTAGAAGACATGAAATTTTAATGCTTTTGAGAGACTACAGTTTTGTTCCCTTTTAACAAAATGTTTCCAAGTAGCAGTCCTTCTAGGCTCCTGCTTTAATTACTCAAAATGACTTTTATAATATTTATATATCAATAGCCCTGTAGTCCTCAGAGACCACTTCTTGCTTTAAAATCTCAAGGGAATTGTCATCCTACAGTGTTGAGTAAGGAGGGCCTTGGCAGACTTGGCCATGTGAGCGTGGGTTTTGTGTCTCTTGCATTTTAATGGAAGGAAACATACTGTACTTGCAAGGGTAGGATGTGTGCATGGGGTGGGGACCTTTGGAACTATCTCAGACAGAGTTACAAACTGGGGCCCAAAGCTGGATCCAGCCCACAGACAGGTGCTGTTTGGCCCAGTGTTAGAAACTGTCGAATTAGTTGCCAAACATTTGAATGTCAGAAAATTTCACATGAAAGCCTGCTTTTCTATCGTCTTTTGAGAATCTGAAGATATGAAGACGTTGGTCTTGCATCCCAGCATGGCACCAATGTGCAGAGCAGAGGAGTAGCTATGACCTTGGGTGGGAAGACAGTCTCCAGTGTGAACAAATTCCACCAGGACCTTGCACTCATTATTAATGAGTCTGACCTGTGGGGTCACTGGAGTTTGCAGTAATCTAAAGCAACACTGACCACTAAAAATATAATGTGAGCCATCTATGTCATTTAAAATTTTCTAGTAGCCACATTAAAATTTTTTTAATGTGATCATGATTTTAATACTATGTTTCATTGAACCCAATATAGCCTAAAGATTATCGTTTCAACATGTAATCAAAATAGAAAACTATGAATAAGGTATTTTATATATTTTTTTCCTGCTACTAAGTCTTTGAAACCCAGTTTGTGTTTTAGACTTACAGCACATCTCAGTTTGGACTAGCCACATTTTAAATAGCCTCACGTGGCTAGTGGCAACGCTATTGGACAGGGTAGCCCTAAGGCATATTAGGAGAAGCTGAGGGCATATTGATAAAGATAACTTAGGGCAAGTAGGAAAAAGGAACTAATATTTACTTAAGCATCGAGTTTGTTGCTTGATATGTATTATCTCATTCAATGTTCACAGCTACCTTGCAGGCAGGTCTGGGCTAGGTTTCCTCTTTGAGACTCAGAGAGGGTAAGCAATTCACCCATGTTCACACAGCTAGGGCATGGCAGAATCTGGATTTTGGATCAAGATGTGTTTGTCTCCAAAGCCAGGTGTGTTTACTGGGTGTTCTAGGAAATTAGAATGTGCAGCCTGATGTTGAAAAGGTGGTTTTGAGGGCTTCAGCAAGGGGCTGTGTGTCCAAATCATAAAAAGTAACGGGGAGTATCTGTGAACACACTCACAAAACCACTTAGGTGGTTTTGAGGAGAATAGTTTTGATCTCAATTCAGGCATATGCATGTGGCCCAGGGCAAAGGAAGCTTCTCTCTCCAGGGGAAAATAAAAAAAGGAAATAGAAAACGGAATAGCCTGGGGAGTGGGGGTGGGTAGTCAGAGTAGGAAAGAAAGTTGACTATAAAATTTGGAACAAAATTCAAATTCCTGGGAAATTCAACTTGAAATATGCAAGGAAAACAAAAGAGATGAAGGGGGACCTATAGATTAAGAGCCTTAAAAGACATGTCAAGCAATAGCAACGTATAGAGCTTATTTGGATCCTCATACGCAACAAACAACTGTAAAAAAAAAATGACATTAATGAGATCATTGGAAATTTGATCACTGGATATATGACGGTATTAAGGAACTATTATTAATTTTTAAGGTATGACAATGGTATGGTTAAAAAAGGAGCCCTTATCCTTTAAGATAAAATACTGAACTATTTATAAATGAAATGATATGATGTCTGGTATTTGCTTCAAAATAAATCTTATTGATGTAAACCTACACCAACCAGACTGAGAAGCATGAGCGCTGGTGCTGGTGCAATCAGAACGGAGGGTTCACTGGGCTCCCTTTAAACTAGTGGATTGCAGCAGAATGTATGGGCAAAAAGGCGGGACAGGGAACGGGAGGAGAGAAAGAATATTGACATTGGCCTCTTTAGAGGAATAAAAGCCCCAATATCCACCTGGGGACTGTGACAATTGATCCAGAGGAGAAACCAGTGGAATCTGGCATGGGAACCTTTTGTAAGGATGGGAGCTGAGAGCAGTTGTTATCACAGGTGAGCTCTATTTGCCTTTTTTTTTTTTTTTTTTTGCGGTACGCGGGCGTCTCACTGTCGTGGCCTCTCCCGTTGCGGAGCACAGGCTCTGGACGCGCAGGCTCAGCGGCCATGGCTCAGGGGCCCAGCCGCTCCGCGGCACGTGGGATCTTCCCGGACCGGGGCACGAACTCGTGTCCCCTGCATCGGCAGGCAGACTCTCAACCACTGTGCCACCAGGGAAGCCCTGCCTTCCTTTTTAAAATACCTCATTCTGTAAACCCCTTTGTTATAGATAATACAAGGTAATGCTGCCTGGGTATGGGTTGTATTTACCCAACATTCTGAATTGGTGACAATCTAAATTAATGAGGTCTTAAAACCAGTTATTTCTCCCATCCTATCAGAACAACGTGCTCTCAGAAAACACCCTGTGCTGACAGATGACTGCTCCCCAAAACACGCTGAGCATCCTTAGTCATGTATAAAGGAATGGGAAGTGGCTCTGGAAAGGTGGTCCAAGACCATGGCTGGACAGGAACCAGGTGATGGCCAGCTTGCTGGTTACCTCTGCAGAATGCATAGAGTAGTTGGGTGGCAGCTTCTCCAAGGCAACTGGGAGACAGTAGGAGCCAGTTTGAAGACGTTCGTTTAAGAGAATTGGCAGCCACTGAAATAGATGATGTAAAGAATAAAATGGGATTTATTACAGCATATAATTCTGGCAATTTATCTAGCTCACAATAATCAAATGCAACTAAATGATGATTAGATATTGACCAGAGCTCTTTTGGGCAGTAATTTCTGTCAAGTTCTTAGATTTTAAATTCCCTGAGAGCTCCTGAGATGGTAATATCAATGATTCACTGCTTTCGGAGCCAAAGCAGTAGCATTTTTCTTTATAGCCAATGTGTGTGTATATCTGGAAAACATCAATGCTTATTTTACCTTTTATATATTTTAAAGAAATAACTTTTTCCCCTTGGGGAAAAAAGAGCTATTTTTATATGTGAAGCATATATATAAAATTTGGAAATAATGGACATTGTAATGAGAGTATTCTTTCACTATCTCTCACCCACTGCCTTTCATTCCTGAAATAGTCATTTCCTAAGTCAAGTCATCTCTGCTCTTTGCTGCAATCTGGTTTGGCACATTTTGCTACTTCTGACAGGAAAAAAGCAAGTGAATAGAATTTAGCTGTTTATCTCTGCAGGAACCTTGGAGGCCCCAACAACTGCAGAGTGAATCTGCAAGTTGAAAACAACTCACTGAATATCCCAGGAGAGTTTCTACGGAGTTTCCTTGCTTCTGCTGACAGCTGATATGGTAGAAGGTGAACAGGAGGTGGTGATTTACTGTGAGCTTAGCAGGGAGCTTAATTTTCACTTCTTCATAGAAGTCAGGAGACCTGTTTCAAAAGCACATTAGACACAAATAACTTTTAGCAAGAATGATGGCTTCTCTGACTATAAATTGTAACACCACGGACCCTTTGCCCCTCAGAATTCGCCTGCTTGCTGTTTTACTTTTCATTTTACATCAGTCTCCTCCCAAGCTTAAAGTCCTGAGACCAAGCTTATGTCACTGGATACACTTCACTTATATAAGGCTGCTCACAAACAAAAAGCTTTGCCCGAAAAAAAAAATCCCTGCACACAATGGAAAAATCCAACAACTTAATTTGGACAGAGGATGAGGTTTGGAGTCCTGCTGTGACCTCCTTTTCTATCTCTACCCCAAGAACAGGGACTGGTGCACAGCCGGCACTCATCAAAGGATTTGGGGGAAACAAATGAAGGATGCAGGAAGGAAAGGGAATCTGATTTTACTGAATTATGATGTCCCAGGCGGTTTACTAAGGGCTTCACATACATTACTCATTTAATCCTCATTCCCGTCCAAGAGGGTGGGTTCAGAGAAGTATTCAATACTTAAATGGGCCAAGGTTATCAGGCCGGAATCAAACCCAAGTTTGTCTGACCCTATACAGATGTCCTACCTGGAAATGTGAATAACAGTTTAGACATTATTCTCTGACTCAATTTACCCACATAAAAATGACTGTTTCATTTCTCCTTTGGTCAACTTAAATCTTCTTAAAGTAGGTAGTGGTGCAGGTACGGATAGAAGACAAGGAGACAGACCAAGGAGGGCTGGATTTTGTTTCTGGCCCCTCCAGTACCTCAAAGCAAGGCAAGAAATTTATTTCTTTATGGAACACCATAAGACCTCTCTATATCACACTAGAGTAGAAGGCTCCAGAAAACTCAAAACAATATTAGGTTCTTGAAGATATGTTCTTCTCCCAATCACAGTTAATGGCAAAATTTGTGGTTCTCCAACATAGAATCAGGGAACTGGCATGGATTTCCTCTGTCCCTTAGTCCCTGAATTATAAATACTGGTAGAAGGAATCACCTAGGGGATTCAGAAAAGCCAGGAGATAATAAATCAATCTTGGCATATGTTTAGAACTCTGAAATATACTTACTTGTTGTGGTATGTCACAGCCGTGTAAACTTCCTGCAGAAATTCAGGCCCATTGGATCTTCCAAAGATGACCTGTTCACCAGTATAGAAAGGGCCAAATTAACTGTGATATTTGGTTAAATCAAATCAATGACCATCAGCCCAGTAGGAGGTTCTGGTCTCATAGAGCTGCATTTTGTAAATTAATAAGCGGCCCAACTGATGCAGAAGAACTGGCTATGAAGGGTAAACGGAGACCGCAGTGGCTACCTCAGTGACCAAGGGCCACAGGCTTGTGAGACTAGAAAACCAGTGCTCTCTAGATCTGCCTCTTCCCCAGAGGGCTATACTACAGGGCAACGTTACAGAGTTGTGCCCTCTGTGAGAGACCCCTGGTCGAGGCTCTTTTGCTGGGTCACTTGGGTCATCAGGACCATCACTGGCCACACGTTTATGGTGTTTAGAAGAAGACACCTCTTTGGGCCTGGGTCAGCCCTAAAGGCACATGACTTCACACGTGGACTCACCTCTGGGTAAATTAAAAAAGAGCCCTTCCTACTAGATGCACTAACGCCCATGCCAGGTCCCAGGGCTTGGTGAGTGGTGAACAGGCTGGAGTCTGGCCCCCACTCATCCCTGGCTGGGGACCTTGGCTACCACAGCTGTACCTGGCAGCCCTGATGGATTTGCCAGGGGTGAGAGTGGGGAGAACCAGGGGAGTCTTCCTCTAGGATTTCTTTCCCACAACCATTGCAAAAGGATGCCTTGCATTGGGAAGGTAGGTGGGACATTAAAAAGATGTTTTTTTTTAAAAAAGAGGATATCTGAAGAATGGAAGCACCGGAAAAAAGTGACTTCAGTAGAAAGGTATATTAACTGAATTCTACACCTTAAATAAAATAGTAATAGCTAACCACCATCTCGTTTGTTGGCAGATGGTTAAAAAAATACAAATTCTGGCATCTTGGGTTCCTTAGGGAACACTCCATTATGTATTTATTATTTGATTTACATTTTACCTCAGGATGAAGATCCATTCCTAGAAGGCGTTGAGATGGTGTATGTTTATTATGACTAGGCAGTACTTTCTATTATATTTATCTTTAGATGTGGACTGGGGCTTAGGCATATGTGTACTGCAGTGCACATCTGAAAGTACAGCAAGCATGGCTGACACCTTGGGCCTGTCTTTCTACTTCTTATGCTGTTAGGGTGGCAAGGAAAGAATTCATGATATTTTTCAGTCTTCTAAAATGATCTGCATTTCTAAATTTCCCAGCTTACTGTGGCATAAGTTGGGAAAGAGACTTTCAATTTAGGCTGACCCTGCTTCCCCATCAGCATCCTGGGAGCAATACTGGACCAGCCACAAAGGCCCCTGCACGTGATCAGTGGTACTGGCCTGAATCAACACACACACTCGACGCTGATCAGCCCTTGATTTTGTCTGTGTGAACCAGCAAGGGAAGTTCAGCCCACCCTGGTTCGAGGCAAATGTTTATCTCCCTCATTACCGGCATAGCATTGCTGGCATCCTCTCCACACATAAACTGGATCTTGATTGTGATGTTCCGGGCAGATGCTAGTTTGTTAGCAAAGTTCAGCCTCTGTGGGTAGACATAGAGAAGGTTTCTGGAAAACAAAAGATGAGGAGCCAATCAGTAAGGTCTAGAGTTTCTTTTAACCAAGTTCTTCAGGGAATGCTAAAGCCTGCACTCATGAGATGACAGTTCTGAAGGAGTTTTTCCTTTCAGAAGCGAATTACTTTTGGAGAGTGAGTTACTGTTGATTCTTCCTCTTCAGCTGCAGTGATCTGATAATAACCAACATTGTTCTCTGTTTTGCTACACAGACAGAGGTGCCTGCTGCAGCTGAGAAAGTCTCGGAATGTCTTGGAATGTGCAAATCTGCCTAGCGGTAACTATATGTCTGATACAAAGATAAGAAGGCAAAATGTTCTGTTCATTTTAAACAAAACTCATGGCCACAGACAGTGGCCTAATTTCAGTTCTCCTCTTTCTCCTTTCTAATGTTATGTAGTAGTTCAATTTTTTGTTTTTTTTAATCTTAGTTTGGCCACGCTGTGCGGCATGCAGGATCTTAGTTCCCCGACCAGGGATTGAACCTGCGCCCCCTGCAGTGGGAGCGCAGAGTCTTAACCAGTGGACCACCACGGAAGTCCCAGTAGTTTCCATTTTTTATTGGCATGACTTTCTGTATTGGTTTAACTTTCTTTTTTCAGCTGCCTTGGGTCTTAGTTGTGGCATGCGGGATCTTCTGTTGTGATGTGCCAGCTCTTTGTCGCGGTGCACGGGCTTCTCTCTAGTTGTGGCGTGCAGATTTTCTATCTCTAGTTGAGGCGCACGGGCTCAGTAGTTGTGTCACGCGGGCTGTGTCCCACGTCATGTGGGATCTTCGTTCCCCGACCGGGGATCGAACCTGCGTCCCCTGCATTGGAAGGCAGATTCTTTACCACTGGACCACCAGGGAAGTCCCTAACTTTCTTTTCTTACATAAGATGACAGTTCAAACTTCCAAGCCCAATTAGCTACGTAACATAATACAAAACTATGAATAATATATCCATCCATTCAAAAACTATAGGACAAGTACCAGGCTGACTATAATTTTGTATATTTTTTCTTTCTGTTTGCATTATTACTACTATAATCCACTAAAAGGTAAGCTCCATGAAGGCAGGGATTTTTATCTGATGTTTTTGATTCACTGATATATCTTCAGCAGCTAGAACAGTGCCTGGGACATAGTAGGTGCTAAAAAAAACATACTTGTTGAATAAAAGAATGAATGTATATACTTTGAATCATATTCCTGACTTAAAGAAACAATAGTGATACTAATATTTATAAGGTACTTATCCTAAGTTGGGCAATGTTTCAAATACTTCATATTTATTAGTTTAATTCTCATAATTATTCTATAGGTAGATACTATTTTGATGGCATCATCCCCACATCACAAATGAGGGAAAAAATGACATACAGTTAGTGAATGGCAATCAAGAATTAAAGTCAGGCACTCTGGTTCCAGAGCCATGCTCTTAACCTTATCTAAGTTACATCCCCTCAGATAAGACTGCCATTAAACAAAAGAATAAGAATGGCCTTTTCAGACTATGTTATTCATGACATCTCTCAGAGGCAAGCTTGCCTTAATTCTCTGGATCTTATTAACAGTTGAGTGTCAACAGTACACCAAAGGCTGACTCAACTGTGTCACGTTCTCTGGGAAAATGTCTTGTCTTCCTCACCCTTGGTCCACTATTCTAACTCCTAGGTAACACATTCTCCCCAAAGGCTTCAAGAGGACAAAACAGCCTTTGTGTGACCTAGACACCAGGAGAGCAGTGACCAAGAAGGAGGGCCAGGTGACCAGATTTTCCCTCTGTGAATATAGGCTCTCATAATACTTTACAAGGATTTGCATATTAATTGATACCAGGGTTTCAGCCTCAGCACTATTGACATTTTGGACTGGACAGTTCTTTGTTGAGGGGCCGTCCTGTGCACTGTAGGCTGTTCAGCAGCATCCCTGGCCTCTACCCACTAGATGTTAGTAGTATCTCCCCCCTACTCAGCTGTGACAACTAAAAATACCTCCAGATATTGCCAGATGTCCCCAGGTGGGGCAAAGTCACCCCCATCTGAGAACCACTGAGCTATACATGTGAATTTTGCATTATGGATCTATACAACTACACTCGGCAAATTTCCTGTCTTTAATAGATGTAGTCAGTGCCACCTACTGGGTCCATACTCATATGTAAGGTTTGTTCCATTGGAAAAGGGTAAAAAAGTCAATACTCAAGTACGAGGGAGGAGAAGGAAAATTGTAAAGTCTGATTTATGAAGTCTGGGGCAGTCAGGAACTGAAAAACCAAAAGAGAAAGACTAGGCTGACCAACTCTAACCTCTGCATTGTCATAACCAGAATGATCCTCCATCCTGTGTGTGTGCATGTGTGTGTGTGCGTGCATGTACGCAAATGGTCTTTCTGGACCAGTATTTGCATAAATCCGTGAATTTACCCCATGGATCTTCCTTGCTACAACAATATCAAGAGTGACAACACTAATAACCACAACCCTGGACAAGTCCCAATGAATGGCCTAGTGGACCTGCATCTGATGGTCATGCAGATGAGAAACTGAGGCCCTGAGAGGTGAAGTAACAGTTCACTCCGTGAATTAGCCACCAGCTGGGCACAGCATCCAGTTCAGTGCTGTTCTGACTCTACAACATGGATGTCTCAGTGCCGCTTTCCAAATCTTTCTCTGTCACACTGAGGGACCCCAGTCTCAAGGCAGGCAGATAGAGTTGAACCTCTGATGCTGTCAGGAGAGGCCATGGACGTAGTAACAATGGCAGAAGGCAGTTCACGGTTGGGATGCGGGGATCTGTGTGGGGTATACTCCCCTCTCTGCATGAGAGAGGCTGCATGCAAAGAGGGGAGTGTAATGGCTGCATGATCTTCCATATTATGAGGGTACCATAATGTACACAGTCTCCAAGAATAAGCACTAAGATTTTTTCCTTTTTTGTCAGTTACGAAGCTGGGATGAACACTTTCTCTATCTTGCCCCTCTGCAATGCAGTATACTTCTGGGAGAATCCCTTTTAGTTCTGTATAGTTCAGTTTCTTCATCTTTGAGTTAATTGAAAAGACACCAGTCAACCTTTCTTTATGCTGTGCTTGAAGAAATAATGAGCTACAGTTTGTAAAAATGCTTTGAAGTAGCCAGATGAAAGGGTCTGTGTAGATCACAATGGTAGCAGCCCTGCCAGAATGGATAAGCAAGTCAGCTGTCACCACACTCCTCTCCTACATCCCACCCAACACATGGGCACCACCGACTTATCCCACACACACCCCCAACACCGGTCAACAATTTTGCACACGGCTTCCAAAGGCTTTGCTGACCCCCTATCTTCGAACATCATCACCACGGGCATACAGTGTTCTGCCCATACTGAATGCACTTTCCACACAGTACAGAGCAGGAAGGAAACATCAAAGAATTTAGTCCAACATCCCTTTTTGCAGGCCACAAGCCGGCTCCCAGAGACATTAAATGACTTTGCTTAAGAATTTTTTTAAGAAGATGCATTTCCCAAGGATCATCATAGTTCTTACTGGCAAGAATGCCAAGTGATATGTTTTGTTAAATCTGTATGATTTTTAAGAAATGAATATAAGAAAATAATAGTGTTTTCTCTTGGAAGGGAAGATCTACCTGCAGGATCAGTGATACACACAGGCTCAACCAGATAAGAGTAATGATCAACAAACTGAGAAACAGCCTCATACGTTTTATAGATGGTAAATTAAGTGTCATATTAGCTAGAAAAATCCTAAGAATTATATTATCTAATGATTTTTGAGAAGCTCACCCGTAATTGAAATAGGAATCCCTTGTTAAAGCAAAGTTATTTTGAAAGTTTCTCCAGTAACTACAGGTCCAGTGTAAGTGCAGTTCATTTAGTATAATCTCACCTTTCCCCAAATACAGGCAAAAATGCTTCTCTTCAGTCATATGCATCACAACATTGAACAGGACATTTGGTATTCATCAACAATTTTCTTTCCAAAGCCACTTCAGATGGCTTCTCTTGATTAAAAATTATTTTAGAAATTTTAAATTCTTTCCACTGATTCAGCAACAGCCCCTCAACTTATTTTTAAACTGCTGGGATTGAGCAGCTCCAGGAAGTTAGAGGTTAACTTGTAGAATTTGGTCATTATTAGATCCAATTGTTGACCAAGCTCTCTCTGCTCTTTACTGTCTTGGGACTATCCTCTCCTTCTTTTGCTGAAAACAGGTTAACTCAAGGGACCTTGAAATCTTTCAAAGCCACAATGCCAAAAACATCAGTTTGGCTTCTCCTCAGTTTAGTCTATTCTTTATCCACTGCAAGGAAACAAAGAGAAAAGCTGCCCTACAAAACAGAAAGACAACCTACAGAATGGAAGAAAATCTTTGCAAACAATACAACTGGCAAGGGAATTATCTCCAAAATATACAAACAGCTCATACAACTCAACATCAAAAACAACAAACAACCCAATCAAAAAATGGGCAGAAGATCTAAATAGACACTTCTCCAAAGAAGACATACAGCTGGCCAACAGGCCTATGAAAAGATGCTCCAAGTCGCTAATTATTAGGGAAATGCAAATCAAAACTACAATGAGGTATCACCTCACCCCGGTCAGAATGGCCATCATCAAAAATTGACAAATAACAAATGCTGGAAGGGGTGTGGAGAAAAAGGAACCCTCCTATACTGTTGGTAGGAATGTAAATTGGTATAGCCACTGTAGAGAACACCATGGAAATTCTTTAAAAATCTAAAAAGAGAGCTATCATATGATCCTGCAATCCCACTCCTGGGCAAGTATCTGGAGAAAACCATACTTCAAAAAGATACATGCGGTCTTCCCTGGTGGCGCAGTGGTTGACAGTCCGCCTGCCGATGCAGGGGACGTGGGTTCGTGCCCTGGTCCGGGAGGATCCCACATGCCGGAGTGGCTGGGCCCGTGAACCATGGCCACTGAGCCTGTGCGTCCGGAGCCTGTGCTCCGCAACGGGAGAGGCCACAACAGTGAGAGGC